ACACTTTCCTTAACAGTTAGACAACCCTAATAGTTACATAAAACAATATTCATTATCTCTATACACAGATTACACATGTATCGTCACATTGAATTAAAACTATACAAAAACAAGAACATACAAACAATATGTCTGCGAAACACTGAGGACATTATAACGACTGTTACAATCCAGTTTTTATATTCGTAGATTGATCGCAAAGCAGTAATAACATTAGTAAACTAACTTACTTTAATATTCAGGGCATTTATTTAACTATAATGCATCATCGTTGATTTTATTAATTATTTCAAATTCTTTAATTGATATCTAACGTACTTTTATTTGAACAATTGTTTCAATGATATGCCGAACAAATAATGACTTAATATATAAAATCTATAAGACCATTCTTACGTTACAATCTCCTGTATAAAAAAACATCTGCTTCTATATTGACAATCTGCTATGCATTCAATATCTATTACATTTTGATAACACTTAAAAACAAAAAGTAATATCAAAAATAAATTATAACCTTCCGATATCATATTCCCAAAACTCATATAATTTTTAATACAATCTATTCGACACCGCAACTCAGGGTGACGCAGCTGAATTAGCAACAAAACGACACCGGAGCTACTTTACCAGAATTTACTTGAACCGGTGTACTCCACATAGGAATATTATAATAATATCGGAATGAAGCGTTACTCATCATTGCATATCTATTTGGTCTTAATCCTTCTGTGATCATTTATAAATACCTTATTTTTCGATAACAATATATGCTGGCATGGTTTATCGTCTCACTAGATATATTTAATATAATACCAGTCGTCTTTAATAGATTTTATAAAAATAAATTATTTATAATGTTTGTTAGTGAAGCAAACGTAATATTAGAAATGTTATATGACATGCTGGCGGAATTAAAATGCTATAACTTTGTATCAGATTGAAATTTATAGAATTATATCTCATTATATTTCAAACTGCGACCCAAGTGTGATCCAAAAGATTAAAAAGAATTTATTTTAGTGCGTAGATGTTTAAATTAAACAATAACATTTTACCGTATATATAGGGAGGTTCCTATGATGAACGTTAGCATACATCTACGATTATCATAAAAACATATTATCAAATTATATTATTCTTAATAATTCTCTCGATTATAAACTTAATATTACAAATAAAGTATGCTTATTTGTTCAAGTGTATATTTACACTCATACTAAAACAGGAAGGATAGCAAATCAGAACTGTTGAAGATGATACAAGATAACATAAATGAGAGCTAGGAATACCCTCATTTAGTGTATTTCATGTATAATTTATCCGATCCGGAACTAAATGTTATAAAACATTAAAGGGTGGACAGAAGAAAAGACCCCATCATGATATAAGGTCATACATTTATTGTCTGACAAAATAACTAAAGATTAGGAAACCCAATATTATGGATGATTATTTAGTTCTACACTTAACTTGATCTACTAATTATAACATAAATTAAAGTACTTCGTAGGTAACTTGCCAAAAAAACAAACAAACAAGTATAGGCTACGTACGGGGCTCTACATTTTATAATGTCTGACTGCGAGAGTATAAAAAACACCAGAAAGGTGGGCCTAGAAGCGCTTCTATCTTGGAATATAAGGTTCGACAATTAATCTCGTACTGATCAAATTGAATAACTAAAGGGATAGACTAGGCAAAATACTAGCGTCAAAAAATTGCAAAAGTTTCATAATTAAGTGTTCTGAACAAGATATGAAACATTAAATAGAGCTAGGAAACCGATATGGTATATTTATCTACATTATAATTCGTCTCAAAAATTCAAAATAATATGTGAAGCATAAGAAAACCTCATAATGCTATTAAGTTCTACATTAATTGTCCTGACAAGTAATCATCAAAGGACCAGACCTAGAAGTCATATGTATTAGGTTCTACATTTGTTGTCTGACAGACTACCAATTAAAGCGCGAATATAGAATGCAGTCACTCAGCCCAGGTAGTTTTATAGTTCTACGAGTTTTATGTTGAATACCCACAAATAACTAAAGAGCTTAAGACCCAATATGGATATATTATAAAATTATTGTCTGAAACGTCTAAAAAGGACATAAAGTACTCTAGAAGTCCATATTGTATATATATTACTTATTGAATCTAGACCTAACATATAAACATAGAGTGGACTCCAGAATTCAATTCGATACATATAGTTCAATGTATGCTCGACAGTATAACATAAGGAGAGCCTAGGAAACCATATTGGTATTGGTTCTACATTTCTCTACAATATAACCTAAAGGATAGTCTAGAAAACCAATATGGTAGCAATCCCAAGTGCCTTACTATTGGTACAATTATAATTGTCGTCTGATCAAACATAAACATTGCAAATGAGAGCATGTGAATACCAATTTATTGTATATTAGTATCATTTAGTGATTCTGCACCAAAAAATAGACCAATGACTCATAATAGACGAGAAGAGAGTATTTGTAGCATATGTATATTATTCAAACTGAATTCAACAAGCACTTAGTTACACTTTATATAATGTAGTGATAAGTGATCGAATCCGACCTCAAGTTAAAAATATACTATATTTTAGACTATCAAACGTATTGCTTTATATAATTCACAAGTATGATCTACGTGCGATGAATGAACGTTCTCATGTAAGATGTAAATTATATAATCTTGTATACAAGACTGGCGACTTTTCCCCAAAATGATTATTGTCTGATGTTTATTTGAATACCGTCAGTTTAGTTAACCTTTTTGAATGAAAAAAGTTAGTTTGAAAAACTTCATTGATAACCATTGCCTACACAGCGAATCTTGAAGTAAGTAGTCATCCATTTAAATAGTAATCTGTATTATTCATACGCCAAGTATACACATGACACGACGAATGGGATAAATTATGTAGCAGCTATATCCGATGTTTTGTTGTTTCCACTTTTTAGCTTTCAATATTTTATTGATAAATTTGTAAAATGGAATGTAAGTATTTTGTATTGACATTTGGTGTAATCTATATATGTGACTGAAGGGTTAATTTAACAAAGTTTGCAATTCATTTATGTATTTTGTGCATTGTATTTTCACAATGCTAATTTAGGTGTAAACAATACTGCTAACTATATGGCATTATAGCAACATATGACATTATCTAAGTGATTAGATCTTCTATAACTGCTATATTATATCTAGCAGTAATTATACCTATGGGCATATCTCATATTAGACAAAGGACAATATGATTTGTCTGGAAGCAATTTTCTTCATATAGTTTTCGTATAATAACAAAGACACTCATTCTTCTAAGACCTCATTAACACTGTAATGATAAATTAAACATCGACATTTTCTATATCTTTCAACAAACTCTTCTTTTTATAGGTCTTTAAACTTGTTGTTATTTTATTGAACTCCAAACTTGGTACTTTCTATGCAATTCTAATATTAAAGTATCATCATCTACATAAAACAACTAAATCTAACTCTACAACTAATTACATGTCAAAACCCATTCAAGCTACAGTAATGGCTGTGTGACAAGAATACGCGATTATCGTTGGTACGTATCGTCCTGAAAGCTTTCTCAACTTGAACGATATCTCCGATATGGAAGGATATCCTATTGGAAGGTAATAGAGATATGAATGATCTGCGTAACACTTATATCAGCTACAAATAAGAAAAGAAAACACTGTATAACGATTTTTCTAAGAATATACGTTCTATTTTGGTAATGGTATCATTTCTACAATATATGTTCATACAAATTGTCTCATCTGAGTTAATTTTATGAGTAAGATAAAAAATAACTTCTTTCTCTCAACTCAACAAAAATCAACGTATCTGAATTTCATCATTGGTACAGACTGGTTATTCATTGTATTAATTGTATTAGTATTTATTGGCGAGCCAATCTACTTTCACAAGTTAAAATGATGGTTCTTTTACTAACATGTTTATTCTATATCACACGAGCCTGTCATAAACTATACTAACAGCTTCGATGTTTCTGACACGTACCACACCATTTCGTCAGAATAATATTAGCAATACTGTCAATGTCTCTCTTGATTTCAAAGATGAAAAGGCTAAAATAACAAGAAAGCATTCCACAAAATAGAACCGAAACCATGCTGTCTAAGAGAGAACTTAACTTTAATATATCACGGTGTTTCTCAAGGTAATCCTTAATACAGACAATATATTATCAATATTTCTAATAATTAACTCTCATTATTTTTACTCTAAGTATAATACTAAGGTTTATACCATCTTTTACAATAGACTCTTGCCATCTTAATGTAGTACACAGTTTAAAACGTGACTAGACTGACATTATTGTCGTGTCTACGATCTACATCAACGTACAACTAACCGTAGCTCTTGATTTATCAATAGAGCAATCTTGAGTTCTTGATCTCTTATGATCTCTTATCTTAAGCTAATAAACTCTATTGGATATTATTTAAATAACGGTATTTACGTTGATTATATGATAATTCAAATATATTAACTCATATCTACAATACGATACATTAGAACAACAAAGAGTACACCCGATTTATATCTATAGCTTTTATGTATGCTGAGGAAAAGAAACACTTTTTCTATAAGAAGTTTGATAAAGTTTATTGCATATTCATTGGACACCGAATGAGAGACATGAGGAATAGAACAAACTTATTAAATGACAAGACAGTAGTTAAAGCATTGTTACAATAACATGTTAGAAGTCATAACGAGCAGTTAACATCACACAGTATATTATAACTTTACATTCTTATACTATCAGCATTATCTAATTTTATCCAGTGAATAAACAGCTGCGCTTTTTTTAGTCTTCGATGTTTTTTATTATTTTGTTTGATAATTTGCGACACTCTATTGCTATATGAGTAACTTTATGTATTATTACAGCTAATCCAAATTTATTAGATAATAACAGATCTTCTATATTAATTTTTATATTTTAGGCTTCCAATTGATAACCCACATTAGAATCTCAAGACTCGAGTTAATGGATGGGCAACTAGAGACTGAGAAATTAGGCTCACGAATGGTAAGATTGAGAGATATCTCAATTAAAAGAGCGAAATTTCTATCTAAAACTTCAAAGACTTACCGCTGTTTATTTTAACAAGTACTTATATATACCACAGAAAACTAATCTGAATTAGCGTGTTAGGCCTGGCAAGATATTAAAAGTAAGTTGAAAAATGTTAGACGCTAGTTATAACCGACATTACATGATTTTCGGATAGAGTACTATTTGATGAAACAGATTTTGATTCAGCTTTTATGATACATAAAAGCCAAACATTCAATTATTCATATATCTCTATTTACAATTCACTTTGACAGAAAATATAAAAATAACAAAAACAAATTCTCTGCAAAATGAAAATACAGAATGCTTAATTCGTAACAAATAAAAGCTCTCTAATCTGTATGTTAATCATTCTAATACTCTTTGTGTGGTCCTTCCACGGCTATAACTAAGTGGTAAAACCTGTCTCATGTTGTGACGCGTTTCATGACGATTAGGGAAATATCGCTCAAGAGCTTCTGCGCCTCAGTTCTAGGACCACTCCCAGATCTAAACATTCACTCTTGAGAACTGACAGGAGTCAGTTCTAGTGTCAATCGTCAGTGAGAGAAGCAGACAAGAATTCAGAGCAAAGCCCTTGTTATAGACAAAGTATGATAAATTGTATCATTCAACAATATGGGCAGCGGACAACGATCAAATCTCATAGATGTAAATACAATATATGGATTCATAGAAATGTTCTTGTTTGTTCACATAATTAACCAATTCACTGATTTTTTAATCTTGATTATGTTATGTTCTCTATTTAACTCATATATCCGACGAATATTGATACAATAAAGCTCGTAATCTTAATCAGACGCATTTTAATCTGTCTCCCTGAGATAACATCAACAGGAAGAGTCTTTGTCGCCTCGCACAATGAAACCCTAACACGAACTTTGTATAATGCTTTCAAATGTAAATGAGACAAACATAAAAAACTATAATAATGATATTAATTTAATTAAGAATATCTCAGAAAGAGTATTAAACGTCATGAGTACTGAATGCTGTCAAAAAGTAAACATCAATATCAGAAGTGACACTGAATGTTATATTAACGAATTAAATTCTTTCGCCTAAACAAATGAATATATACGTAATTAATTAAATTATGACTAAACACCTGTACAATTAAATTAAGATTTATTGTTACATAAACATATTACTTCAATATCTAGCGTAAACTAATTGTTATAATTGGTAATAATAATTTAAGGAAAAAAAACATACACATCTTTCATCGACAACCATTGACTCCTGAAATATATTACCATTGTCACTTTTTAATGAACACTATTAAATCTTCTTTAGAAAGATTAATTTCTGAACATAATAGAAGTATAATGTTCTGTTAGGATCTGAGACAGCACCAAAACAAAATGAGTTAAACACAGACACATCAATTTCATTTCATTCCGAGCATGTTTTAATTGATAACCTGACGAAACTGACGTCAATAGAACGATGACTCTAGGACAGCCGATTGAGCTTATTTTAACGCCTATTCAGTTTAATAAAACGAAGATAGTGAGATTGTTTATTAGATGAAAAAAACACACAGTACATTAAAATTAGATATAGACACAATCAGAATACACAAAAAAAAAACATAGAAACACAATATAGTATAATAAGACTAATATGTATTAAAAAGTTATATAAACTTTAGAAATATGCATTAGAAATAAGAGAAGATAAAATATAAATTGCAATTAAATAAAATAATAGAAAATAATACAAAAAAAAAAAGTACACACATATCAAAGCGATTTCAAATAAAAAGGAATCGAACATAAAAAAATAACCACATATAGTGAGCATAAATTCCATATATTCACCTTCCACGACACCTATGGCTATTACCGCTAGTGTTTCTACAGAAGATAATATAGGGCCACGTACACCACCAGATTCATCGAAGCTGATCAAACGGTATTGGTGGTGTGTTCAAGAACAAAATTCTCACATACAATCTAATAACATATCATGATACTCATACTTGTGTCTCGTAATAAGTGTATATCTGCTCACAACCTTACAATACAATTGACTCGAAATAAATTGTTATCTCTTAAACTTTGTTAACCTAAAGACTATACAGGTTTTACTTATGTAAGACAATTAAGCCTCCACTGTTAGAATAATGCCGCAAAACACAGTTTAGCTTTCAAAAGAAGAACTGTGAGTGACATATAGGTCTGATCCTAATTACTGTTGCAACATCACACATGAGTCCTCTTACAATCCAGCAAGCATGCTCACTCAATTTTTTGACGACTTCCGGCACCTTTTTATCAACTTATATGGACAGACTTATGGACAGCTGTTGATCTTTAAGAAATTGGACACAGTCTTGCTTGCATAGTGACTATCCCGGCCTTCCTCGGTCGATGAACGGAAAAGACTAGGCTATCGTTCATCAACTTAGCTTCGTTACAGACTTAACCAGTAACAGCTGCACCATAACTACGTACTGAAATTCCCACTGACTCTCGTTTTGTATTCCAACCATCGATGATCTAATAGTCAGAAATTGTCTTCACATATGCTTCAGAAAGACTGCTTAATTCTTAACGTATCACAGAGTAAGATCTATTCTATTATGTAAAAGAATGGGATAGTATAAAAAGAGGAAAACACACGTGTTAGCGGTTTATACTAGTCGCATGATATAAAACAAAGAATATAAACCATCATATAGTATTATTTAGTTTACCTAGACTATTGATATAGCAGTTACGGCGTTGTCCGCCGTCGTCACGAAATTGTTCAAGTAAGTTTCATTTCCTGCACATTATTTTCCCGATGAGTGAATGTGGTGGCCATTTAGGTTGCATTATTGAAAAAAGTATTATGGTTGTTTTATATATCGTCCATATCACTGTCTTTGAGACAGCGTGAATCAAATGCAGAATGATGTTCTTTTTAAAATATCAAAGTCCTTTTCATTTTTAACCTATAGTTTATTTGCTTGCATGTCTTAATTCTAGTTGGTATCACTCTTTTTCAATGTCATATATATCAATCAACGGTTTACATTCTCTAGCATACTGCACCAATGTGGGAACAAATGACTTGTTAAATTGTACACAAAGTTAAATACAGTGTTGTTTGGTAAAATGCGTGATGCTAGATTGTTGACACTGCTGAAATTTCGAGGCTTACGATTTACATATTTCAGGCTGGTGACAACTTTGTGCCTAATGTGTGTGTTTGTCATAACATTTAAGAATAGAATAATATTTCATGTGTCAGAAGAAATGAATGCAGAGCACAACGATTAATAACTATCTTCTACACACTAGCTCGGATTTGCAGTTCTGCAAGAACTTAGTGTTGATTAAAATTATTTTTCAAGCTCATCACTTGTTAGAAATATGGATACATGAAGCCGGCTTTGAAATTATATGTACATATTTGTAGTAGAACAAAGTAAAGACTATATATTCTTACTTTATAAATGAATAAATCTACTACCATTAAATTTTCTCCTGTCATATGAACCCGTCAAACAGCCGTAATCCACGTTATATGGCAATGAATGATTCAAGCTAAGCTGTGGAGATGTGAATGATCACCGCTTCTCTTTATTAATAATCTACAAGTCTGTAAAATTTTGTATGTATATAATATAGCTAGTGGCTTACAGGAGTGTTCCATACCTCTTTAAAGAAAGACAATGTTTAGCCATACTATGGAACTTTATATAATCAATGGTGACTTTAATACCCATTTAATGGAATAATTTTAGCCCAGCTGATGATCCTGAGAGAAGTCCTGAACAACAAAGGTAGATGAAACAAGTGATGGAGTATGTTTATGATTTCCCCTAGATGATAGAGTCACTGACCCTGTAGTTGTATATATATACCACTATATATATAGTTATATAACATGGATATATATCCTGTCTCACTCTATTCATAACGTACAAAACATAGAAGATATATCAACTTCAATAATACAGAATGAAGTCATTCATCATATCTGAAAAGTCTATTTCACATTCTGTCATGCACTTACATACATTATCTACCTTTTTTTCTAACCTTTTCTTATTTACATTAATAAATTAAACTCTTCTCTAGAACTTTTTTTAAAATTATGTGAGATTTGAATTAGTTCCTGTTACTGAAATCGTTTGTGGAAAATGGAGGAAAAAAAACTAATCATCGGAAAATAAATTGTGCATGTTGAGAGGAAACCTGATTGTCAGGTAGTTCATAATCTAACTTTAATATTTAATATCTCTGGTATACGGTCCGTTGTATTTTCATTGTCATATTATGTAATTAAGAGATGTTTTGTTTTTTAAGAATCTTTATGAAAATGCCTTTTTTTCTCTAATCATGAAATCTTCTTGTAAAATAAGGATTTTAAGATGACATGATTTACCAGTCTGATTTTCAGGAAGTGTCAGAATATATTTACGAGTAAACTAAAAAAAAAATGTTAGTTTGCTGTGGTTGCATTATTGTAGATAGCTGATAATAGTGTTAAATCTCCTTATTTAAGGCTACCTGATGCAATAAAACAAAAATTTGGGTAAGTATAATGAAAAAGAAATTTAAAGAAAAATGTTGCTGTACTGTCTCTGTTATCATTACTTGTGCTACCTGCTTGTCATAATTTATAATTATACTACAGAATCATACTCTGACCATTTTTGCGACGGACGCGCCCTCAGGCGCGTTCAGAGCTAAGTCATCTACACATGGGATTTCGTTGGCTACACTCGCGCAATGTGTCCTAAACCAATTAACAGCCCAAGAAATAGTACATGAATTTGATCCTTCAAAACTCCCATACTTTGTCTGGATATCTTAATGTCTTCCATATTTAGCCTTTTCAATTTCAAATTAAGTTATCCAAGTTAAAATATGAACGTATATTATTGATAAAAACGTTGTAGTCCCGTAGTATTATTGCGCAATATGCAAATTACTGCTGAAACGATTTACCGCTGTCGAAAAAGTAGGACAGCAAATTATACTACAATAAAGGTGTAACCTCTGAGTTCCAAGACATTATTAGTAGGAAATAAATATTTCTACATTATACAAAACATTATTATTAACAAATCAAAAGTTTTTCGTGACTCTAGGATAACTCGCACATTAATAAAAGAAGAACTATTTTCGTGACTCATACCGCGGGTTTAGCTGAATATTCAGCAGTTATTAATATATTAGATACAGTACAATGGCTAGTATAAATATCTATTTTTGAAAATGCATGTAAGACACTTTACCGCCATGTAGTCTTTCATGGTAAGGAAGTTATAATATCAGTTCTACTTCCGATTCTTGTGGTTTGTTTACATATTTTACTAGGTCATGATATGAGTTAACCTTCGCTATTCTAAAAATAGATTCTGCTTCACCTGTTCTGATTTTTGGACAGGCGATTAGGAAGTACACATTAAACATGTAATTAATAAACCAGCGGATTGTAATGCAATACTTTTAGAAATGCTATACAATTGTAAGAAGCAAACAAGTTGAAAATGGAATTTAGTGTGAAGTTGAAAAGGACAACTAAACACTGTAGTGCTTAAGTGACATTTAAATTAAAATAAAAACGATGTGCTCTGGCCTCTACATCTTTACCTTGTAAATAAAAAAATCTAAGAAATACACTATTAATTGCTGATGATTTTAACCATTTTTTTTTAATGAGACATATCCAAGAGAAATAAAAATTCAAATGACTTATATTTTATTGTCTGTATGCCCACTATGATATAACACGAAGCAATTCTAAATAGCATTCTCAAATGTATAAATTGTATTATGTTTAAAGTTTATTTGCCTGGATTTATTCTAGAAATATTTCGTTGATAGTTTTTTTTCTATTTACATATCATTTCTTAGAATAAATCGATAAGGACACTGATTTACAAGTTTGACCAGAGTTTTTAGGCATAAATTTCATTCTGTATTTAAGTGCTTGAAAGTAGAAAATCTGAATTATATCAATTTGGGACACAAAATATATTGCTCTACAAATCTCGAACTTGTATGGAACAAATTTTCCCTGTTATATATTTTGTGTTTTGTTTTTGTTTTGTTTTTTTTTCTAAAAGAAGCCTTAATTAATGTCTCTCCGGTTGCATGTCCGTCGCATTCAGTGCTGCAGCACTTTGATTACATAAGCATTCATCGAAAAAGATTTTCATATAGATAGGTAAAACAATCAAGATTTTTCTAAACACATAATTAAATATACTCTGTAACCAAAATAATCTCTACGGGCGCAAACTTAAAACTTAATGTCTAATATCTAAAACATATATAAGATATTAGACATTAAGTTTTAGACGGAGAATCAACTGACATTGCTGTAGGAGATCTTGCAGTTTTCATTTTCTGTCATGTTTTTGTTTTCTTTGCTGTTGAGAAAAACCTTTCCAGTTTTTTTCCTCTATTAATCAAACATTGTGTGCTTAGGACATATTACATTTCAATGTTTGACCATTTCATTTTATTATAAACAAGATAGTTGTAGGAATTCTGGCTATCATAGAATATAACCGTCATGGTACACAGGATCAATTGTTTCTCTAAATATTATTAGATACATACAGGACCTAGTGGTGTGATAGTAGGTGTAATTTAAGATAACGTTCACAGAAGAAATTGATCTATATGTTTCGTTTAATCGTGTAATTAAATTGTGTACAAAAAGGAAATAATATTACATTTTTATGTCGTGTAATGAAAATGGTGAACAAACGAAATCGGTTTTCATTTTCAGTATACTTTGTTATTCGAGACAATTAATTATTTGGCATTTTATGATTAAAAAAGAAGAAAGGTCGGGATACAGAACCTTCAAAACCCTGTTTTGGTATCACTATCAAAAGAAAAACAAACACATGTATCAAACTGTGTAAAATTTGCCAAAGTATGTTCTAGACAATTAAACAATCAATTAATGAAACAATATCATAGTCTTTCAAATATTCACACACAGAATAGTCCATTTTCACAAACGTTCAGGAGTTCAACAACAACAAAACATTGACATTGTTGCCACAAAATGCAATTCTAATGTTCTGAGACAAGTTATAATTCACAAAAGCGATGTAGCAATAATATTTGTTATCTCCAATAAAGAAATTGTTAAGGAATCTGTCAAGACCTGTTCTGAAATAGTGTAAGTAAGAAATAGTCTAATATACAGATAACTGGATAAAAAGTGCTTAACATTTTTGAATTATTACAGTTATGGAACACTATTGACGGCTGATCAAATTGTATTCTAATTGGGAGACGGGGAAAAGATTAAAAACAATAATGATTGGAGCAGACCAAAGAAGCTACCAGATTAAACATTATACTTTTAATCGATAAATGACATTTTAAAGCTTCTTAAAATTGGCGTATATATTTTTTGTGAACCAATAATCACAGTGGTTACGTTTCTGTATATATTTTAGTTGATTTGTGATCTTTAGATTTAGAAGTTTTAGTTCTCTTTCTTCCTCTTTTAGTGGCATGTTTTATGTATATATCTAGGTCGTTCAGAAAGGAGTATGTATTGTATGTTAATGATGTAAACTGTTTTTGAAGAACACAGACACTTTTGAAGTTCTTATTTCATTAAGTAATGTATTAAAGAGAGCAATGTTTTATATAAAACAATATTAACTCTAACAAATACGTAAATTCATTTTTTTAGTTTACCATAAGCAATACTCTCCAATAATAGATGGACAGAATATCAAAATTTGTATACTCATTAAAAACGATCATAGAAATACACATGGTGAAAGCAATGTGAACGTGCATTTTTTTAATCATCTCTCAAAATTCTTTTCGATATTGATCAGTGCGGAAGCTCGAAAAAGAACCGGACAATCGAATGACGTAACAAGATTCATGAAAAGCGATTCTCAAGCTTCTATCAGTAGTATAGACAGCAGCTCCATGGATACAGCCCTTGGTACAAATACTACCACCAAGCGAACTGGGTATAGTATTTTATTTCCTTTTGCTTATACATATATTGATATCATAATTTTCTTTATGGTAATTTTTCAAGTCACGTGTTCATTTATACAAGATTTTGTGTGTGGGTGTGTGTGTGTGCGTGCGCGTGCGTGTGCGTGTGTGTGTGTTTGTCAGCAGAAGCAGAAATAATGGATCAGTTTAACTGTTTACATACTTATAATTTCAGATTTATCGCTATTCGGGAGACATATACACCTTTAAAAGCTAAAGTGAGACGCCTGAAACATTTTGTGGAGAACAATCGACAGCATATCTTCTATTTAGTCATCTTTTTTGGAATTTGTTTCGGACTCTTTGCCGAACGATTTTACTGTAGGTTTTAGCAAATAAGTTCATTTCATGTTCTCCCCATTTCGATTTTTTTTGGGACAGAGCCATGGAAATTTATTTTTCCATTCAAAACAATCTACAGTATGTATATAATCTACAACATCTATAACCATTAACTTCTTGCATTGAACGGGTAACATATTCTTATCAACAGAAAAAGTAAGATAGGATACACAATAACAATAAAACAATAAGTACTTTATAACAAAATTTTACGTTTAAGTTATTACGTTTTCATATACATGTACTGTTTTATTATTTTAGATTATACAGTAGAACGTGAACATAGTGGTTTACGTGCACTAATGAGTTACGGTATTAGTACAACACGTGGAGCAGCGGCTGCAATGTCTTTTTGTTACTCTCTCTTGTTACTCACCATGATCAGAAACAGCATCACGTTTCTCAGAGGAACTTTCCTTAACTTGTATGTACCGTTTGACTCGGTGGTGTCCTTCCATAAAGTTGTAGCTTGGGCTGCACTCTTCTTCACGGGTAACTTGTTTTTGTATATCAAAACTTTAACATCAAATATCTCAATTGCAGTCTGGAAAAGTCAATTACACAACATTCATATATCGTCAATATTGTTGTGTTATATATCAAGCTCCTATTAAAAACCCAAGTTTCTTTTCAGCCCATCACGGTTCGTGTTAACTTTCACACAATATACATTTCCACTAAAAATAAACGTTTTTTAACATGTGTCTATTGTAAACACTTTTTGTGTCAAACAATATCTCAAACAAAAGCCATACGTTTGTCCTTTATGCAAAGAATTCCATTTATTTTCAGCTTTGCACGTTGTTGGATATGGTTTCAACTTTTATCAACTTGCGACCCAGCCAACTAAATATTTCTGTATATTTGACACAGTTGTATTCAGGTACTGTAATATTTCTGTATATTTGACACAGTTGTATTCAGGTACTGTAATATTTGACACAGTTGTATTCAGGTACTGTATATTTGACACAGTTGTATTCAGGTACTGTAATATTTCTGTATATTTGACACAGTTGTATTCAGGTACTGTAATATTTCTGTATATTTGACACAGTTGTATTCAGGTACTGTAATATTCAGTTCGTCATAATTGAACATGCAAGTTCTTTAAAAAATCATAAAACGAAGAAATCCTTAGAAGTTTTGAAACATATTTTCTTTTCTTTTTCTTAAAAAGCAACTATTCTGTTATTACTTAAGGAAACATGGCCACTTACATGAAACGGATTTAATGCACGTATAATGATATGATCTCAGTTACGAGTTTTTTGGGTTTTTTTCTTTTATTGGCACAAAGTAAAATTTAACCTGTCTGCCATTTTAGCCCCCGTTTCTATTCGGTGTCTTTCTTATAAGCTTTGTTTTGATTCTATAATAATCATATGGTTATGGGTCAATGGAATGGAGTAAATATATAAATTCTATGTTAAAATAAGATTGTTATTAAAGAAAAATATTTAGATGTTACATCAATTAACACCAATAAACGAGTTTAGGGTTTAGAAATAGGATTGTAATATAGAAAGAGAGATATATATATTATGTAAGCTATGTAATTAAAATATCGTAGAATCAGAATATCAGCTTATATTATGCTGCTCAGGATACAGTTATACAGGATCCAAATACTTAGTTCATTGTTGGTGACTTGTTTTTTTAATGAAATATATATACATGTATGTTTATTTTCAAGCATATGATTGTCTTAGCAATATTTATTTTTGTATATGTAAATGGCCGAAAGCAAATGTTATCAGCATTACCTTTCATCACTTTACTTATTTAACATTGTATGATAGATGTTTCGTGTTTGTTATATAATTAACAGTTGTCCATGGACACACTCGTTCATGAAACACATGAAAATCCCAGTGTGATAAGCAAAATTCTTATTTTCATTGCTAATATGATCACCTCAACAGAAATATCAAATATTATGATACTTTCAAGCATGAGTATATTTCGGTCATGTGAACTTCAATACATTTGAACAGTTTGAACAGTTTATTGAAAATGCTGGGCCTCTTAGAGGCATCAGTCACATATACAATAATATATTTACCTTGTTCTACATTTCATCATTTCTTGAATTACAGAGCAGATATCTTACCTACATTTAATTTCTGGTTCTTCGGAAACGTGACAGGTAAGTTTTTATATGTTTATATTTTACCATATTTATATACATGATTATATAATATGTTTTATATGTTTATGTTTTAACAAATTTACATACATGATTATATAATAACAGTTTAAGTTATCGCTGTATTGTAATGTATATTTTGACAAACACCCAAACAGTTCATGCTTGTTTTGTATGAGAATGTGTTTTGAGATGCATTTACTGAAAAATATACTTTCAGGGTTTACTGGACTATTGTTAGTGATTGTAATATGTATTATCTATGTGTTTGCCACACAAACGGCCCGCAGATTGGTTTTTAATGCGTTCTGGCTATCTCACAAGGTAAATAACCAATTTAGTATTACGTAGTGCATGCGATTATGGTTATTTTCATATATTTTAAACTTTTATTTGTAGAAAATGGGATTGTTCTCTATTTGCTTTAAATTGAATATTTGAAGGGAGTTATAAATAATAATTTCAAGGCCGTCCTTCCATCTAGCGCTCTACAGTTTTAATGTGTTCCTCCTATTAAAAATGACAAGGTCTTATACACAAATACACAATGCCCTTTTTACAAATAACATTTATAGCAACAGATCATCATGTTTATAGAAAATCTATTATCTCATCATACAACTTAGAAATATTAAAGATATTAACATATTTTCTTTTGAAAGATACCGTTGTCCTTAAACAGAATGTTTATTCTTCATTGGATGGTTATATGATATAAGTTCGGCTGTATACCATGCATGTTTTAGCATGTACACAAAATATGACAACACAAACATATCTTAAGCAAAACCATTTTATCTTTGTAAGCAGCTGAATCTGTTCACACTTTGGATCGATGACTATGTACATCATTTGTACATCATTGGTCCCGCCTTTTTATACCTATCATTTTAAATGTCTATCATATTTCAGTTGGTTGCAATCCTATACGTCTTAACTATTCTACATGGAGCTTCAATGATCGTCCAGAAACCAATGTTCTACTTGTATTTCGTTGGTCCAGCAATTATATTTACGGTGGACAAGATGATTAGTTTGAGCAGGAAAAGAATGGAAATATCCATTGTGAGGGCTGAGAATCTTGCCTCTGGTACGAATTGTAAAATATTATATCTCAATGTTTATGTTAAAATAAAAAAATAATGAATATAATGTTAACAGATGAAATATATCTTTTATGAGACCTAAAAGCAAAGAGATTAATTTATCAAATATCTTTTATTTGTACAATTTTTAAATTTAAATTTCAATCAAGGTATTAGGCCCATGGGGACAACATATTTACAAAAGGCATCATATTATGCATACATGTATGAAGATATAAACTCATAAAGAAACCATCAGTTTTGTACATAAATATTTTAAACTTTATCATGTTGGACTGAATTCATCCGAAGAAAATCTGAATTCATCCGAAGAAAATCTGAATTCATCCGAAGAAAATATCAACATACTTTTACTGTATAAACATTGTACAACAACATGTGATAATCGCATACATGTGCCAGCACATTATAGTAAAATGCATGCTTGTCGTGTCTAAGCATATTTCGAAAAATTCTACGTGACTAAACTTCTCAAAAGATAAGTAAATAAGGAATCTCTGATATATCAGGATTTAGTGGTGTGTGTCACAATCGAGCACGTGATTACAGAACATTACACCATACACTGCACAGCAAGTAATGTCGTACTTACAATAGAGCAAGTTTGACTCGAATACGTGACTTTCTGTATTATGCCATGTATATGATACAATATTGGGGGCACATCCAAATTTGGGACATACATAATCTACGGCAGCGATAGGCGACACCTTCGCGATATATATCAAAATATATGTAAATTATAACTGAATTATGACTGCAATCAAAAGTTTGAAATACACCTATAAAAACGTATAAAAACGAGCTTTGCTAGAAACGTGAAGTCTGCTGTCCCATTTTCTTAAAGAAAAAAATCATTTATTCTTTGCTTACTATATTCAAAATTACATTTCTGTCGTAAAAAATCGATATTGCTAAGTAAATGTTTAGCAAGACAACATTATTTTTTGTGATTTGGATTATTGTCTTTATCCTTTTTGATATTTAACAATATAATATTATTGTTTCTTCGTATTGTAGATATAACTTTCATTGAATTTAAACGTCCCCCAAGATTTGAATATAAGTCAGGTCAGTGGGTGAGAATTGCCTGCCGTTCTCAAGGACAGAATGAGTATCATCCGTTCACGTTGACGTCTGCGCCACATGAAGATACCCTGTCTCTTCATATCAGAGCTGTTGGTCCGTGGACACATGCGTTCAGAAGTTCGTTTGATCAAGATTGTCTGAAAGAGTCACCATACCCTAAAGTAAGTGCGTTTATTTACTGTATAGGCGTATAATTGGTAACGGCAAGGCGACATTTCGTGAAGCTTTACAGTCCATCTTATGAAATTGTATAACGTAGTTTTATATTGTTAAAACACTTGAATATAAACAAAATTTTGATTACATATGTTCAATATATTGCTACACATCCAAATGTTTGTGCCAATACATTAAATTATAGTTTGACAAAGTTTTATTACATTATTTATTCAGTTATTCCTGGATGGACCATACGGTGCCGGCCAACAAGACTGGTATACCTATGATGTGTCAGTCCTCGTTGGAGCAGGTATAGGTGTCACACCGTATGCTTCCATACTCAAAGATTTCGTTCACATGGCAACCATCAAAAGTACATACAAAATTAGATGTCAAAAAGTAAGAAACTTTAATTTCCTTATACAGTGGTCAACAATTTATCTTGTACTCCACTACACTATTATACTGTATAAATAGATGTAATACACATACTTTATACTTATATCCATGAATTTTTGTCAATCTCTATTCTGTCATTTGTTGTAATAGCCCCCCCCCCCCTCAGTTGAACGCGCCTAAAAAAAGATTGATATTATTTTCATTGTTCAATATTTCGAATATAGAATGTAGTTACAACATTTTAAACTAAATTTCTATATTTCAGTTGTATTTCATATGGATAACAGGAAGTCAGCGACATTTTGAGTGGCTTTTGGACATTTTACAAGAAGTAGAAGCGATAGACCAGAAGGGCATTGTTTCAACTGATATCTTCATTACTCAATTCTTCCAGAACTTTGATCTTAGAACAGCTATGCTGGTATCTGTTTTACTTATATGGCCGATAAATCAGTTTACAAAGTATATATAGTCTGGCTATCTGTTACTATGATACTTTCATTACATTAAGTAACATTTACTATGTCTTTCATAAATCATAGTTTGCACTGTTTTAAAATTGTATCTTTTTGACAAGAACATGCAAATCTTGTAAAATATATAGTAAAGTCTATGATCTTGTTATGACACTGTTAACATTTGTTCTGATTTAAAGTATGATATAACGGTAAGTTTGTTTTTACTGAAATACATATATCATAAACGATCATCATTCGGTCAGATCTTTAGGTTTGTCAGTCGTGAAACGTTAAAATTCTATCACTCCAAAGGTTTCCAGGCTTTTTTTTAATTCAATGTCGTTGACATGCCTGCATTGATAAATCATAAGTTTCTGTTAAAGCTGATGATCCCGGGTAAATTAAGTCTAAAGGTTGAAGATATTTTATCTCATGACACAACGAATCTTAAAATGATTGGTTAACCGACAACTGTTTGTCACTTCACCTTGATTAAGCGGAGTATATTCTTTTTGGCTCCAAGTTTTAACTAAGATTGAATCCTAACCTTCGAGTCACTTATAATGGTACAGCTTACACCATCTGTTATATATCCAGACGCAGCACATAACTAAAACCTTCATGGTTTCTTTTCTTTACAGAAAAATTGATTACCTTTTCCAACAAATTATTGGTTCTGCCTTGCGACCTATTTTTGTAGTTAGAGCTTGGTGTATGGTGTTTCTATTACATGCAGTTCCAGATGCACATTTGAACTTGATATAAGTTGACCTAGATTTCGACATAATGCCTCCTTTCAACAAAAGTTATCAATATCATCAATCCTCTTTTATATCGAGGTTTTATACTCAAATGAGCGATATAGGGTCATTGTGGACCCCTTGTTTATCAATATCTTGTACGCGTTATTGTACAAGCTTCCCACAATATTACAGTATATCAAAATTAAGAACCCCCTGAATGGTGCCTCAGAACATTTGAGTACAGTTATTATACATTTTTCAAGAATGTTCTCCTTTCATCTGGGACATATAGTATCCTTTGTCGTAGCATGAAATTACATACTTTTATAAGCTTATCTCATACAGAAATTACTTGGTATATTCACAGGTAGATATTTAGATGAAAAATAACCTCATATTGTATTCCTTTCTCTTTCTCATGAATCTTTTATACTATGTTGTGTACCGTTTCCCTCGGTCGCAGCTATGAAAAAATAGTTGTACTCGAATGTTCTCAGAAACTATTCAGGGGGTACTCTGCGTCTTATCTCGTCAAAATTGGTTGGTAACAGCAAAGATATTGATAAAAACATACTGGAGTCGGGCAAAAAATGCATGTTCCGTGTTCTACATATCACGTGGTATTGCCACATTGTACAATCTATCGCTCTTAATAAAAGTATATGCCACCATTTAAATGCATTTTTATGAAATTAAAGATTCCTCACTATTTGTTACAATCATTTATATATGCACATGGTTGTACGTTTATTTTAGTATATATGCGAAGAACACTTCCAGAAAGTATCAGGTGGGCGTAGCGTTTTTACAAATCTAAAAGCCAGCACACATTTCGGGCGTCCGCACCTGGGAAGTATGTTTAAAACAGTTCACAGGACTCATCCTATGGTAAATATATATTCTGTTAAAAAACACCATACGTACGATGCAATCATGTATATATATTTATGTAAAGGTGTAAGACAGATGCTATTTTGTATTCAGGTTTTATCCTTGTTATAAATTTAATGTCAATATTCTGAGTATTATTCTCACATGGTCTTCAGACCAGGAGTTAGTATCGTACTTGTTTACAGCTGTGACGTTTAATTACAAGTGCAAAAAGAGTATGTTGTGCTTTTGCTTACTGTTGAGAGAACTCTTTTACAACTACCAAGCTCAGGTCTTAGATACCTTAAGTATTCAATTCAGCGAGACATCCTTAATCCTCGGTAACAATGAGGGATGTCATGTTTTAGATAGTCTTTTGATAATACCAGGCTATATACAACAGTTTAAATCTGACTGACATTTGGTATAATTCGACATATAATTATAGTCTAGTGACAAATGTAAATAATCTAAATTATATTCTTACACAGACAGGTTGAAGTATTATTAAATCATAAACATGTTGGATTACAATTAAATACAAACAGTTGCATTTTTATCAAATAATATTTCAGGTAAGAAAAGTGGGCGTATTTTCCTGTGGTCCTCCAGGAGTAACCAAGAGTGTTGAAAGGGCGTGTGTGGAGGCCAGTAGAACGACCAAAGCTCTTTTTGAACATCATTTTGAAAATTTCTAAACTATTTTGACAAGAATTGTCACTTGCAAACATATGATTTATTTCGTGAGAGGGCAAGTTTGCTAGTAACTTGAAAAAAAAACAAAAACGCTTTTTAGAGTTTAGCAAACAGAAATTTATTATGTGTTAATTTGTGATGATATGAATAATTAATTTCTCTTGTTCAATTTCTTATGACAATTATATGGCAACTTAAGCAAACATTAAGTATGTAAGATAGAAATGTATCGATGTATGGTCATTAATGAATTTATAAATGTTTACTGCATATATATCTATTATACCGTTTCTTTACACGTAGAAGGCTTGATTTAAGACTTACTAAACCATATTTCTAGTGAAGTTTATCTAATGTATAATAGTATAACAATTTAACAACATATATATCATTGAATTTATCTTGATGACAACATATTTAGTTTTGCGCTTTAAACTTCTAGTATTTCTATCACTGTCTTATTACATAACTGCAATAAAAAATATCATACATGCATAATTGTTTCCCTTTTAAATTATATGTAAGTTAATGATTCATTTACTGGGTTATTTTAGCGCCCGCTACAAGGACAGTTGATTCTAGTGGTGGGTTATTATAGCGACGATTAATTCTATTGTTGGGTTATTTTGATCGCTGATTCTGCTGTTTAGTTATTACATTGTTTCGTTTATTACATCTACTGGTATGTTTTTATAACGACCTTTGATTCTACTGATTGGTTGTTTTAGCGACCGTTGAATCTATTGGTTCGGTTATTGTATCGGCCGTTGATTCCACTGTTGGGTCATTGTAGGGACCGTTGATTCTACTGTTTGGTTGTTGTAGCGACTGCGTTGCTTCTACTTTTGGATTATTAAAGCGGCCGTTGAATCTGCTTGTTTGTTGTCAGGGCGCCATAGATTCTTCTGGTTGTTTGTTGTAGCGACCGTTGATTATAGTGCTGTGTTATTGAAGTGACCAGTGACTCTACTAGCGGGTTATTACAGTGGACGATTATTTTCTTGTTCTGTTGTTCTACTGGTTAGATATTTTTGCGACCGTTGATTCTACTGGTATGATATTATAGCGACCGTTGAATCTATTACTGAGTTAGTTATCATAGCTACAGCTTATTTAACTCTTTGGTCCTAACAGTGATCGTTGTTTCCACCAGTGGTTTATTGTAACGACAGTTGATTCTACTGTTTGTTTATTGTAACGACCGTTGATTCTACTGTTTGTTTATTGTAGCGACCGTTGATTCCACTGTTTGTTTATTGTAACGACCGTTGATTCTACTGTTTGTTTATTATAACGACCGTTGATTCCACTGTTTGTTTATTATAACGACCGTTGATTCCACTGTTTGTTTATTGAAACGACCGTTGATTCTACTGTTTGTTTATTATAACGACCGTTGATTCCACTGTTTGTTTATTGTAACGACCGTTGATTCCACTGTTTGTTTATTGTAACGACCGTTGATTCTACTGTTTGTTTATTGTAACGACCGTTGATTCTACTGTTTGTTTATTGTAACGACCGTTGAGTCCACTGTTTTTTTTATTGTAACGACCGTTGAGTCCACTGCTTTTTTATTGTAACGACCGTTGATTCCACTGTTTGTTTATTATAACGGCCGTTGATTCCACTGTTTGTTTATTGTAACGACCGTTGATTCCACTGTTTGTTTATTGTAACGACCGTTGATTCTACTGTTTGTTTATTGTAACGTCCGTTGATTCCACTGTTTGTTTATTGTAGCGACCGTTGATTCCACTGTTTGTTTATTGTAGCGACCGTTGATTCCACTGTTTGTTGATTGTAGCGACCGTTGATTCCACTGTTTGTTTATTGTAGCGACCGTTGATTCCACTGTTTGTTTATTGTAGCGACCGTTGATTCCACTGTTTGTTTATCGTAGCGACCGCGCTGATTCTACTGTTTGTTTATTGTAGCGACCGTTGATTAAACGGTAGCAACCTTTGTCTGATTCTGTTGTTGGGTCATTGCAGTGACCTTCGATCCTACCGTTGGCTTATTGTAGCCACCATTGATTCTACTAGTGGTTGATTCTTTTGGTAACTTGTTGCAATTATCAATCCTCACGCTCGACTTTTAACAAGTACACATTTTGTTTTGTTTCACAGTCAATTTCTTTATTGTTCAGTTGAGCATATATCATATACATTTGTTTCACTGTGACTTCATGACCACTGGAGACATTTTGAAATGCACATCCGGTCGGTTGCCTCTTTGTAAAGGAAAAACCCCAACTATGTATATGACGTGTATTTATATTTTCCGCAACAATACCGCTTATGAAAACATCCTCCATGCGAAAAAGTTTTGTGTGCACAGCCGATCTGTATAAGTCAGATAAAATAGATGATGAAAATCCGTAAGCTGTACCTGAACAATAGGTCGGATAAAAATGATCAGAAAATTCATCCTTCGATACATACCATTTTGAAAATTGATCTCTAATTGGTGGTGCTTTCTCAAACACATGACAGAGAAAGAAACGCTCCTCTTGACGTTGTATGAATTCTTGCACGGTGTTTTGAACATTAATATACATGTCATCGTCCGACTTCAAATAAAATTTAGAATTTGAACAGTAATCAGTTAGCCACTGAAGCATTGATATTGATTTTAGAGTTAAAACTTTATAATCGTCGATTAATTCAACCTGGATAATATCGTTGTAAAGTTCCGCTTCTTTTCTCACTTGTTCATTCACACTTATATCTTTACTTAAACCAACATGAAATAATACTAACACGTTCATTTTTCGTTGTTCAGATGCCCACGTATTCCTAATTGCATTTCTTCGTATAAAATTGTCTATTTTACTAACGACAATCACAATCAGATTCCATTGTTCAGTCTCATTAAAGAGCTTCCGTTCACAGACAGTGTAATTGTTCACTGTAAAACTGAAGATTGGACCATTTTTGTCTTGGCTAACATTGTTGGGTTTTCTGAATGAGCTTTTTGTCCGTGTCCCTTTCAACTGGTTTTCTGTGCGTGAAATTCCTTGTATTCTACCCCGGACAGTTGCTTCATCTGAAGAAACAATTAAGTAAATGTTGAAACACCTGTACATTGTACACACCAAGTGTACACGTGGAAAAATCAATACAAAGGGGTTTTATTTTTAACATGACATAGCATAACATATTCTTTATTTGGCATAAAAATGACTAATACACATTTATAGCCAATACAAGAAGCGACAAAACCTTTAAGGTTATGGAGGACAATTTAAAAACAGCTTTTATTTTTAGACTTTAGCCTCCACAATAATCCTTGTATGAAAATTACCCAATTAAATACTTATTTATGTACCATAGTTATTGTTTCAAACAAGAAGTTTTCTACAAACCTTATCCGTATACCATCAACGAGTGAAGATGAATTTATACCTCACAGGGAAGCATAAAAATATACTGATAAAATTACCTGTTAGCAAGGTCCTTCTAGATGTGTCTCGATAAAACCACCTGACATAGAAGTCCTACTAGAAGTTTCATAATAATACCACCTGACAGTGACGTCCTGCAAGATGTTTTACAATAAAATTACCTGACATAAAAGTTCTGTTAGATGTTTCATGATAATACCACCGGATAGTGACGTCCTACTGACATAAAATTACCTGACACTGACGTCCTTCTAGATGTTTCATGACAAAATTATCCGACACTGACGTCATACTAGATGTTTCATTATAAAATGACCTGACATTGACATCCTACTAGATGTTTAATAATAAATTACGTGACAATGACGTCCTACATGATGTTTCATTATAAAATTACCTGACAGGGTCGTCCTACTAGATGTTTCATGGTAAAATTACCTGACATTGACATCCTACTAGATGTTTAATAATAAATTACGTGACAATGACGTCCTACTTGATGTTTAATGATAATTTTACCTGACGTTGACATCCTACTAGATGTTTAACGATACAATTACCTGACATTGACGTCCTACTAGATGTTTTATGACAAAATTACCTGACAGAGTCGTCCTACTAGATGTTTCTTGATAAAATTACCTGACATTGACGTCCTACTAGATGTTTCTTGATAAAATTACCTGGCAGGGTCGTCCTACTAGATGTTTCATGATAAAATTACCTGACATTGACATCCTAGTAGGATGTTTCATGATAAAATTACCTGGCAGGGTCGTCCTACTAGATGTTTCATGATAAAATTACCTGACATTGACGTCCTACTAGATGTTTCATTATAAAATTACCTGGCAGGGTCGTCCTACTAGATGTTTCATGGTAAAATTACCTGACACTGACATCCTACTAGCTGTTTAATAATAAATTACGTGACAATGACGTCCTACTTGATGTTTCATTATAAAATTACCTGGCAGGGTCGTCCTACTAGATGTTTCATGGTAAAATTACCTGACATTGACATCCTTCTAGATGTTTAATAATAAATTACGTGACAATGACGTCCTACTTGATGTTTAATGATAAAATTACCAGACGTTGACATCCTACTAGATGTTTCTTGATAAAATTACCTGACAATGACGTCCTACTAGATGTTTCTTGATAAAATTACCTGACATTGACGTCCTACTAGATGTTTCATGATAAAATTACCTGACATTGACGTCCTACTAGATGTTTCATGATACAATTACCTGACATTGACGTCCTACTTGATGTTTAATGATAAAATTACCTGACGTTGACATCCTACTAGATGTTTAATGATAAAATTACCTGACATTGACGTCCTACTAGATGTTTCATGATAAATTTACCTGACATTGACGTCCTACTTGATGTTTAATGATAAAATTACCTGACGTTGACATCCTACTAGATGTTTAATGATAAAATTACCTGACAGTGACATCCTACTAGATGTTTCATGATAAAATTACCTGACATTGACGTCCTACTAGATGTTTCTTGATAAAATTACCTGACGGTGACATCCTACTAGATGTTTCATGATAAATTTACCTGACAATGACGTCCTACTAGACGTTTAATAATAACATTTCCTGACATTGACATCCTACTAGAGGTTTAATGAATAAAATTACCTGACAGTGACATCCTACTAGATGTTTCATGGTAAAAATACCTGACAGTGACGTCCTACTACATGTTTCATTATAAAATTACCTGGCAGGGTCGTCCTACTAGATGTTTCATGGTAAAATTACCTGACACTGACATCCTACTAGATGTTTCATGATAAAATTACCTGACAGAGACGTCTTACTATATGTTTCTTGATAAAATTACCTGACAGTGACGTCCTACTAGATGTTTCATGATAAAATTACCTGACAGAGACGTCTTACTAGATGTTTCTTGATAAAATTACCTGACAGGTCCTACTAGATGTTTTATGATAAAATTACCTAACAGTGACATCCTACTTGATGTTTCATGATAAAATTACCTGACAGTGACGTCCTACTAGATGTTTCATGATAAAATTACCTGACAGTGACATCCTACTAGATGTTTCATGATAAAATTACCTGACAGTGACGTCCTACTAGATGTTTCTTGATAAAATTACCTGGCAGAGTCGTCCTACTAGATCTTTCTTGATAAAATTACCTGACAGTGACATCCTACTAGATGTTTCATGATAAAATTACCTGACAGAGACGTTTTACTATATGTTTCTTAATAAAATTACCTGACAGTGACGTCCTACTAGATGTTTCATGATAAAATTACCTGTCAGTGACGTCCTACTAGATGTTTAATGATAAAATTACCTGACAGTGACGTCCTACTAGATGTTTCTTCCTCAGGTTTGAGGACAATAAACTGTTCTGTCTGATTATCTTCTAATGGGATATTTTGCAAAGTGTAAAACAGCAGATTCACAGCCGCACATGTGCACAGAAGTAATAAAACAAAACTCAAATTTGCAATTCTCATCTGAAATAAAGAGATAAAAATAGAATTTGCAAGTTGACTTCTGCAGTAGTTAAAGGATACAAAAGCCTAAAATGTAATCCTAACAGATCAACTGCGTCACTTAACACATAAAGATATGCAAAAGCATGAAGAAATACATTAGTGCATGGACATGGAATTAATTTAAGAATAGTATTTTGCGCTATTCTTAGTCCGATTTTAGCTTTAAGTGTTTAAACACATTTCGCTTTTCACATTTGGAAAAACGGAGTGAACGAAATGATCTGAAATTTTGCACTTAAGCCCAGACCATCATCAAATGGTACATAACTGTAAAAAATACTTCCAGTGCCATCATGTTAAAAAACAACAACAATAGCTTTCGCAGAAATGGCGGGTCCATCGCTGCGGCTGTGGACCATTCGTCGTAAATATGGCTTTCAGTTCGTTTTTCGCTGTAACCGGTAAGTTTAATACCGAGTTTTACTTTATATTTTAACGTTTTACTGGCAACACCTAGTTTAAGGTCTTCAGCGTACCTGTTACAATGACATGACGTTAACATTTTTTTGTCAATTATTGCCGCATCATATGAAAAACAAAAATGTTAAAGAGCGGCTTATAAAGTTCCTTGCCATTCATGTAAACACTGCTGTTCAGTTTGGCGAGGGGACGCCACTTGTAAAACAGGATTTTTTTCTGTAGAAAACTAAAGCTAGTGAAACAATGAAATCTAATTAATCACTCTCTAGTCCGCTTCTAGGTTCCAGGCAGTACCGGCCTTAGGGGTAGACAACTTAATCATTACGCCACCACTGCCCCTAAATCATTGCAACAGGTGTACGGGAGCAAACAATAATCTCATATTTGTTTCCTTACGTTAGTTAGGAACACCTGTTAGAGAACAGGGAAAGTAAGTACATCCTAATAGCGAGTTCAGGATAATTCCTACAGGAATTCTCTGTTACACGATGATTAAACAAAACTGGCATTTAGCACGTGTAAATCGTATCTACTGATTTGTATCTTGATATGTGGAATTTGCTGTACGCATTTTGTTAGAGGCGTTCGAGGCGTAATTAAATTATTCCGTCAGGTTATGTGAATTAAACTTTCAACTGGAATTTAAGGATGACGTATATCTCTCTTCGGCTGTTAATTATTACATTTAACTCGTGTTGTTTCTAATTAAAAATAAAACGAGTTATAAATTAAAAATTTAGCATAAATGTGCAAATATGAAATACTTATTAATGAAATATTGAGAAATATTGATGAAATAAAACGCGTATTTTCTTTTTCCGTATTTTCACTGTAAAAAAATATTTTTTTTCCACTGCAGTGAAACATATTTTCCGTATTTTCACTGGTGCATGTCGGACTACTTTCTTCTAATTCTGCAAAAATTAAGGAAAATTCTTTCAAATTGTAATGTCAAAATAGAAGAAATGTATATATAATAAACAGAAAATTCATTTTTTTCTATAAATACAGGATATACTTTCATCTTGTGGTATGAAAATGATCACATTTCACTCGTGACTACCGCCACTCATGAAATATTTATTTTCATACCACTCGATGAAAATAAATGCTGTATTTAGAGAAAAAACTTGAATATCCTCTATTTCCGTGACAACAATAAAACAGCCATTCAAGTTGGTATGTAGTGTATTTGCTGTCACTCTGACTTTTTATTCAAATATAAATTTACAATAAAGTGAAACAGATATTAATTTCGTAAAGGTAAAGTGCATAGCTGTGGTGTACTTCTCCGTAATGAGGTGTGTAGTACACATTGACAGCCAGTAAATAAATAAATAAATAAATATCATGAAGTTGAGTGAAAATGGCAATGCTGAGAATGGCCTATTGAGCTAACCGGACGGCTAGAGGGAGTTCGAATCTTATTGAAACCTTATATACTTTTAACGAGGATTGACGAGGATTCGTAAAATTCCCATGATCTTAATTAATGCTAGGCTACCGGGTCAGATTAAAGTACAGAAAATCATATTTTACACCAAATGTGTTAACGAAGCTCGTGAAAAGCGCTCCCTTGTCAAACAAACGAATCTTTCCTTATTTCAGCAAATAATTTTTGCTTGATATTTTTTCTTAAGTGTTTTACATGTTTTTATTGCATTTCGTATCTACATATTTTGAAGGTTACGCGTGGTATTTTCACACACTGAATGATGAAGCGAGGAATGTTACCACATACCCACGAGGGCAGCTACTGATCGAAGATAATAGTGATAAATAAAACGGCAATCAGCCACAAGATATATTATATCTATCGTAAACAGATATTTACAGACAAATATTTATATACACAGACGTGTGTAATTAAATAAAGGAGAGGAGTGTGGAAATCATCAGTACTACAGCAGCTTGATGAGCATTTATACATCATAATTATCAACGAGATATCTTGGTAGAAAGTTTCTAATTCTTACCTTGTAACCATGGGTATCTCTTAAAATAAGAAAGTAGCAGTTCGAACAACATACGTTTAATAGATATAAACACTTCTTGTTTTATACATGTACGTACACAGTTCAAAGACATCAAACGGTCTGTACAATTAATAACAGTTTAGACATATAGTAGGTAAAGTAATAACATACCGTTGTGTTATGGGTGTTTATCCACATCAAACATAATTCCAGAAAAAAATGTTCTGATTTCCTGTTATTTAAATACTAGAGCAAATCTTTGTGTTTGTGACCGCGGTGTGTAGAAGCTACGTAGACAGGTGGTAATATGATACTGTATAGCAAGCGGGAGCTTATCAGTTATATCGTACTCGTTTCAGCATCGTACGTACATATGATACATTTTAACAGAGACATAGATAACATCTACATCTCTGATTTTAAGTGTGCTTGAAAACAGGACTGCAGTCGGTGCTACTATTGCGGGTGTAAAACTTGTTAAAATCAAGATAAGATATTTTCTAGTGATTCCCATCATTTTTATGAAACAGTTTCCACTTGGCTACATTTTTAGTTTTCTTACCTCGTTATAATATATTAAAAGTTCTAGGTAAATAGAACAGGTTCTATATGTTAAGTGGTGTTTAATTTTTTAAAACCAGCACCATGCATATCAGTGAACACAACACTTTGCAAAATATTAGCCGAAATGCGAAAACGACTTAAAACTACAAGGCAAGTAAATTAAACAAGAGGGTCGTAGTGGCCCTTAATCACCTGAGTTTGCCTGGGTTCCAGTCTGATATTTTTTTATGTGATTCTGTTCTTTGATATTATCAAAACACGATCGAGTATGAAATAGCGCGTATGTTATGAATAAGCAAAAAATATCAACACCTGAATCCCAGGCTACACCCGAGTATATGATACACATGAACACCTTGTGCTTAGGTGAGCAGAAAAGTGAATTAACACATTATGCATTACACTTATTTCCAAGAAATTGTTTACTATGCATGATCATTCGCGAGAATGACGACCTAGCTATAGACATGATGATTGCAGTAAATCATTTGTATACAAGTGTCATGAACGACGTCGGTATTGGACGCTGTATGATTACCGTGGAAAATTAAATAATATTAGTGTTTGCGAAAAATTCAGTTCAAACTTCAAAAGTTGAGAATTTTTTTTACCGTTGCAAAGATTTTCTACTAATTCAGTTTATTTGACCAATTAATGAAAATAAATTCAAATGAGATTTGTCAAAAAGCATCGTTATCATTAAAAACCCAAACAAACCACGAATGCTTACACTACAATTACAGTGACATAGAACACGTAGTAGCTATAGTGTTTTGGGACAATACTAACTCTGAAAATGATCCTAAAGTTTACTGGCAGATATTCTCAGTTTCAGTTTATGTTGAAAATATTTTGAGTGCCTGAAATGCACCATTTTACACCATCATTTTCTATTTTTAGGAGGTGCCCGTACTCCGCATTCTGTATGGGAGACCACTCTCTTGTCGTCCCGTCGTCAACTATAACTGGTTTTCCACCTATGTTATCAACTATTTAATGCATACGCTGATGGCCACAGGCACGAGTATCGGACTTTGGAAGAAAATATGACCACATTGATAAAAAGCCTCTGTGTTCATCTTAAATGTGTCAAAAACCAAAAAAAGTTAAATTTGAGCCCCCTTAAAAATATACTATATGTTAAGATTAACTTAACTTATAGTATATTTTTAAGGGGACTCATATTTCTTTTTTTCTGATGGCGGCATAAACATATGGAATATATTAATATAGGTTTTATTATAAGTCCTTATCAGTATTTTGCTCTATAGCATCGAATGTAATGATGGATAAAGAATACACGGATCACAACATGCATTTTGACAACAATTCCCTTCATCTGCTACCGATTGCCAAAATATTGATCCATGTGTATGGTACAGATTAAGAATTCGGATTGTACAGTGTTTTGATCTTATTTTCAGTCATTTTTCTTTATCCTCGCGTTGAATGTTTGACACACCCCAACCAACGACAACAAAGAATTCTCAGAAAAAGACTGCATCAAATGACAATGCAGGAATGGGTAACAGGAATAGCATTTCATTCATTGTTTTACAACAATAGTTAATATTTAACAAAATAACTCAAAATTATAAAACCGTTCAATATATCGACCTCATAAGGGAGTTAAAACAACATGACTTGTGTTCCCGGAAACCAGCGTATTATTTTAACCGATGAACATTCCGGTGAACCACGAGGTTGGTCCTCCTTGGGATCGGACGGACAAGGGTTAATAGATTAACTGTTGGTAAAGATATTTTAACTACATGTAAGTTCGTCTCATCTAAAGACATGTGGGTTTGTGTCCTACATTCCAGTTAAACATCCGAAATTAAAGATTGATATTCATCTACGCAAATCATGTTCACACTTATATACATGTTCTAGTACTTAAAAGATATTGCTATTCATTTTAGGTGGCTTATTTTTATAAATACTAGTCTTGTAGTTAAACCAGAGACATAGATAACACTCGTGCCTATCAAAAAGTAAAAAATTAGGCATTTTGTAGCAAATAAAACCTAATGGACGTACAATTTATCCTTTAATATTATATACCATTTGAAAGGTAAATCTTTTATCTATTGCTGCATGTTAAAATATTGGTAACTTTCCATACCTTTCACTTAGATAAACATGGCAGAACATACCCACTGAGCCAGTTTTTTATTGTCATATGAATAGTTTTGTAATAAAAATTATTATATAGTGGTTCTCTTTGAAAAATGATGTAACATTTATTTAAATGGGAACTGTAAATATTTTTACCTGCAGCCATAGACAAATGCATAAGCTTTCAGAAAATGTATTATTTTACTGATTTTGATATCTGGCTAATAAGTTTTACCTGCTACAAGTTTTACGTTTAGCAGGCACGCGTGATATTTTAACTGGATAGGAAGTTGCCCATCCCTGTTATCTATGTCTCTGTTATCTATGTCTCTGGTACAGCATGTTAGTGTCATATATGGTTTCTTTCAGTATTTTCTTTATATAACAAATGGAAATGAGATGTCAATCATAAACTCCGAGTTGTAAAAATATATTGTATAAATCTTAATCAGAAATGAAAGATGATGATAATCATTTAGTTGGTTATAAATGATTTAATTCTCTAAAAAAAGCTTCATATATGCTTACAAGGAACTCCTTATACAAGAAATTTTGCGTGTCCAGAGAGTTGGCTATATTAAACAGAGAAATTATTATTTTGCTTATATAATTATCCGTGACATAGTTATAACTAACGTCGTTCAGTTAAAACCACTTGCCCCTCATCGTTGAGGGTTTGAGTACCGCCAGGCACTTTGAATTATTTCATGTAATGAATCTATCCGGCTACATGTAGCTTGCGTCTACTCAGATCGATGCCTTTTCGAACCTGAAATAATGCATCGAGGGGCATCGGAGGTCAATCTCTACCAGTAAAGCTGGAAAGTTGCCATACAGCGTCGGTGCGACGTAAAACCAAACCGATGGAAAAAACAAGAGGGTAAGGATGGCCCTTAATCGCTCACCTAATAAGATGATTCAACAATATTGAAATATTAAGAAATTGGTAGAAACATCAATTTTACAATTTTTAGTGTGCAGGGGTTGGTGTATTAAAACAATAAATTCGTTGAATCTTTGTATCTTTCACATTATTATACGTAATGGACTCTTCACAAAGTATCTTTACACTAAACAAAACTTCTAATTGGTTCTTATTTTTAGCTCTAGCGGCAATCTTGATCAGCAGACCGTAACCATCCAAAGACCCTTTACGTATAGTTTCAAAATCGACCAAATACATGTTTGTTTGTTTGTTTGTTTCATTTTACGCCTTTTCCCAACAGTATTTCAGTCATATAGGCGGGTAGTTTCCTAACCATCGTTCCTGGAGAGTTACACCAGTACTAGACTACCTTCCTCCGCGCTAAACAAATACATGTAGTTAAGAGAATGTTGTTTCAAGGATTTTCTATTTTTAGCTCTTCATTCTCATTTTTTTTATCTGTTCAGCAAACTATAACCATTGAGCAGTTTTATAGAAAACTATCCAAGGATCATTCCTGTATAGTTTCATCACTTGTTTGGTAAATCAAATACCCCTGGCCTAGATTCTTGTCAGTAACAAAGTCAATGAATAAAGGCTGTAAGAGCAAATGTGTAAGAATCTTTTTTTAGCACCATAACCTTGACCCCACTGATCCCTAACTCCTATAAAAGCGGGAGAAACACCAAAGTTATGATCCTACAAAGTATATGAAAGACATCTGTCAACCAATGAGATTGTATGTGCAAAAGTGTAAAAATATTTTTCTTTTTTGGCACTGGTGATTTTGACCTCGACCCAAATGCCCCTAACTTGACCCAAAGGTAGGGGATCACAATCATGTCCCTATTAAAACAGCAGTGCATCCAAATATAAAGTTTAAAGTCCCTTGGCCAATGCATTTTGATTCAATAGCTTATTTTGTTATTACAATTACCTGTAACTTTGATCATTTGACCTGAAAATGGTTGTGCTGGTTTAACCTTTCAAGGTAAATCCACTTATGATGTGTCAATGTTATGTTACAATTGATGTTGGTAACCATAAACTAAAAGGATAACCAAGCCCACATTGATTGAAGAGTGGGTATAACAATACCTCCTTTCTTTTGAACTTTCAGAATAAGTACATGTACATTAACATTATTGCCTAATAAAACTAATAGCATTTAAATGGTGTTAGTAAAAATCATTCATCCTTGTGTATACTGTTACCTCTCTATCATAATAATGAGAGAGAGACACACATAAACTAAATTGTATTACTAACACTTCAACACTGTAACAAGGAGAACGGAATGTCGACACAACCATTTATTTTCATATATGCTTTATTTTTTTTTTAGTTACATTAAATTTAAAAACATCATTGTCAAGTAAAATGCAACATACATATTGTACATATTTTTCTTCATCATGTAACAATATTTGTTACTATCAACATTTCATTTGGCAAACACAATGAAAATAACAAGAACTGTCGGAGGACAGTATTGGCTCGACTATTCAAAAAGTTGTCACAAAGGTGTTTTATTGAGTATAATAATGCTAATTACCTATGAATACATAAAATTGACCGAAAAGGTACAAAGGCTTGTTATTAGGATGTTTTATCAAGTAAATCACTGCTTTATTATTATGAATGCATAAAAATGTCCCAAAAAAGGCACAAACTCTTCAGTAGTTATGGAGATAACATAAACTTTACCATGAATCTCTAAGTTGCAAAAGGGGAGAAAAATCAGCCTAAATGCAAGATAGAATTATGGATCTTGGTCAGTGACCTATAATTATGATTCTAAATGCATATGTGAAGTTTTAAATAAATATCTTTAATAGTTATTGAGATATGTAAAACTTGCATGTAAACATTAATCAAGAGACTAAGTAGAAAAGGGGAGATGAATCAGCCTAAATGCGAGTAGAGTTATGGAACTTGGTCAGTGACATACAATTATGACTCTCCAATTATGACCCTAAGTACATGTGTAAAGTTTCAAGTAAATATCTTTGAAGACCTTTAACCTTTAAGTTGGGCTTTAACCAAAATTTCTAAGTTTCAAAGGGGCAAATAATTCTGCAAATATTACAGGCAGAGTTATGCAATTTTGCAAACTGATGTACATTGTTACTATAAAAAAGTATTGTAAATTTCAATTGAATATCTCAAGCAATAATTGAGATATTTGACTTTACAAAAAAACTTTAACCAAAATTTCTAATTAAAAAGGGGCATAATTCTGTAAATAGGCAGAGTTATCCAACTTGTCAATCTGATGTACATTGTTACTATAAATAAGTATTGTAAATTTCAACTGAATATCTCAAGCAAAAATTGAGATATTTGACTTTACAAAAAACTTTAACAAAATTTCTAAGTTAAAAAGAGGCATAATTCTGTCAATATTGTAGGCAGAGTTATCCAACTTGTCAAACTGATGTACATTGTTACTATAAATAAGTATTGTAAGTTTCAATTGAATATCTCAAGTAATAATTGAGATATTTGAATTTACAAAAAACTTTAACCAACGCAGACGCCGACGCCGGGGCGACTACAATAGCTCTCATATTCTTCGAATAGTTGAGCTAAAAATGCATAATCATTTATGAAAATCTGTACTAGCATCAACTGACACAGATGGTTCAAAATCAGGCAAAATTGATGCCACTTTTTGACGTAATTCTGCTCGCCTTCTTTCTCGCAACTTTTCTTTTTCTATTTCTTCAGGGAGTGTTCTCCATGCATGTAAATATCTTTTTAACAACAATCTAAAATATAGGAAAACAGACACAGTTTACAGCATTGTTACATACAGAAGACTAAAAACTGATGTTAAATATCTTGGCACTGGACTTTGAAGTTTATGAGTAGTACATTTTTAATATATATAAGTACACATGTATCATATAAGTATATGTAAACTAAGTGACCCCTAGGATGGGGCTAATCTCTACCCCAAGCTTATGCTTACATAACTTTTATAAAGATCCACTAAGCATTGCTACATAGCAAATATTCAAAGCTCTGGGTAATGTAGTTTCAAACAAAAAGTGTTTTGAACATTTTAAATATCAGTTTGTTGAAGTCCACAAGGCAACACCACATGCCAAATGTAAGGTCTGGGCATTTTAGTTTCTCACAATAAGATTTAAATGTGTTTCGTTAAATAAGTCTATATTACCTGATGGACCCCTGGGCGGGGCCAATATGAACCATAAGGACATTTATATCAGATTTGTTGAGGTCAACTAGGTAATGCTACATGCCAAATATATTACCTCAGGGCATTGTAGTTTAAAACAAAAAGACTCTATGTGATTTCCTATAAAAGTCTATACACATTAAACCCCCTAGGTGGGACCAATATTGACCCAAGGGGCATGATAAATATCTGACTGTAGAGGTCTACAAGGCAATACTACATGCAAAATATCATATGGACAAAAATGTGACCTATGTGAGCTTGACTTTGGTAGCAGGGACCTGGATTATGTGCACAATAAGCCTCATTTGTGCCAAGTTACATTAAAATCACCCGATGAATGTAGAAGTTTGCCTGCCAACAAGCAATGACCTCTCAGTGTTACCTTAATCTTAAACCTAGAGATCTGGTTCATACACATGACACTGCTTATTATAGTGGTGAACATTTTTATGAAGTTTCATTAGAATCCAACCATGCGTAAAGGAGAAATGCTCTGGACAAAATTTCTATATTTTATCATCTTTAGTGACCTTGACTTTCCATATATAAACCTAAATTACATGTTTCACACCAGGAGTTATGGTAATGATCATTTGTGTTTAAATCCCTCAATAAATGATTACAAAATGGTCTGAATACACATTTTCATATCATTATCTGAACTTTGACCCCAATGTGTGACCTTGACCACAAGGACCTAAATTTGTACGCAACACTTCACCTCACAATGGTAAACATTTGTGCCAAGTTATATAGAAATCCCTCTAAAAATGTAAAGTTTTGCTCAAAACAAAAGTTTTTTAATGACCTTAATGACCTCTAAGTGTAACCTTGACCTTTGACCTAGTTCATGAGTATGACACTGCTTCTTATAAAGATTAACATTTGTATGAAGTTTCATTAGAATTCCTCCATATGTGTATGAGATATGCTCTGGACAAAATCTCTATATTTTATTATCTTTAGTGACCTTGACCATCATCTTTAGTGACCTTGACCTTGCATATATTAACCTTAATCACGTTTCACACCGGGAGTTATGATAATGATCATTTGTGTTTAAATCCTCAATAAATGATTACTAAATGGTTGGAATACACATTTTTATATTTTTATCTGAACTTTGTTCTGAACTATGTGTGATCTTGACTGCAAGGACCTAAATTTTGCAGGGGACACTAAGCCTCACAATGGTGAAAATTTGTGCCAAGTAATATTGAAATCCCTCCATGCATGTAGAAGTTTTGCTCCTGACAAGCGTTTTTCAATGACCTCTTAAGTGTGACCTTTGACTAAGAGACCTGGTTCATGTGCACGACACAGCATCTCATAGTGGTGAACATTTTTATGAAGTTTCATTAAAATTCCTCAATGCATGCAAGAGATATGCTCCGGAAAAAAATTGGATGCTGCCCCCCAAGCAGCCCGCCAGGGGGAAACTATAATACAACCTGTTTTTCAAACGACGTATAATAAAAAAATAAATAACTAGAAGTTCAAGTTTATTTTTGATGGCGATTTAAAATATTTCTACTTCTATAGTACAGGAAATTTAATATCTAATCTTCTAATATATTATTATACACTTTGATTAAGTAAGTGTTAAGTACTGAAGTATATATTATAAAGCAAATTATCACCTCCTAAAATGTTCCCTGGCTCTCCTTTCTTTCTCCCAGGATGCAACTTTTTCTTCATTTGCATAATCCCGCCATGCTTGGAAAATCTTATGTTTTGTATTCATTTCATAATGCATTTTAGCCTTGTGTTCTTCTATTATCATGTGATGTTTATACTGTAATATAACATCTTTTAATTATAATTTTGTGATCATTGGTAACAAGTTAACTAGTTTTTAAAAATACTGCAGTAAAAGTTAAAAGAAAGACTTCATCTTAGGTGTACTTAAAGATATACTTATCAAGAAGGTTACTAGTATTATAGTAAACTTTAAGGAAACAAAAAATCCTTACATGTATATACAAAACATTTCACCGGGAAAGAATCATTTCATTAAAAACTAGAAATGTGTCCATAGGACACGGATGCCCCCACACGCCACTGTTCTGTCAATCTTATGACTCTAGGTCAAATATTTTTTGGACTACATGTGCCACAAGTTGAAAACTAAAAATCAACAAAGGGCCATAATTCTGTTAAATTTGGTCGCAGCAAAAAGTCCTTCCTTTACTTCCATCTACACATCAAGGTTGTTAATCCCTGGAAGTTTAAGCAAAATCTGCAATCCGGTTTAAGAGGAGTTGCATTCACAAAATTTCTACATAGTAAATAATGAAAAAATCAAAAAAGGGCGATAATTCTGTTAAATTTGGTTGCAGCAAAAATTCCTTTCTTTACTACCATCTACACATTAAGGTTGTTCATCCCTGGTAGTTTAAGCAAAATCTGCCATCCGGTTTAAGAGGAGTTGCATTCACAAAATTTCTACATAGTATATAGTGAAAAAATCAACAAAGGGCCATAATTCTGTAAGATTTGGTCGCAGCGAAAATTCCTTCCTTTACTACCATCTACACCTGAAGGTTGTTCATCCCTGTAAGTTTAAGCAAAATCTGCCATCCGGTTTAAGAGGAGTTGCTTTCACAAAATTTCTACATAGTATCTAGTGAAAAAATCAACAAAGGGCCATAATTCTGTTAAATTTGGTTGCAGCAAAAATTCCTTCCTTTACTACCATCTACACATTAAGGTTGTTCATCCCTGTAAGTTTAAGCAAAATCTGCCATCCGGTTTAAGAGGAGTTGCGTTCACAAAATTTCTACATAGTATCTAGTGAAAAAATCAACAAAGGGCCATAATTCTGTTAAATTTGGTCACAGCAAAAATTCCTTCCTTTACTACCATCTTCACATTAAGGTTGTTCATCCCTGTAAGTTTAAGCAAAATCTGCCATCCGGTTTAAGAGGAGTTGCGTTCACAAGATTTCGGGACGTACGGACGGACTGACGGACGGACGGACAAGTGCAACGCTATATGCTCCCACATTGTGGGGGCATAAAAAGTGTATTCACACTTGGTTTGAGTAAACTCAGTGAAATTGTATGTGCACAATGACAGAACTTTTGCAACACAAAAAAGTCATTTACTTTAAGATCACTTTAGCATGATCATTTTGGAGCATTTCATGACACGGGACAGAAACTAACTTTAAAAGCACTTTTAAAGGGAATCCACTTAGCTTTAATGACATGATGGGACTGGAAATTTTTTTCCCATAATTTGTAGAACTTGTGTGCAAATTTTCCCCCCAATTTACCAGAATAACCATTTTTAAAGTAAAAGACCCCAAAATTAAGTGTCTTAAAAAATTGTTCATTCTCATTTTTTATCAATTCAGATTTCTCATTTAAGTGCTTCACTTGATCTGTGTAAGAATTAAAAACTTTATGTTTTGAGACTTCTTGATCTCAGTGGAGCTCCTGAAATATTACATTACAGTTATAGGAAAACTTTAAGAGATTATAGTGAAACATGTATGCCCAACTACTATATTCCACACTTTTTAAGTTAATATTTTTTTGCAGTGAATGTTTATAACCAGTAAAAAGTCACATGTTCCAAAGCCTCTAACATTTGAAACTTCAACCAATAAGATTATCATTATTGAATAACTTATACCTATGCTTGACTGATACATATTTCAAAGGTAAAATTTTCCTTTAAATTAATTTATTTTTTCTCATTAAAGGCCCATTATGCCTCAGAAATGCCATCATTTTTATTAAGCACACACTTTTTTGTATTTGGTTCTAAAAATTTACTCATTTGTCAGATAGTTGCTTCTTTTACTCTGTTGGCAATTGGTATAAATATTTTGTATGGAAGTCAAAATACTACTTTGTTTACATTTTGCTACATTTATGACACATGACTTCACATTCAGCATTACTTTCTTCAGTTGTTAGACATCTAGTATGCTCTAAATCCATTATCAAATAATTATTTAACAAATACTTGACATTTCAAGAGAATTGAAAAATATGGTTTTCTAAGGCAAAATGTGCCTTTAAAAATGAAGGTTTTATGATTCTACATTGATAAACATTAACTGTTTATTTGTGATAGTTAATTTTTTTTTTAGTATTGACAAACATTCCTACCGAATCTACGGACTGTAAGCCATAGTATTCTTTAGTTTTTGATTAGACAAACTACTTGTTGCCAACATCACAGTGACCTTGACCTTTCACCAACTGACCTCAAAATCAGTAAGGGTTATCTATTAGTCATGATCAACTTCCACAACAGATCTTAGGATTGTAGGCCAAAGCTTCTCAAGTTATTGATAGGACAAGATTTTTGTGCAGTGACTGATTATAGACCTACTAATGTCAAATTCAATAAGATCATTTACCAGTCAAGATTAACCTTTCCACTAAAAATAAGTGTAGCCTAAGGAATTCTTGAGTTTTTGCTTGGAAATATGCTACTGTATGGAGATACTATTGACAACATTCAAAGTAATATACATGTACCACCACACCTCAAAAAACATTTAATGATAAATGTAATATAAACCTACCAATTTCCAGTTCTGAAAGCAATGTTTGACAGCGAGGTAGTTGGACATTTTTTCTGCCAGCAATCCTTTCTCCTTCCACTCTTCTTGTACATAATGATGCCATCCTAACAATACCTTCCTGATAGAAAATCATGCAATTATTTCATTAAATTGTAATTCATTTATCATCCAAATCAGCATAAAATATGTTCAAATGATTACTTCCCAACTTAAATGAAGGCAAATAGATGTTCAAAGTAGCAACATTTTCTTAGTCTATTGGATTTTTTATAAGTGTCACTTAAATAAAACTTTAGTGCTTTCAAACAAGTGCAACTTATACTTTATCTCATTTTTGTTTGTTTTAGGCAATTAAATTCCATCTTAAACAGATAATATAAATCATTTAACATCCAACAATCAAACTTAGTTAAATTTTAGCGTTCATTCTCAATATACCCGGTATTATTTAAATGTTGTATCCAGTAAGTAAGTTTTCAGATTTTAAATTCACTGATAAATACATGTGCTGAATTTAAATTTACCTTTGTAAAGATTTTTCAAAATGTTGTTTAGCTTTTTCTTCTTGTTGTCTTGCCATTGCTACAAGTTTTTTCATAGGTATGATACCTCTGTATTTTAGTAAGGATTTCTCAAAGTGTTTGTTGGCCATTTCAGTCTGTTGTCGTAATTTTTCTTCCAGTAACAATCTCTCAACCTCTCTCTAAAATAAATATAACTTAACTTTACAATATCTAATTGGTGTATATTCAAACAAGAGTGTCATTATGGTCCTGGATCACACTTCTATTATACATTGCGAAAAAAAAGATCACAATTATTCATTGCAAAAGTCAGTAATTAGGTTACATCAGGTTGTCCTTTAAACCTCACAATTATTAAAACATTTGTCTGCTAAGAAATACTACATCAAAGCACTGGGCATTATCATTTCACACAAGTAAATCTATCTAAAGTAAGTGACACCAAGGTTGCATCTTCTTTGAGTTTATGAAAAGTTTGTTAAGGATCTCAAAGCAATACTTCACACCATTCTAAGCTCTGAGCACAAGAAGACTTAAATTTGTTTTCTTTACAAGTCAACATAAATCAAGTAACGTGGGGGGTCAATTTTGACACCAGGAGAATAACTAAATTATTTTAGAAGAGGACTATAAAGTGATACTACATGCCAATTTTCATGCTCTGTGTATTTGAATTTTAGTAAGAGTAAGATTTTTAAGTCATGCTTATTATGTAAGTCTACGAGGCTCAAGGGTGCGGCCATTTTGACCTGAGTAGACTTTTTTAAAGAATCACTAAGCTATGTTGTATACAATATAACCATGCTCTTGTCTTTTCTGACAGTTATTGAAAGGAAGATATAAATGTGTTTTCTAATAAAACTTGTACCCATGCACATACATATAGATCAAGTGAAACTCTTAAAATGAAAAAATCTGCAAAGGTTAATGGTAAAATACATAAAGAATTAAGTTGAATGTCCATTTTCTGTGTGCGATTCTTGACCTGATTTCAGTGAAGAGTTGCAACACTTCTTTTTTGGGTCATTTTATGCAATTTTTATGATTATTCTGGAAAAACGGTGTGAGGGAATGATCTGAAAATTTGCACACACATGGTCCAAACATACATTAAATGGTACACAAATAAATTTTGTCATCTTAAAAAAAATTCAGTGGAGTCCCCTTAAACCATTCATGAAAATCACCATGCATTCCAGTGTTCAATCTAGAGCGCGCCATTGACCCCCTGAAAAGACCGCCGGCGCAAAACAAATTCAAATGTGGGCCCGATGGGCGCACTTATAAAAAATGCCCTAAATGACATTAGAATGCTTTCTTTAACCTGATTAAGTATATAAAAAAAGTTTCTTGTGAATAATATTAATAAATACTGAATTCAAAACTGAATTGTATAGAAAACCAAGAGCATGTTGGAAAGATAGTTACCGCACTCGGTAACCCTTTTAAAACCTTGATTGCTACGCTCTCTAGGCCGGGGTCTGTAAATACTATGTAGACTTGTTCTTCGTACCGTAACTATTACTTACTTTTGAGTCACAGTTTTTATAAACAAAACAAATCGTCCCAGATAATCCAATAGGTGCGTGTAGTTATAGTTTTTTCACGGTCAAAACAAATAAATATGTCATAACTTTCCGGAGAGAAAAAAAACACTATACATTTGTGAAAAGTGCGAGTTAATTATAGAGAAGTGTGCATAAATTATTACGAACACGCCCTCATCCAACTATATATGGTACGTGAACAAGTAACTTAAAAGATACAATGACTTATTTGAATTTGATGTTCTTTTAAGTGTGGGCCCCCTTTTTTCTCAAATGACCCCTTTTTGAAAAGTTTATGGGCCCAAAGGGCCCCCTGGGAATTTGTTCTAGATTGAACACTGCATTCAATTTTTGTTCAAAAACTTTTGTTGTTCATATCTAAAAGTATCGGGTTATTTTTATCATACAAACCAACTTACAAAGCTTGAATGATTATTTTTCTACTATTTTCACTCAGTACAAGTTAATTATAAGAATACATGTTTTTGCAACTTTTAAATTAGACTAGAAGGAGCTTTAAACAAACAAATTACCTGTTTTTCAAGTCTTTTTCTTTCTTTATAAGCTAACGCTTTAGTCTTTTTTTCTTCTTCTTCTTCCAGTCTCCTTGCTTCTGCTTCAGCTTCAAGTTGAAACTAATAACAAATAAGTATAATACTATCATATTATTTTAGTGTTTACAACATAATGCAAAAAATTTGGAACATCCTGTTTCTCATTATGTTTATCTAAACAAGATATGTTTGTAAAACATGTATGCCCCCTATCGGCAGCCAATTAGTCATGTTATCAGGTTATTATGACTGACTTTGGACCTAGTGACCAAAAAATCAATAAGGGTTAATTACTGGTCATGATTAGTGACAATATAGTCAATAGGTAATTGTGACCGCAAAGGTTGTGTGCAGCAATTTTATGACAAAGTTATTTCAAATCTTACCAAATAATATATGCATAGATTTCATGAATCATGTAGACCAAAAGGATTTTTAGTTTAATAAAAAAATATCAACCAAGGCAATTTGAGTTGTTGAGTTATTGGTCAGAAACCGTTTTTACCTACAAGGTCAATGTGACCTTGACCTTTGACCCTTTGACCCCAAAATCAATAGGGGTCATATACTGGTCATGACCAATCACCATACCAAGTTTGAAGTTCCTAGGCCTAAGCGTTCTTAAGTTATTGATCGGAAACCGTTTTTACCTACAAGGTCAATGTGACCTTGACCTTTGACCCCTTGACCCCAAAATCAATAGGGGTCATCTACTGGTCATGACCAATCACCATACCAAGTTTGAAGTTCCTAGGCCTAAGGGTTTGTTAGTTATCACCCGGAAACCATTTGGTCCACGGACCGACAAATGCAAAGCAATTTTCCCCCCTCTTCTTTGAAGAGGGGGCATAAATATATTGAAAAACAAATCAAAGTCTTGCAACATATAGTATAGTCTGATTTTATTAACCTGTCAATTTTGAATAAATTATAGCACTTATTTAAATATTCGATTCCACTTCGGTTCTGTTCGTATAGTTTACGAGAATTAATATGGATATATATATATCACTAATGTTTGGAAAATTCACACTAGCGTAATGTATATGTTCTCATCACATCTGAAATAGCACAGTCGAGTAAGTGATTACCTCATATATGAGAGGTCAGTGGTTCGATCCCTACTTTTGGCATTGTTTTTTTAGACCTTTTAATTCTTTAATTTTAAGTATATTTCAATAAAAATGGCCAAGTGCTTGCAAAGTTGTCTACACGGATATAAAACAATTTAGAAACACTGATTTGTCTTTTTGTATTGTATTTTACTGCACTGAAATGACATTTATTGATTTTAATCCGATTGAATTTTAAATATTAATTCTTAAACTATGTTATTTAAAAAAGGAATAGTCTTTACCAAAATAAGAGCAAAACATATTATGAAACCAAAAAGACAACATAAAACACCATAGCTTCAATAATGTTGAAAATAGTTATAAATAAGAAAAGTATAGATATGGACATACGCGGTCTCAATCTTACGAAGATTAATATATTGTGTGCTTTGACCGTATAATCAGTATGCAATAGACAGGTTAATAAAATCAAACAATACAGGATACATTTTCCAGTAATGTATTTGCACATTGCTGTTACCGAAGTATGACCCAATAGTCTCTGTGTTGCAGGACAAACACCCTCAACCTTCACTGTGTTTCTTAAATAAATACAAACTGTATAATACGAGTTATTTTGATTTTCAAAGCTTGTAATTCTAGTAATGCTGTTTATATCCTAGCTTAATAGATTAGATAATTAATTGAAAAAGGATATAATATCAACAAGGAAGCAAAGTCTAGAAATAAACATGAAAACCTGCATTTTCCCCCAGTGAAATTAAAACATTAATACTGCTCAGAATAACTACTATAAACACATATAAACCAGGGTAACATTCACTTAGCTGAAACTATGGTAACAAGCAATTATCATAGTATTGCAAGCAATCCATAAGTCTCCTACCGGATAGAACCCCATCAGCATTCTGAAGGGCCATTGGCCATTCACTAATGTGTAAATTTTTCTCTATTTTAAGTAAATTTGTTGGAAATGTTCTTTAAAAGTGATCACAGGAAAAAGTTTTTATGAACAGACAGACAGACGGACTGAAGGACACTCTAAAGTTAATATTTGAAACATCCCTGTTACCAAAATATAACATTTTAAAAAGCAAAATTCTTAAAGAGGAGATAACTCTGGAATTAAAGATGCAATTTCATAAAAAGTTTCAGCTCTTTTTGACTAATCACAAATATTGTTATATTTGCAATGTTTTAAGCCTATTTGTTGCCAAGGCAACCAATATTTTTTTCAAAATAGGAAGAACAGATAAGACATGCATAATCTCAAGACTGTCATCTACCCATATGTCAAGTTTCATAAAAATATTTCCAGTACTTTTAAAAAATTGTAAAATTTGCCATATTTTCAGTCTATGTGTTACCATAGCAACCAGAATTTTCAACATAGGAAGAAAAGAAAAAGACGTGTATAATCTCCAGACTGCCATCTACACATATTACAAGTTTCATAAAAATATTTCTATTACTTTTTGCGTTAACACTGGATCAAGTTTATGTGTAAAAATTGCCATATTTTCAGTCTATTTGTTGCCATAGCAACCAGAATTTTCAACATAGGAAGAAAAGAAAAAGACATTCATAATCTCCATACTGCCATCTATCCATATATCAAGTTTCATAAAAATATTTCCAGTACTTTTTGCGTTATCACTGGATCCAGTTTATGTGTAAAATTTGCCATATTTTCAGCCTATTTGTTGCCATAGCAACCAGAAATTTCAACATAGGAAGAAAAGAAAAAGACGTGCATAATCTCCATACTGCCATCTATCCATATATCAAGTTTCATAAAAATATTTTCAGTACTTTTCAAGTTATCGCGGGATCCAGTTTTGTGGACGGACGGACTGACGGACAGACGGACGTCCGTTCTCACAGGACAGTAATTATGTGGCTACTCTATTGTTCTCTCTATTGTTCTTTTTAGCCACGCAAAAGAAAATAGCCACATAAAAGCATAACGGAATGAATGACATCAAAGAGAAAGAACAGTTACCTATTGTCCCTCAAGCCACATTATTACTCTCCTGTGAGAACGGACTGACAGACGGACGGACAGAGGGTAAACCTAAAGTCCCCTCCGGTAAACCGGTAGGGGACTAATAAGAGATTTAGTTCTCTAATTTTGTTTTGTTATCCTTAATATGATGTAACAAACACGGTTTCATTTCGCATACATGTTTTACTGTTTTAATTATGTATTAGGTATGTTTTAACATGTAACTGGGTAAAATTAGATAAATGTTGATACAATCAAAAACATAGCATAGATGTCTCTCCATTATTATAAACAGTTAAAAAGCAGTCACCTTTTATAATGTGATTCTGTCTGTTAGTCACATTGAGAGAAAGAAATTCATATACATGTATATCAACACCCTTTATAATATGACCAGTTTGACACTGTCAGCAGACCAACAAATTACACCAAAAGAGGACAGAATTTAATGATAACTAAAAACTAGAACTCTTGTGGAGGACCTTTGACTTGCATCAAAGTCATGGTTACTATGAAGAGTGGTAACGGGAATAAACATTTAACAAAATTTTTTCATATTCTCAAATGAGTTTTTCAAAAAAGCATCCATAAATGAATGACAAAGATGTGACCAGACACAACCATCAATGTATAATTGTATTATGTTATATTGACATTCAAGTATAAACCTTCAACTTTCAAAACTGTCAACCTGGCATTTGGGCTTATGATAAGTTTTCCCAATGTGCAACAGATGTATGCCTGGTTACTCTTCAAAATTATTTCATAGATTACAGAATTGATGGCTTGATATAACCATAGATGTACTTATGAAACTATAAACCTTAGAAGTAACTAGCTTGAACCTTCGATCTTTAAGCTACACACTCATCACAAAATTATTTTAATAACAATATATTTAAGCCAATTATCTGTCATTGAATGACAAAAATACATGGACTGGACATGACTATCATATCATGACTTTTGACATTCAAGTATGAACTTGACTCTTTGGCTGCTGAGCTAAATTCTGTTCATTACATATTATTTTAATAAGCAGCATATCTATGCATAATTATTTCAAAATCCCTCTATGAATGTCAAAGATATGCACAAAAGACGTCAATCTATTCACAATCATCACATTTGACATACAAGTGTGAACTTGACCTTTGAAATGGAGACCTGGCTCATATGTACATCACATCATCATCATGTTTTACACATTTATGCCTATTTTTTTTTTAAATCCATCTAGGAATGAAAGAATTGTTGACCGAACACAACGAACCATTAATGCACTTATATGAAAAAATTCATATCATGACTTTGGAACTTGACCTTTAAGGTAGGGACCTGATTCATGCCTGCAACACATCCTCATTAAGTACAACATGATTATGCATAACAATTTTCAAAACTATCAAGGAATGGCAAATTGTTGACTAGGCATGAATATCAGTGTACTTTTATAAAAAATTCCTATCATGACTTTTGATCTACAAGTGTGACCTTGACCTATAAAAAAATATGACCAATGTTAAAGTTTTCAGACAACAACAGCATTGACAACATCAACATAACTGTGGCAAGAGCTCAAATTTTTCTTCTTTGTTAAAAATAAATATTTTTTTAACAGAAAACATCCATATTGAGCGATATTTTATTGTAATATATAACGATAATAGTGTTAACCTGGGTATAGTGGTTATCTCTCAATAGCCATCAATTTAGTTTATTCCCCTTGCTGACCACCATAGGCAATTCTTCAAATTGTAAATAAATGTTCAGATATACAAAGAGTTTTTTTATGGCTTAATTTCATATAAAACATGAGATAAACAAGGGTATTTCTCCCCTTGATAAAGCTTAGAAGAATTAAGTATACAACCATCAGACATACATACCAGTCTTTCTTCCTCAGCTTTCCTTCTTTTTTCTTCTCTCTCTTTCTTTAATCTGGTCCGCTCTGCTGCCCGATCATCCATATCTACAGAAATAACATAGTCACAATGTTTTAACACAATACCATCATTCAGCATATTATCATATCATACTATCAAACATGTAATTAAACTTCCAGTGAATAAAAATTTAATCCAAATAGAGTGAAGTTTATTAAAATTTTTGATAAATGTTAATGATAATTTACTCTCATCAAGCAGGCAAGCTAAACACTAAAAGTCTGAAAGTTATGGGAAAGTTTCAATTAAATGAATGGTAGCCTAGTTGTCAAGGTGTCTGCCCACAAATCTTGGTTTGAAACCTAATCACTGTATCGCTTCAATATAAAATGTAAACACACCCCCTTGCAGTTTTTGACATATCAAAATTATTTAAACAATTAAAAAATATACTTTTAAGAACTTGAAGATACTTGGATTTTTCTGAGGCTGTGCTTGTAAAGGAAGATGGACGGGAAACATCTGTGCGTGCTGTTGATGCTGCAGATCTGTAAATATATACATTATACACAATTTGACTGATCACAGAATATTTTGGCTAAATATGAGAACATTTCAAATCTTCTCATTACAGCAAAAAAAAGTACCATGTGACATTTCAATATATTTTAAATATATGCACAATATAAACATTGAATTTCAACATAAAGCAATTGAATACAATACAATGAATAAATAATTTCACAAAATTTCCCTCCTATACATTCTCAAACATTCTAAGTTATGGCTGACATTTTTGCATCACTGATATTTTTGCATCACAAATTTTTTGCAAAAATGGACCTTTTGCTCAAGGAAATACATGTACATGTATTTGCAAAAGTATGATTCTTGAAATGCTTCGATAATTTGCATGTTTGTGATATCAGCTTTAGTTTGAATATTGATCCAGAAAATCTAATACAACAAATATATAACTTCTGTTATGTTTAACATGCTTGACAGTGTTTGAAATAACAGACATAATACATATTAAAAACTAGAAAAGTGTCATAATGTCACGAATACCCCCGCATGCAGCCAATATTTCAAATGTTATAATAATAAGATCCAAATTTGTTTGTACAAACCATCTTTTCATTCTAAGTTCAAAGCCCTTCAACTTTTCAATGTTAACACAAACTATATTTTATACAAAGTTCAAGTCATTGAAACTATTCAGGATTACACTTTTGCATATTGCATATTTGTAGCCGAGATAATGAATAGAAATTGTGAACTTTTAAATCTTTTCCAGGGTCAAGGGGGATAACTGTCAAAAAACATCTGACCATGAAAAATTAGAGATTGACTTGTATTTTCTGGTAAAATACCATCAATCTGACATACATTGATTGTACAATCCTACAAAAGTTTGGGCAGAAAATGTTTTTTTATTTATATTATTTCTAAGTTCAAGAAGGAAAACTCTGTCAAAAATCATCGGACCAAAACCAAAATCGAATTTGACTTGTAATTTCTGGTTAAATACCTGCATGTGCACTTTCAACCTTATAGATTATGTCAAATCTGAGTTGAACGTGTAAAACTGTTGGGGAGATAATGAATGGAAACTGAAAATTTCTCATAATTTTTCAAAGTTCAAGAGGGATAACTTTATCAAAAATCTAGGAACCATAACCAAATTATATTTTGACTTGGAAGACATGAATTTGAACTTTAAATTTTTTTTTATTCAATTAAAATCTGGGTACATAGGTAAGTGTTTTATTTCCCCCCATGCAGAGTAATGGAAATTATTTGTACAACAGATAATCAAAAGATCCATTTTTCTCAGGATGAATATGTTTAACTAATGTTTTAACTTTTCTCTTTTTTTAATTAATTTGTTGGAAAAGTTACAAGTGATCTCAGGAAACAAACAGACTGACAAATCTTTAAACATCGCCGTTTGAAACTAGAATATAACAATTTGAAAAGCAAAATTCTTAAACTAAAGATGAGATAAGAGTTGTTGAGGTAAAGAATGAAGACAATTTACCAAGATTTTAGAAGTAAAAAAGTTATGATCAATGTTTAAGTTTGGGGACTGCAACAGCAACATGCGAGGCAATGCCAACATGACTTTAACAAATAAGGACTCTTTTTTCTTCTTTGAATAAAAAGTGGAGCTAAAGAGAAGATTTCAGTATATGCTTGTAAAATATTGAATGCACTTGCAATAAACTTGCAGCATATTGGTTTGTAACTTAATACATTAGTTTATAAACCTGTTATTCTTACATGGCATGACTTTGCCTAAACATCACAACTGGTATAATCACACATGAACACCAGTGTTTACATAATAAGATAAGTGATGGGATATACTTATGAAATGCTGCAAATCATACAGGTTTTTGTATTTCTTACAGCTCTGACTCTTACTTGATATTTTTATGAAAGAAAATTACTAAAGTTAAAATTTATTGAAAAAATAAAATAATAAAATAGAAGTAAGTTTTAAAAATTGTCATTTATCAGGATATATTTTGTACATTATCTATGTGCTGGTTTCATGGTATATTGTGATGCCATACACAGATGATAGGGATTTGTCTTAAAATCCAGCATACAGTGTTAAATATTTGCAAATAATTTTAATTTGACATAATCACAAAAAATTTTACTTTCACAGTATGACATAAGGCAAGTTGAGAATTTACTTAGTTCATTTTGTTGAATATAAAATGTATTTAATGCACGAATGATATAAATAATATGTAACCTATTTGTTGAAGCCCCTATATGTGATGTATCAGGAGTTGGATCATTGTGTGACTTCTGATCTTTCGCACAAGACTGTGTTACAGACTGTGGCCGTTGATTTGATGATATGGTTTTCTTACTATTTACCACAACTGCAGATTTTGGCCTCGACTTCGGGGTAGACTTGCCTACAAGGTCTCTATTTTCTTTATCTTTGGAAGCATGTAATGATTTCTCTTTAACTACAAGAAAAAGAATAAAGTAACAGTATGAGAAAATATTGGAATTACCATGTTTACATGATAAATACACACATATAATTGTGAGCCAGACTTTGTGCAAATTCACAATCACTGAATAAATATACAAGCAACACCCAAGGTGCACAATATACACAAGCTGACCAACATTTCTGTAAAGTTTCATGACTCAAGGTCAAATACTATTTGGGCTATCTGTGACACAAGTTGAAAATTGCAAAGGGCAAAAACTCTACAAATACACAAGTAAACCTACAGGTACACAACAACACATACTGATCAACATTCCTGTACAGTTTCATGACTCCAGGTCAAGTACTTTTATATTTTTTGCAAATGTTTACTAAGTCAAGGGCAATAACTCTTAACAATACTGAATTAATACCTTAGTTGCTCAACTTCACATGCTGATTAACATTCAAATAGACTTTGACTCTAGCTCCAGCACTTTTAGAGTTAGAGGTGACACAACATTTATGAATGGACGTGGTAATTCTGAATGCCACCCCCCATTTTTTGTCTCTTTACCAAAAAATGTTGAACAGAAAAGTCTTCTAGGACCTAGTCTTTTACCTAATATTTAAACTTGTCTTTTTTATCAATGAAGTTACCATTCTGACAAAGTTTGATGAAGATAAAGTCATAACTTTGACATTTAGAGTGTAAACAAGGTGGCTCTTTTATGACCTGGTGACCTGGTTTATAAAAAAAGATGACCCATGCCATCCAAAATATTATGAATCTCAATATTCTAACAAAGACTTATGAAGATCCAAGCAAAACTATGAACTTTAGAGTGTTAACAATACTAAAATCTTGAAGCTGGATGCTACAAAAGAATAGCTCAATTTTGGGCTCAGGGGAGGGGTTTTTAACAAAAAAAATTGAAGAAGAAAAAATAATTAAGACAATATACCATGTTTGCCAGTTTTTCTTGCTATAAATTATTTTCAGTATCTGCCATTTGTTTGAGACATTTGGTTGTAAACAAAGTTTTTGGGTCAGCTATTTTTTGAAATCAGCAAAATGGTTGTGCTTTTTAAAATAAGCCCTCAATCAAACGTTGCTGTTCTAATATCTGTTTCTTTTGTTCCTCTAATATCTTCTTCTGGGTGGCATGACGGTGCTCATAAGTGCTTATTTCCTTCTTGTGCCAAGGCTGTCTTCCATATTTCTAGAATTAGGACATAGATCCAACAATAAATAAAATATTTACATACATGTATCAGAAATTGTAAAAATTCATCACAGATATAAAATGTCTACATATACATAACCAGTAATACCACCAATGTCTTATGTTGTACAGTAGTTCTGCTCACTATGCCAATGACTAAAGCTACAGTGGAATGGTCATTCAGCACAATGAAGTGGAAACATCCTTAAAATCTAGAATGTAAACCACATGTTTCCATAATTGGGCTGTGTGCCCCAGTTTTTAACCCCAGATGACCCGCACTTGAACTTTAGCTTTCAATATTTGGACTGTGTGACCTAGTTTTTGACCCCAGATGACCCATATTGAAACTTGACCTAAAAATCATCAAAACAGCCTTTCTAACCAATTTTCCACATTTAGGGTGTCTGACCTAGTTTTCGATCCTAGATGACACATATCTGAAATTGAGCTAGAAATTATATGAACTACCTTTCTGACCAATTTCCATGATATTGGACTGAAACAGTAGTCCCTAGAGTGTTAATAAGGGTTTTCCATATTTGGGCTATGCGACCTAGTTTTGACCAAAGATGATACATATTCTAACTTGACCTTGAAATCATCAAAACAACCTTTCTGACCAATTTCCAGGATATCTTGACAAAAACAGTAGCCAAAAGAAAACTTTTGAAAGAAAAGCACACATCATATAAAGTCACAAAAAACAACAGGAACATTGTAAGTAATGCCAGTTAATTAATGTTCAAAATAGCCTTGCGTATCTTTGTCAATTAAAAATGATATCATATTTTATATGGATAATATGTAAGGTATTACTTATTTAAAAAAAAAAAAAGTCGAGCAAAAAATGATCTTTGTTTTTAAATAAACAAGTGCTTTGTATTTACTTTAAGTATTTTTGCATTCATCTCTTCAGGTGAACATGAAGGTTCACCACCACCAAGATCTGCCATTTCTGCTGCTGTCAGATCAATATGTCGACGAGTTACCTGCCATGGCTCAGTTGGCAATCGGGAATTCGAATGTTTGTGTTGGTTACCAGGTAGAACAGGTGTTGTTACATCACTGCGGTCAGTAGACAAGGAGTCAGAAGTATTCTGTGGTAACTTTCTTGTATTTTCAAACAGTGCATTCTAAAAGTGTAATAAATTGAGAATCTGATTTTCATGCACAAAAAAGGAAGAAAAAATATACTCAAACATTTCAATTGCAATTTACTAAATTAAAAACAAAGAAAAGAAATATGCTATACCAAATAAAGTATTATATTTTTTAATATATCATAAAAGAAGAATGGTATAAAAAAGTTTTAAGTTAAAACTTGTCGCTATGTTAAATATCATAAATAGACTTGTCCATTTTTCAATCAAGACAAAACAATTCACCATATTTAGGGAACATTTCATCTACGTATCAAAATTGATTTTTTAATTAATACAATTTCGAAATCTAAAATTTTCAAGTACAGTCAAACGTGTATTAAGCGACCGGGCAAGGGAAATACCCAAAACGGTCGCTTAATGAAACGGTCTCTTAAGACAGTCAGCATGATAATTATAAAAGTCAAAATTTAAAAAAATGACATCTTTTTTATTCGGTGGGATTGTTTTTCAACTTCATTTTTATATCTCTGTTGAAAAAAAATCGCTCCGTTAATCTAAATGGATGCAAATGTAAAAAAATAACTTTCTGATATTTATTGACAAAACAGTTTCAAGATCCATTACGTACATGTTTGACATTTTTTCCAGAATGTTTTAACTTCTTCGTTGTTTTTTCCTTGTCTCCAAACACGAAAACCCTATTAGTGAAGATGTTTTCTGTTGTGCATTTTTTTTCATTTGAAATAAACAAACTACATCTATTTGTTACGATTAATTTAATGGCTGATCAAGTTCAAGGTCAATTCAATGCAGTCTAAATGTCAACAAGCGAAGCGTATACACCATCTCAGTATGGGCGGAGCCTTGCATTGTTTATCCGATATTATTGGATAATAACACGTCACGCGTATACTTAACTTCATTTGCATACGCTAAAACGGTATGGGAAATAGAGTTTTTCACACGTTTATTGTTGTGTTTTGATTGTTGACCCTTGTGACATAAACGAGGTGGCGTTCTCTATAAACACAATTACTTGACAGGTAAAAGTGGTCGTTTAATGAAAAGATTGATGTCAATTAGGTGACTAATTTAGCGGTCGCTGGTCGCGTTGAGCAAAAGTCGCTTCATACATTAAAGATATAGAGAGAGAAAATGATCGGGGGGAATTTAAAGTGGTCGTTTAAGACAAAAGTCGCTTAATACACGTGGTCGCATGGGCAAGTTAGACTGTACATCAGTAATTTGGGACTGAATAAGGCAAATGGTTTTGTTGGTACCCCTTCTGACCTTGAGGAATCTGCTTCTATTATAGCAAATCTTTATCCCACATTATCAATTTGTCTTTTGTTCAGGCTGATGTGCCAGATGACTTAAAACTGACCTAGATTGTCCCATTGTATAAGAAAATCAAAGGGCTGCAAGCTCTGTGGTATTTTCTGATCCGTTCTGTATATATTTTCCTGTATAAGTTTATTTTTATGTACTATAATTCATCTTGCAAGGCACCAGAGTTTGATACATACGGAATTTTGCATAACTAGAGTTGCATCAAAAAATTATTTATGTTCATTTTTTATAACAGCCTTACTTAATCCTTGCATATCTGGCTACTTCCTAAACAAAAACACTTAAAAAAGAATTTTAAAAAAAGTTGCCTCGACTGGGATTTGAACTCCAGACCTCTCACACACTAAACAAGCGCTTTACCACTGCACCACGGAGAACATAAAGTAAAGATTGTCTTAGTGACCACCTGTATATAGCGACGTTCTGTCTTGAATGACCATAGTAAGGTGTGCTGAACAGTATTTACTAGACTCCCTGTCTAGTCTGTACAACGACCATGATTAAGCGTCTCCCGTCACGGTATATAAGCCATGTAAAGCGACTTTTGCAAGGGTAGTAACTCAATTTTCTGAATAATTTTTCCTTTCCATTTTTGATAAAAATGATAAAAGTTACTAGTCAGGCAAACTTTTACAGGTTTAGGGCATGGTGATCTTGACCTTTAACCTTAAATTTATAATGGCCACAACAAATGATTCTTACAATTTTATCAGCAGTAGATTTCCTGTGTGTTTCTTTCTTATGTGGGGTTGATTTATGAGTCAAGGAGTCTTCTTGTTTTGAAAGTTTGCCTGTAGCTGCTGCCTCGAGTAGAGACATCATTTTATTACGTGTATTATTTTGAGCATTCTCTAAATATCTTCTGTCTTGCTCACTGTGTACCCATACTTGCCATGCTATAAAATACTTCCGTAACACAGTTTGTCGACTGTGTCTATCTGCAATTTGCTGATTCCTGAAAAGTTTTATATAAAACAAATCACATTATTATGTCCCAAACATTTACTGTGGTGATAAAATTTATTTCTGTAATAAAGTATGAAGTATTCATCTTGCCTGTAAATCACTAAAAATGTATCACTTATCAGCCCTTAGTTTTTTTGTGCCTAAGGTATTAGACTTTATCAAAAAACTTGTTCTTCATATATTGATTTACATTTTTTTAACATGAAAAAGCTGTGTTAATATCAGTGTAAGAACTTAAGGCAAAGAAAAAATAATTTATTTAAAAAAAAATCTTTTTTTTTTTTATGAAAATTTTCCCTATCAATAATTTCATGTCCAAATAAGTTACATCTGTTATCAGATCTATTTCCAACAACACATGTCTATTTTTGTTAACATTGTTGGTCTGATTTATGTCAATCAACAATTAATTTCCCAACTTTATAGCAACTTTAAAGTTTAAACACATGAATAGTGCCCAATATTAACAATTATTTTCATTAAATTGCAGTAGGCTGGAAAAATCGGCAATGGCTTTGGACTTTACACTTATATACAAGTTTTAAACAGATTAATATGCTAATAAGAGTCTATTTTCTGATTAATTTCAATTATTTATTTGTTGGCTTCTGAAAAAATAACATTTAGAATGGAGCATCAGTATACAGCTGTGAATTTTGGTTCTCAGCTTTTGGTATTAAATACTGGAACTGCAGACATTATCTAAACTAATTTTGTAAACAAATGAAAAACAAAATTGTTGTCTGTTTTTAAATCAATGTGTCATGTTGTGCTTTTCATTGTCTGTTAGAACTTCTAAGTTAAAAAGGGGCATAACTCCGAAAATATTGCTTTCAGAATTATCCCCCTTGTCTAACAACTGCACCTTGTCATGCTAACTTCAGTATGTAATGCACCATCAATGCCAGCAGGTGACTAGGATAATAAAACTTTTCTATGAAGTGTCCACCTTAAAATCGATAAATCTATAATTTTTACTGATTAAGAAAATAAGGTTACATTATTTAAACCTTTGAATGTTGATCACATCTTGCTCCTGTTGTTTACTCTCTCTATCCATATTTCTAACTCTGATAAAAGATCTCCACGCATTCCATCCCCTTAACATCAACTTCCAATCATACATGGCACGAGCTTTTCCCATCTTTAACCTACGATCTAACACCAAATTATACCAGGCAGAAAAATGTCTGTGTAAACACTGAAACATGAACACATAAAAGCACCCCTAAATAAGATATGAGTACAGTAAAATACGACCTAATGACCATGCCACAAAAAGGGCACTTTTCAAAATTAAAAAATAGTTGCTTTCTTTATTCTTTGAGAAGAATGATCAGTATACCGACCATGTCTCTAATCTGGGATTTGCGACCATTTCTGGCAGACATTTGTGTGTATTTCTTACTAAATCAATAACCTGTATTACGACCATGCAACATAATGACAACCTAACACCATGTGTTTATTGCCTCCATTCACAAAATCTTTCTTTATTAACAGATGGTCAATAGTTTTTTAATTTGTTTGTTGATGGCAAGTATGTCAAAAGCCGCTAATTTCACCTTGTGTTTTATTTAGATATGCAATTAATGGTTAAATCCTAATTCTTCATCTACTGGTCTGCAGGAATGTCATAAAATTATGTAAATGAAAATATGCACCAAAACGAGCATGTACTTTATAGTTTGGAAAAACTTTTAGACCTCAGTCTTTTTTTAGTTTGCATTCTTATGACATTTACAATCTTTGCTTGTTTAGTCTATCAAAAATCGCATCATGGAAATATAAAAATAAAAATAATATAATTATATTTAAAAGTTTATAATCTAAAGAAAGATAAACAAGAGGGCCATGATGGCCCTAGATCGCTCACCTGACTTATCAAACTCATCCAAACAATTACCTAGACAAGCATTCTGACCAAGTCTCATGACAGGTGAGTCAAAAATGTGACCACTACAGTGTTGACAAGGATTATCCATATTTGAGCAGTGCGACCTAGTTTTTTACCCAGGTGACACATATTCAAACTTGACCTAGAGATCATCAAAACAAACTTTCAGACCAATTTCCAGGATACTTGGATCAAAACAGTAGCAACTAGAGTGTTAACAAGATTTTTTATTTTAAGCTCCGGTGACCTAGTTCCACATGTGATTTCAAACTCATCCAAGCAATTACCTAGACAAGCATCCTGACCAAGTTTGATGATAATTGAGTCAAAAATGTGACCACTAGAATGTTAACACGGTTTTTCCATATTTTGGCGGTGTGACCTAGTTTTTCATCCAAGATGACCCATGTTCGAACTTGACTTAGAAATCATCAAAACAAACTTTCAGACCAATTAACAGAATATTTGGATCACAACAGTAGCCACTAGAGTGTTTACAAGATTTTTCTATTTTAGCTCCTGTGACCTACCTTTTCATCCGAGATGACCCATGTTCAATTTATTCCCAGCAATAACCTAGACAAGTTTCCTGACCAAGTTTGATGACAATTGAGTCAAAATTGTGACCACTAGAGTGTTAACAAGGTTTTTCTATTTTAAGCTCCTGTGACCTAGTTTTTCATCCGAGATGACCCATGTTCGAACTTATCTGAGCTATAACCAAGACAAGCATCTTGATCAAGTTTGATGATGATTGATGCAAAAATGTGACCGCTAGAGTGTTAACAAGGTTTTTCTATTTTTAGCTCCGGTGACCTACTTTTTCATCCGAGCTGACCCATGTTCGAACTCATCCGAGCTATCACCTAGACAAGCATCCTGACCAAGTTTGATGATGATTGAGGCAAAATTGTGACCTCTAGAGTGTTAACATGGTTTTTCTATTTTTAGCTCCTATGACCTAGTTTTTCATCCGAGATGACCCATGTTTGAACTCATCCGAGCTTTCACCTAGACAAGCATCTTGACCAAGTTTGATGATGACTGATGCAAAAATGTGACCGCTAGAGTGTTAACAAGGTTTTTCTATTTTTAGCTCCGGTGACCTACTTTTTCATCCAAGATGACCCATGTTCGAACTCATCCGAGCTATCACCAAGACAAGCAAGATATCTTGACCAAGTTTGATGATGATTGAGGCAAAATTGTGACCTCTAGTGTTAACATGGTTTTTCTATTTTTAGCTCCTGTGACCTAGTTTTTCATCCGAGATGACCCATGTTCGAACTCATGCGAGCTTTCACCTAGACAAGCATCTTGACCAAGTTTTGATGATGACTGATGCAAAAATGTGACCGCTAGAGTGTTAACAAGGTTTTTCTATTTTTAGCTCCGGTGACCTACTTTTTCATCCGAGATGACCCATGTTCGAACTCATCCGAGCTATCACCTAGACAAGCATCTTGACCAAGTTTGATGATGATTGATGCAAAAATGTGACCGCTAGAGTGTTAACAAGGTTTTTCTATTTTTAGCTCCGGTGACCTACTTTTTCATCCAAGATGACCCATGTTCGAACTCATCCAAGCTATCACCTAGACAAACATCCTGACCAAGTTTGATAATGATTGAGGCAAAAGATGTGACCTCTAGAGTGTTAACAAGGTTTTTCTATTTTTAGCTCTTGTGACCTAGTTTCTCATCCGAGATGACCCATGTTCGATCTCGTCCAAGCTATCAACTAGATAAGCATCCTGACCAAGTTTGATGATGATTGAGGCAAAAATGCGACCGCTAGTGTTAACAACTAAATGTGAACGGACGACGGCCGACGGACAATCATCGATCCTAAAAGCTCACCCTGAGCATGCTCAGGTGAGCTAAAAACCTAAATCAAAGTCTGAGACATGAATGGATAAACATTTTGATTACAGTAAATTCTCTCTATTAAGACCACTAACGGGTCTGACTCAAAGTGGTCTTAATAGTGAACTGGTCTTAATAGTGAATAAGTCACTTTAACAGCTGACGAAGTCCAACTTAACTTAATGTATACCTTGTATAGTTTTATGCACATGGTAAATGTACTTAATTAAATGAGTAAAAAGAAACACATTTTTTTAAACAAAAAAACATTTTTAATGCATGATAATAATTATTATACTGTAGATCATTAATATGATGAAAACATTAATTTACGACTTCCACTTAAGAAGAAAAATATGAGGTATTAATATAGTTATGACTCTCATTATGATTTATACATTAATTACATATCGAAATAAAGCACACATGAACTGATAATTTGGTGTAATTAGCAATTTTTACCATACTTGCTATAAATTGTGATGCACAACAAACAATTTTACATGCTATTTACTTGTTTATCACATCCTAATTACGCTGACAAATTAATCGTTTCTCACACCATAGCTGCTTAGATTAATTAGCCAGAAGTGGTTTAAACTGATCATGCTGACGCTTGAATGCTAAGGATACATCGTAAAGCAAGCGTCTAATCAATTGATGTATATTAATGACCTCAATGTTAACCCGGTGTATTTCTTTTTAGCCCGGGAAATCAAAGGACATTTCAATCTGGCTATAGGACAAATTAACGACCAAGTTGAAATGTTGTGGCCAAATGTGCTCTGGTGTTAACAGGTTTTTTGTTTTAAGCTTACACCACCGAAAATGTTAAACCAGAGCTATCAAGTAAAAATCCGAAGTTTGAGACGTGGGGTCGGTACTGGTCTTTTCTCAATGTAAGAAGGCAAATATTTCGACTTTAAAAGCTCCCGTGACATCCCGGTGAGTCCTAATCAGTCTGACTGGATGTAGTGACATTTTACGTAAGTTGGACTACATCAGTTCTAAAAGTGGCTTATTCCCTATTAAGGCCAATTCACTATTAAGACCGCTTTGAGTCAGTCCCTTTATTGGTCTTAATATAGGGAATTTACTGTATAATAATTGTACACTTCTTTCATCAGCAAGAGGAATACAGACACTAAATTCTATACAATTGAGAATTTAGAGACAACATATATATTTAAAAGTGTAATTCAATTTACCCTCAGGTTATTTGCTGCCTCTTTAGCCTCCAGTTCTCTCATTCTCTGTGCTAAAAATCTTTGTTGTTCCTCATATCTTTTCTCACCTTCAATACTTTCTTGTTTTTCAGCTTCAATGTCAGTAGCAACCTTAATTTTTGCAGCAAATAATGTTTCTTCTTTTGCCTGTTGTTCTCTGCGAAGGAAAAAACAATCACTTAAAGCTTATTTCAATTAACCATGCTTTAATTACGAAAAACAGATATACTCATTATAGGAAAATATGTGCAACTTTCTGAATCAAAAACATCTGAGAAAGAATATAGAAATAAATTTTTTTCCAAAAAACATCATTTTCTTGTATAAAATATAATTTAAATTTCTTGACAGTTGAGGTCATTAACAGATCAAGGACATACTTAAATTATACAAAAAATCAGTTTTGTCATAAGTATTGGTTTCTTCTAGTATAAATCAAATCTGTCTGTTATAATATGAAATAAATTTATGGTGATTTAGGCCGCAACTTTTTAATTTATTGGTTTACAAAATTGCCTAATTTCTTGGAAATTGGAAAAAAATGTAGATTCAGAAAAATGAAAAAATAATGAAAAACAAGAGCCACCACCAAGGGGGGCAACAATCAACTGTTTTTACTTTTTCTAAAAGCAAACAAATAAGCAGTTAAAACAAATCTTTAAAAACAAAAGAAAAAGAAGAATGTGTTTGTTAAACACAAATGCCCAGGCTCAGATTCTTGTCAGTAACAATATTTAAAAAAAATATTTAATTATTCACTCAGTTAAGGATGGAAAATAGTAAAAAAAAAATGTAAACACATATAACATATAACTTGGCAGCGTTTTGTAATTGTGAAAAATATAAGTATGGCAAGTCATTGCTATGACTTGTGATGAAGTTGAAAAATAATTGACCTTTGACCTCTTGTGACTAACCTTTATCTAGAGAGAGACAACTCAACTCAACATGGAGAACATTTGTGCTAAGTTATATGGTGAACATTTGTACCAAATTATTTTGTAATCCTTTAAAGAATGGGCAAGATATAACGAAATTCTTGAAGGAGGATTGACACAAAAAAGTTAGAATATCATGATGACAGTTGTCATAAGATGGTTCTTTCTGATAAATAAATCTGTTTTAGTAATACTGATATGAATGATGGTATCAGGCAGCAATTTATTTTTGGTTTAAAAATTCCCTTCAAAAAAAATAATTGTTAAAGTAATGTTCAGGTTGTGAAAGGGTTAATAAATAACACAGAAAACTTAAATTTTCCATCACCTCAGTTTTTGTTCATTCATTCTTTGTCGGTCATCTTGCATCTGTTTACGAATTTTTGACATTTCCTTGCGTATCTCTGCTTCTTCTCTCTTCATTTGTAACTGTTTATCTCTTTCTTCTTTAATCACTAATCGCTTTGCCATTGCCTGTACTTCTTTGTGATTTTGTTTCTCCTCGTGTTTCTTTCGTAACTCCATTTCACGTTTTTCCCTATTTTCTTTCACCTGAAAAACACAATACAAACACACTGTCTTACTGCACAAGAATATATTTATGTGCAGCTTTTGTTCTTGCTATATTCACTAATATTCAAAGGCCCATTATGCCTCAATAATGCTATCATTTTTATTTCTCAAACCTTTCTATTTTCTGGTATCATGTTCCAGTAAAAAACAAGAGGGCCATGATGGCCCTGAAATCGCTCACCTGTATATAGGCCCCTGGGGCAGGGCCAATTTTAACCCAGGGACTTTTATTTGAACAAACTTGGTAGACATTCATTTGAAGATGTTTCATGATAAATATCTAAGCTCAAGCTTTTTTAAGTTTTACTATACACATATAGGGAATAACAATGACCCCCCCCCCCCTCTGGGCAGGGCCAATTTTGTCCCCAGGGCTTTTATTTGAACAAACTTGGTAGTCACTCACTAGAAGATAGTTCATGCTTAATATCTAAACTCTAGCTCTTTGGGTTTCTTAAAAGAAGATTTTTAAGTTTTAACTATATACATATTAGGAAAATCAATGACCCCACAGGACAGGGCCAATTTTGACTCCAGGGCTTTTATTTGAACAAACTTGGTAGAGACCCACTAGAAAATGTCTCATGCTTAATATATAAGCTCTAGCTATTTGGGCTTTTTAAAAGAAGAGTTTTTAAAGTTTTTTTCTATATACAAATCAGGAAAATCAATGACCCCCGGGGCAAGCCAATTTTGGCCCCAGGGCATTTATTTGAACAAACTTGGTAGACACTGACTAGATGATGTTTCATGCTAAATATTTAAGCTATAGCTTTTCAGTTGCCTAAAAGAATATTTTAAGTTTTTTCTTTTGTTTGCCATGGCAACCAGAGTTCTGCTTGGAATTAAATTCTTTTAACAATTTTTAAAGTTGACTACCAAAGGAACATTCCTGAGAAGTTTGGATGAAATTGGCTTAGCCATTTATGAGGAGATGTCGTTTAAAGTAAAAGTTTACGGACGGACGACGAACAGACGCCGCCAGACAAAAAGCGATCACAAAAGCTCACCATGTCACTTTGTGACAGGTGAGCTAAAAATATACTCATTTGCCATATAGATGAACTATCTTTTAGTTCTTTTGCTCTGTTAGCGATGGTTATAATCATAGTATATATGAGTGTTTGTATGGAAGATAAAATACTACTTTGTTTACATTTTGTAAGGGCCATAAATCCATCAACTCAAAACTAGAATTATTGGCAGTTAAAAAGTGAGCTCCCAACGAGTATTAACTTTCAAATTTTTTTTTTGCAGATTGATGTTGATTTTGAAACAATAATTATGTTCAATGCAGAAAAAGGTCACAATCAAGATAATTTATGATCAAATTTGATTTCCTACAAAGGGCACAATTTGAGCACAAATATTATACTATATATTTATTCTTAAAAAAAAATCTCTTTTGGTGTTCTGTTATATTTTGCAAAACAGTAACCCTAGGTCATATAGCCGACCAATCTTTTGGTTTTTGGTCATTACAGTAATAGCAACTTCTTAAATGACAAATTTATTGACATTCAGTTTTAAAGCATTAAATCTAAGCATTAAATTTGTTCTAAATACATCAATTATACATTATAAAACACAGCTTTCAGAAGAAAAATAATCTTCATTTCTGATGTTTATGAACATGTAAATTTGATCCCATCACTAGGCACAACATTTGCCTGAAATGTTTCTAGGAATTTTCAAAACAAAGGGGAAAATAGCACAGTAAATCAAAACAAGAGGACCATGATGGCCCCATTCACAAACCTAGGACACACTGCTAGAAAAGGTCACAATTTTTATTTAAAATTATCTTTACATTAAAAGTCAGTAATGCAGTCATTTTTTACCCAAGCTACATGATTTTGAAATATTTGTAGATGTCTGCTACCTAGTGCTTCATGACAAATATCTAAGCAAGCTTTTTTTTATCTTATAAATTTATTTTTTGGTTCGGTGCCATAAGCATGAAAAAATATGTCAGTACCGGAGTAAGAATTTGAGTAAGAGTAATCAGGAAATTCATAAATGGTGAATGAGCATATTTTTTTTCCATGCAGTAAATTTGTGAAGGTTTTAAACAAAATGTTTAGTTACTATCTACAGGATCTTTTAATTCTAGAACATGCTTTTTTATGCAAATTGCAGTTATCGTATAAGTTATAAAAGACAAAAGACAGAGCAATTTTCTTTTTTTCCATTTCAGCAAATAATAATAAAATTGCAAGTCAAATTATAGTATTGAATCAGTAATTGCTATACTAAGCATGATTTATTCACATCTCTGATCATAAACATTCTTAATCACACTAGCTGGTCTGTCAGGCATATTTCTAATTTTGTGTAGATTTTAGCATCCATAACAGGGTTCTAGCCAGGAATTTCTGAAGGTATGTTGCAGAATTTCTTAGCTCATTCAAGCGTCTGCTGTTATTGACATTGATTGACAGATATATTGAGAAATTATGTGAGACGCTTGGTTGATTATATATGGTTTGTTTATTCAATGCTGATATTGAGTGTTTCTTTTATAATAAAGGGATGTTGGGGAGATAAACAGATGACGCAATTACATGTATACCTCAACGCCTGAATGCATTAACAGGCTGGCTAGAACCCTGCATAACAAGAGGGCCATTATGGCCTTTATATCACTCACCTGATTATTGAGGCTCTTAATGACAAGGAACAATTAATATTGATAACAATAAATGATCTTAAAGGGGGCGGCAGTGATGTAAAACCCTGAACTATAAATAGCATGCAGTGTTAACCTGCAGAGAGAATGTAAACAAAAACAGCTGATTTTACACAGGAGAGGTTTAATGGATGTTTTATATAACTCACAGATTAATTGAAGACATTATTATTTTTGAAGTCAGTTGTTTTTTTTCTTCTTTTATTTCCACTGGAATGCTGTATGTGTCCTTCATCAAGTCAGACAATTATATCCAAATCCAAAAGATGTGTCTTACATAGGAACAACCTGCTAAAAATGTTCTTGACAGGAATTTAAAATATTTTTAAGCTGTTAATGTATAAAATTTTTATGCATATGCAACATTTAGTTTCATTAACATTTGTGAAAAGTAGTTTTTGACTACAAGATATTTACAACAAAATATAGTGTAAATGAAATATACCTGGAAGTTACTTTTACTGTTTTCATGAAGGTTAAACCATTCAAATACAAGTTAAATCAGTACTTTGAAATTTAAAAAAAAATCATATATTAATGGATTATTGTAAATTTGTTGGATTTGATAAAGCAAGTCAGTAAAAGTTATTGTTTTTTTCTTATCATGTATTCAGCATTCCAATGTGTCGTCTGCTGAAAATCTCCCTCCCTGAAATATACATCGTCTGCTACAAATCTCTCTCCCTGAAATAAACACTGCCACGTGCTTCTGTTTACTACTGAAGGTTCATGACCTGTAATGATCACATGGCTCCTCCCAGGGAAATTCAAATTTCAAATTTGACAGCCAGTATTTTTTTCCAGAAATACACTTAACAAAGTTATATTTTGAATAATTTTGGTCAATCTTTATCAAAAATATCTATGCCTACAAACATGCCAAGTGTTGTTTTAATGCATTTGGTAATTAATCTTAAATCTTTGAAAAAGGGTCCCTGAAGTGAAGCATGCATAAAATTAATAAGAAACCTGCCCTAGCGCCATCTGCTGGCTTTTATAGTCCAGTTGGGCCTTTAAACTGATATCATAACATTCATATAAGCATCTGAAATAGTGCAAATGCACACAAGGTTTTTCCATATATAGGCTGTGTTAATGAGTGTTTGACCCCAGATGACCCATATTTGAAATTCAGCTAGTAAATATCTTAACAACTTTGCTCACAAATTCAATAGAGAGGTAAGGTATTTCGACAAATACTGTAAGATGTTATTAGAAGTAGAAAAACATTACCTGTTGATGTCGGAGTTCCATTTTATTGCGAGGATCTTTATGTTTTCCCCACTTGTCAAGTCCAAGGTCATTTTTAAACTCTTTCTTCACAACTTGTTTATCTAACATACTTTTCATGACAGATGCTAACACATCACCTTCATCAAAGTTGTATATATCTTAAATCAAAGACAGTTATCTAATTATTGCTTGTCAAAAGCAAATTTTAGTACTGATTCACAAGGAAATATTTGATACAATTCATTTATGCAGTATTCGTTTCAGATATGTTCATTTCTATACCTTTGAGAGTTAGAGTTCTAATACACTGCACTTCTCCTTAAAGATATACTTCGACCAAATTAAATATTTAAAAATACTTATAATATTTGAAATCTCAATTTTATATCCTCAAGTATGCTTTAAAGAAAATAAAAGTAAGCAAAACCCCAGATGCACAACTGCACATGCAGACTAACATTCAGATTTCAAAATCAAAAATCAAAATTTAGAATTCATTACAAATCACTTTGTGCTTACATAATGTCACTGAAGATGTCCATTGACACCAACATTACTTTTTGATACAATCAGAAATTAAGACCACCCACTATTAAGACCATTTTTCTCCATAATCACAAGCGGTCTCATTAATGAGGTTATACTGCTCTCTGTAATTCTAGGCAAAGCTGGACTTCACTTTTCAGTAAAATTAGGGCAAAGTTATCGTCTAACCTTGCCTTGCTCTTGGTCAAATACTTTTTGAGCTACGTGTGAAACAAATGAAAATTTTTACTAAGTCAATGGCAATGACTTAACAAAACTGAATTAATCCACATGCTAAATCCCAGGTGCAAAACTTTACATGCTGATCAACATTCCTGTAAGTTTGTTTACTCTAGCTCATGCACTTTTAGAACTACATGTGACACAACATGGAAACATATGCACACCCGGATGGACGAGGGCAAAAGTAAATGCCCCTCACTCTCTCCTCTAGAGAAGGGGCACAAAAATAAATTATTTAAATAAATAATGGTATATATTTAATAATAATCAAGTCACAAAGACACAATTATTGTTTAGTGGAATATTGCTGTGTCATTATCATGGTGTGAATTTATTTGACATGCCAGCCTTATTTCCCCTGGTAAATATCAATTACTTAAAAAGAAGATTTTTTGGAAAATTAATAACTTGTAAAATAATTAAATAAAGAAAACAAGACAAAACAAGAGCCCGGTTTGAGCCGGGTGATGCTCCCCAAATAGGTTTTGGACACAGGAAAGTACACCTCTTGTAATTTCAGAGTTATGTCCCTGGAAAAAGTTCAAAGTGCAATCATTCCAAAATAAGGCAAGGCGGAGTTACTGTTCTTTGCACTGCACTTCTAATCAATGCGATCTATCAACCTACAAAGTTTCTTGTTGATACCTCTTATGGTTTCCGAGTTATGTCCCAGACAAAGTTCAAAATGTAAAAATGAACAAAGGGCAATAACTACAAAATTTGAAATGGCGGAGTTCAAGTTCTTGTGCACTACACATCTACCCATTTAGATCTATATACCTACAAGGTAAAAACGGAATGAATAGGATCATAGAGAATTTACTGTTACCCATTGTTCTCCAAGTCACACAAGTACCTCTGGTTTGTACGGACAGACGGACAAGGTGACGACTATAAGTGGTGAACTTTTTTCTCAAAGGTACCGGCAACTTCAAGATAACAAGTATCGACTGTAGAAAATTATAGAGTTAAAGCAATATACAAATTACCTTTAGAATGCGAGTTATTTAATCTGGATGACAATGGAAGTCCATATTCCTCATAGTTGTTGGCAAGTAGGTTGTCCCATTCTCGTTTTACATCTGCCTGTATCTCATGTTTTTCCCATCCATCTTCATCATAGTTACAGTCTATCTCTGGTCCAAGTCCACCGGTAAGATTCACTTTTTCTTCCATCCATTGTGACAATAAATCTTGAGCTAAAACAAAGTTATCCAGAAAAACAAAATCATTCAGAAGCAGCTCTTTATATACTGATCATAAGAACAGCCATTATTTAAGCTTGACAGTTTATGTGATTCAGTACCCATCCATATGTGGGGATGTAGAATACCATGACCCATACAAAAGGGTCATGATAGCCCTTAATCGCTCACCAGTGGGTATGGTCTAGATGGACAAGACTTAATGAACCTGAAAATTCCCAAGTTTCATGCCAAATATCTTAGCTCTAGTCTTTTAAATTTCAGGGGAGATGATTTTTTAAGGATTTTTCTTCAAATATACAAGGTAAACGAACAATCCCCGGGGCCAGGCCAATTTCAGTCCCAGAGTTTTTGTTTGTACAAGCTTAGTTGAAACCCATTAGATGATGTTTCATACTAAATATCTAAGCTGTTAGCTAACCTTCATGGCTTCAGAGGAGACAATAGTTGAAGAATTTACTATATAGATATATTATAAGGAAAACCCATGACCCCCTTGGGCACAGCCAATTTAAACCCCAGGGCTATAATTTGAAGAGGCCTAATAGAGGTCCATTACATGATGTTTTATGCCAATTATCTAATCTCTTGCCTGTATTGTTTCAGAGAAGATGATTTTTAAAGATTTTTATTTCTGTTGCCATGACAACCAGTTTTGCATGGAATGAATCTTTTTGAACAACTTTTAACAACTTTGATAATTTCTAGAATGTTTTGATATTATTGATCCAGTGGTTTAAGGAAGAGGTGTTTTTTTAAAGAGAAGTGTGAATGGATGGACAACAGACAGGGAGTGATTATAATAATTTACCTTAAGCATGTTCTGCTTTGGTGAACTAAAAAAATCCTAGCTATCAGAAACACTGGTCAGAGGGGTGTTTTAGCATGTATTTAGTACAACAAATATATTCTGGGAGTTATTACAAATTGCAGGTAAATAAATAAATTTATTTTTTCAATTCTTGGAAGGGTGTATGCCACAGCCTGGACTGCCAATAGGAAGCTTACCTTCATTATATGCTTGCTCATCATCTTGCATATATTCTCTTGTAGCCTTAGCAATAGCTTTCCCTCTTGTTCTTCCATGTTGGCTTGAACCAAATACTTGCTCAGCTGCTCGGTGAGATGCATCTTCAACTTTCTACAATACGATGTCATATCCAGGTTACTTCAATAACTATCTTCAAATTTAACATAATTATGATCTTTATAAGCAAGAGTTTTTAAAAATTTGCAAAGAAAGTAAAATTAACATGAAGATTTGTCTGTTACTTTCATAAAAGAATGAATCACTAAAAGCATTTGCTATTTGGAAAATAGTTCTATAGAAATAATTTAGGCATTTAATGTTTTAATAAGATAGAATGTCATATTTTATAATATTAAAAGTTCTCTTCTTGTACTTTAACAAGTAAAGTTCAGGAACATCTACCTGGATCCAATTCTGGATGTCACTGTTTGTTGCCACTTTCTGAAAATAATGCAAAAAAAGAAGATAAAAAATACATTATAACAATAGCACAAACATAATAACAAATAGGCCATTAGCTGAAGACAATATTCTCTAATTGGACAAGCTTTTTGTGGTCAAGGCAAATGTAATCTTGACCATTGACCTACTGATTAGGTCATCTGCTAGTCATGACTAACCTCCACAACAAATTTTAGGACTGTAAACCCTTAGTGTTTTAGAGAAAAAGATTCTTTAATTCTTAAATATGTAAATAAGTAAATAAATAAGTATATATATATAAAGGGGAAAACCCAAGACCTCCTGGGCAAGGCAAATGTTGATCCTGATGCCATAATTTGAATATCCTAATACCAGTCTACTAGACAATGTTTCATGCCAAAAATCTAAGCTCTGGTTTCAGTGAGGAATATTAAGTTATTATAGTTTTTAACAAGGGCAACATTGTCTCAAAATACGCATGTCACAAAAGCTTTTGACAGAGATGTGGGCATTATGGATATGCATATAGAAGATATGCTCTGGACAATATCCAGAAAATATCTAGATATTTTATCATCTCTTGTGACCTTGACCTGGCAAATATTAACCTATCACCTACATGTGTCACACTTGAAGTCACAATAGTTATCATTTGTGTTACTATCCATTTAATAATAAATGACTAAATGGTCCCCGTACACAAACTTTGACCTCTCTATGTGACCTTGACTTTGGTTGCAGGGACCTGGATTGTGAGCGCAATAAGCCTAACAATGGTGCACACTTGTGCCAAGTTACATTAAAGTCCCCGATGAATGTTGAAGTTTGGCTCCGAACAAGCATTTTTCAATGACCGCTAAGTGTGACTTTAACCTTTAACCTAGAGACCTGGTTCATGCATGTGACACTGCTTCTCATAGTGCTGAACATTTCTATGAAGTTACATTAGAATCCCATCATGCCTTGAGAAGATATACTCTTGACAAATATATTTTATCATCTTTAGTGACCTTGACCTTGCATATATTAACCTTAATTACATGTTTTACACCAGTAGTTATAATAATGACCATTTGTGTTTCAATCCATCAATAAATGATAACTAAATGGTCCGAATACACATTTTCATATTTTATCTGTACTTTGAACCCTATATGTAACCTTGACCTTGGCTGCAGGGACCTAAATTTTGCATAAGACACTCTGCCTCACAATGGTGAACATTTGTGCCAAGCTATATTGAAATCCCTCTATGCATGTAGAAGTTTTGCTCTGGACCAGCTTTTTCAATGACCTCTAAGTGTGACCTTGACCTTTGACCTGGAGACAGGCCTTGGATATGTGCGCAAAACAGCATCTCATGATGGTGATATTTTCTATGAAGTTTCATTAAAATTCCTCCATGCGTGCACGAGATATGATCTGGACAAAATCTCTATATTTTATCATCTTAGCGACCTTTACTATCATTTTAAGTGACCTTGACCTTGCATATCTTAACCTAAACTAAAACTATCAGTAAATGTGATTAATACCCCCGCAAGACTGCTTCAGAAATGAGGATGTTACTAGTAGTGATGGAAATCGGATGAAATTTGTCCCAATCGATTATCGGTTCAGTCGGATGGGACATAATCGATAACTTTTCGAATAAAGTCGCGTTAAAAAGAAATATGGAAGTTACATTTCTTCCCAAGGCACTTGATTATATTCAGTAACATGAACTTCATTTAGCAATTTTTTAACACAGTTTTAACCTTATATAGACATAATTTTGCGAAATAGATTTTATTTTGCAATGGATGTCAAATAATTACATTCACATCACATTATATTACTATCGTTTACATTACTTATTGAGCCTTTTCAGCTCCAAATTGTCTCTGAGAAGATTTCTTTGCGAAAGGCAGTTCCTAAAAGAAAATTACCGTCAGAATTAATTACCTTTGATACTTAAAACATTTTCGACGACGTCGCGGAACAAATTTTGTGAATCGATTATTGTCGCTTTACATAACAGTAACTGATTATCGGTGACTTGCGACAATAGGAACATCACTAGTTACTAGTAACAGAATACCTTGAAAAAGAATTGAAATAGAGTTATGGTTGTGGGCAATAATAAAAGATAATTGTGGTTCTTGTATGTTGCATTTCCTTTCAATGTGGTTGACCATTGATGATGTTTTATTGAATTACTCTGTAATAAGTCCAGAAAGGAACAAAGGGCAATAACTCTATAAATACTGAAGATGGAGTTATGGCTATTGTACACTGCACTTCCTCTCATAGCGCTTGACCATTGTATGAAGTTGTATTGAATTCCAACTACTAGTTTTCAAGTTATGCACTGGACAAAAAAAGTAACAAAGGGCAATAACTGTAATTAGGCCAAATAGAGTTATGGTTTTTGTGCACTGCACTTCATCTCACTACCCTTGACCATTGTATAAAGTTTCATTGAATTCCAACCATTAATTTTCAAGTTATGCACTGGACAATAAAAAGTAACAAAGGGCAATAACTCTGTAATTAGTCAAGATGGAGTTATGGTACTTGTGCACTGCACTACTTCTCAATGTGCTTGACCATTGTTTGAAGTTATATTGAATTCAAACCATTAGTCTTCAAGTTATGCTCCGGACAAGGAAAATGCAACGGACCGCTGGACTGACCGACCGACCACCTGGTGACTCCTATATACCCCCCAAACTTCGTTTCCGGGGTATAATTACATGTTTCACACAAGTTGTCATGATAATGACCACTTGTGTTTCAACCCCTCAATAAATGATGACTAAATGGTCAGAATACACATTTTCATATTTTTTATGTTAACTTTGACCCCTGTGTGACCTTTACCTTGGTCGCAGGGACCTAAATTTTGCAGGCGACACTAAGCCTGACAATGATTATGGTGAACATTTGTGCCGTTTATAATTGAAATCCCCCCATGCATGTAGAAGTTTTGCTCCAGACAAGCATTTTTCAATGACCTTCAAGGTCAAGGTCACTGTTACTAAAAATAGAAATTCAGTTTCAACTCAACTTAGTTTGCTTTGGACTATTGACACCAATCTTGGTGTATGTATAGATTATATTAAGAGGCAGCTTGGGATTACTACCCAGGTGTCTGTGATCAAGGTCAAGGTCACTGTTACTAAAAGTAGAAATTCAGTTTCTGCTCAATAACTTGAGTTTGCTTTGGCTTATTGACGCCTTATTTGGTGTGTAGGTAGCTTATATCAAGAGGCAGCATGGGACTGCTACCCAGGCGTCTGTCATCAATGTCAAGGTCACTGTTATTAAAAATAGAAATCCAGTTTCTGCTCAATAACTTGAGTATGCTTTGGCCTATTGACACCAAACTTGGTGTATGGATAGCTTATATCAAAAGGCAGCTTGGGATTGCTACCCAGGTGTCTGTGATCAAGACCAAGGTCACTGTTACTAAAAATAGAAATTCAGTGTCCGCTCAATAACTTTAGTTTGCTTTGGACTATTGACTTTAGTATAGCTTATATTAAGAGGCAGCTTTGGATTGCTACCCAAGTGTCTGTGATCAAGGTCAAGGTCACTGTTCAGGCTTCGCAAAACTGCTGAAAAATTTGCCTGACATTCGTCAGACAAACTTTCAATTCTTGTCTGACCGAAAGAACTTTTGTTTGACCAAATTTTTTTCCAAAATATATGTATATGGTGATACCTTTGTGTTTTTTTTAAGTGTGACCTTGATCTTTGAAGAAGCTTGCTATAAACCAAGTTTGATCATAATATCTCATTCCTAACTCTAGTTATTGTTCGGAAACCATTTTTCTATTTTTAGTAACGGTGACCTTGACCTTGAAGCAAGGGGATCCAAATCCTTTGATTGGTATATCTATCTGCCCCTTCCAACAAACAATTATCGGCAATAATTTTGATCAATTAAAATATTAATTATTTATCCCCTGTCGCTTCCTTAGTGAAGGTGTCATACACTGTCATTAACAACTGGCCAGTATAAATTTAATCTGCCTGCAGGCAGTTATTACACCCTGAAAAATACCGCTAAATATTCACGAATTCGAAAACCTAGCTAAACGCCGTTTTCCGGTACTTTCTGTACATAGCTCTGGGGAATTCACCTAATGGAGTGTAATATAGAAAAATAGAAATAATATTAATATCATGTAACTGTGTTATGTACTTCATTTGGTGTAATTCCCCAGAGCTAAATCCGTAACGTACCGGAAAACGGTGTTTAGCTAGGTTTTTGAAAAGGTCAATGAGGTCATGAAATCTACTAGATTCAGCGAATGTTTCAGGTAACCGACATGTCTAATTGTCCTTACTTAAAATAGCTTTATTCTATTCTGTGACTGATTGAATTTACAATGCCTAAATACTTTATCAAGATAGAAAAACTGTTAATAATTATTGACATTCTGTTTTTTGTTTATGGTGTCATTAAATTTGCAAGTTCATAGTTGTAAATACTGGTAATATAGGTTGTATGCCACTATGTAAATTTAAAAAAAATGTTTGCTGATCAATGCCCCACCTCCACAGTGTAAGAAATTAGGATTTGAATCGACTAGGCTGGTCGGACTACCAGATTGGAATATTCACTAGCCCAAAAGACATTTCACTAGGACGATTCATTTGTTCAAAACAGTTGTTTATATTGCCTCTAAAAATACAGTAGCCTGGTTGGGCTTGTTACTGTGAAAAGTTGGTAACCCGAGGAGAAATTTAGTAGTCAAAGGCTATAGGACTACTGCTAATTTCGAACACTGCCTCCAAATGAAAAGTGTCCCGGAAATGAGTCTAAAAATTATGGCATATATGCTATAGAATTCTATATATTTTTTAATTGTTTTTTTATTTGATTTTTTTTTTTAAATATATACTCGAACTCGGTATTATCAGCGCACCTCTATTATCGACGTATTCCGAAAATACGGTAATTTACATAAATAACACCGCCTACCACCCTCTCACGTGAGTAAACAATAACAAGGAAGTTCACGCTCCATCAAATCGCTAAATTTTCGTAGAAAATGTCACAAATTCAGGTAAAAAAAATTCATTGCTAATAAAAATCTATCAAATCCTATTAATTAATATGCTTTTACCCCAACTTATTCCTTTTTTTTAAAGCTTTATCCACGACAAATAATATCCGTCTGCTATCACTTCTCAATGTACACTGATGACGTCACTTTTTTTTCTATGGAAGGCCGTTTTCGTAATAATAACACTTACATTATTAACCATCCTGAGCAGAGCAAGTTGTAGATCTGCATTTTTAGGTAAGTTTTTTTTACTCTGTTATTCTTTTTTCAGGTTTCTCATACATTGACTGCTAAGAGGCGTCTTTCTTTTAGTACACCACACCAAGTGAAACTGAGGCGCCAGTATGACCCAGCAAATCTTCAACGTGCCTATGATGCAACCAATAAGGGTATGTCTGCCTATCGTGCTTCTAGGCTGCATGGGGTGCCAGAATTTACCATCAAGGATAGGCGATCAGGAAGGGTTGAGACTGGGGCAAATCCAGGGCCATTGAAGTTATTTTCACCCGAAGAGGAGCAGAGGTTGGCAGACCATATAAAGCACATGGCCAGCATTGGGTATGGCTATACTAAGGCCAACGTACAATATCTGGCTGCTGATTTTGCAGTGGCTTGTGGCAAGAAAATAAACAGTGACAAACCACTTAGTGACAGTTGGTTTTATGGTTTTCTAACAAGATGGGAAAATTTGAAGGTTGCAAAACCTCAAAAGCTCTCTTTACTTCGAGCTAAATGTGCCTCCAAGGAGGTCCTTGATCAATATTTCAAGGAACTTTGCACCATTATTTCTGATAATGGACTTGAAGGGAATCCCGAGCGCATTTATAACATTGATGAGACTGGCATTAATACAGAGCATGCTCCACCACATATAGTAATTTAGTATGTGATGCAACCTCTCAGCAACAAGCAGTTACTTCCCCAAGATCATCAACTGTGACAATTATTGGTGGTGGAAATGCTGTTGGGAACCAGGTCCCACCCTATTACATTTTCCCAGGGAAACGGTGGAATAGTGAATTTTTAAATGGAGCTCCCACTGGTGCAGATGGTGAAATGTCTGATAGTGGTTGGTCTAATTCTCTTATTTTCCAAAACTATCTTACAAAGCACTTTCTAAAGTATGCAAATGTCTCATCTGATACTCCAACTCTGATTCTTTTTGATCAGGGCTGCCAACAGCAAATTGCAAAATCAGAGGAAAATACGCCGGGGGTCAAGGGGGCTGAGCAAGCCCCCATTTGCGGGTCCAGGATTCTGATGATTTGGTATGCCCTAAAATCAATTTCCTGGACTCTAAATTTGACTTCCTTGGTTGCCTTTAAAGCCATTCAGAGACACTTTAGTTGGACTTCAGGTTTTCATCAGCCCCCAAAACAAATATCCGACATTTTGACAACAGACAAGAGCGACAATGTAAACTGTAATTTGATTGGTTATTCTAAAATAGAATGCCGGAAAAGACTCGATTTGACCAATGAGAAAAGCGCTTACAGACGTACCATAGGCGGCTAGCGTAACGATAAAAGCCGAAGCGTGCCGGTTTTTGGGTACTGTATAAAATATGACGAATGAATTTATTGTCTTTGTCGAATTTACATCGATCTCAAAAATGACCCAGGAGCTCACGAAATCCGCGGAAAATCGGTAGCCCTGTTTGATGGACACAAATCACATGTACAACTCTCTCTTATTGACTGGGCAAGAGAAAAAAACATAATTCTGTTTGTGCTTCCACCTCACACAAGTCACATAACACAGCCTTTAGATGTTGGGGTATTCGGACCTTTGAAGTCTATGTACTATAGGGAATGTCAAATGTATTTACAGAAACATCCAGGTCAAAAGATCACCAAGTATGAGTTGTCTAAATTAACTTCAAAGCCATACTTGAAAGCTCTGTGTCCTGAAAACCTCATTTCGTCTTTCCGGAAGACTGTCCCAGAATATATCCATTCTCAGATTGTACGATCAAAGAGTCCCAGATAGCACCCTCTTCAATTTATCCAAGTGTTCCTAATGTGTCTGCTGTTGATCCTCAACCTCAGTGTCTTCAGTGTTCACCAACACAAACCAATGTGCCAATACATGCCCAAGAAACTGACAAAGAAAACATTCCAGAAGGTGTACTTAGTCCTAGAAGTATTTTCTTCAAGTCCAGGACCATCACTGGCATCTCTGATCCCAGTAGGAAACCTAGGAAGAAGTTTGTACCACCATTTCTAGCTGGTAGTTTGTCAAAGCCCAACAACATCACAGTGCTTCAAGCTAAAAAGCCCAAAGCAAATCAAGCAACAATCACTGATAATTCCTCTCAATCTGTAAGATCTTTAAGTAAATCCTCTACTACAAAAGCAGTTCAATCATCTTCTTCAAAACAACTACCTCATCCAGGTCCTTCTGCTTATTATGTCAGCAGTTCAGAGGCTGAAACTGAGTCTGGATTTGAGGATGAATCTTCAAATTGCTGTGTGTGCCATAAATTTTCACCTCCAGCTCTTAAGCAGTGTACAAGTTTAGTTATTGTGAAGTGGGCTCAATGCGATAAGTGTCATCACTGGACACATTTGTCCTTCTGCACTGAGGTCAGGGTTGTGCGGCGTCATAGTGAATTTCTATGTCCCCACTGCCAATAAATGAATTTAAAACTTTAAAAAAAACTGTTAAAAGACTGTTTAAGTGTTTCCTGTTCCATGTTGACTTTATAAATATCCAGTTAATTGTTTTGAAATAACACTTTGACATTGTTTGGTGACATTTTATTTTGAAAACCATGAACTTGTTGAGTCATACTCTTGACTTGAAACTTTATAAATCAACCATAATATGTGTGTAAAGTACAGAAAGATAATTATTTGACGGTGGATAACCAAACTATAAGGTAAGACAAGTTTTCAGTCATGTTTTTTACAACAACGGCTTGCCATAGTTGATCAATGCTGAATACGTCGATACTAGAGTGTTCTCCCTTTAGGAAGTTGTGTATGCGGTCATGTGTATTGAAGCTAAACATCTTTGACCCAGTTCAGCATAAACTGAATTTCTTACGGTAAATTTGTAGAAAAAGTGTCTGCTTTTTCACGCAAAATATACTGGGCAGGAACCAGTTTCCGGACAGAATTTGAGTTTTTTTAATTGTCTACTTTTTTATAATAAACATGCATTAATAAAACTAACATACCAAAAACCTGAGCTCTAACTACGTCCGATAACACAATATACTGCCTGGTGACGTAAGCAATGTACAAACTGAAGGGTTAAATTAGGTCATCAAAAGTGTAAATTGTTCACTCTTGCAGAAGCAGTTTCCGGACATATATCAAGCTGCTATTCATATCTGTTTTTAACTGCTAATTATTCTCATATAACAAAAAATTTCGTCTCACATATTAGCTTTCTTATATAATTAAGCTGATTTACTGAAAAATGTTTATGATAGAAAAATATCGATCGCGTGATGGGTCTCGGAATGACTGAAAAGTGAAACGGATATTTTTGTGTGTACGACAGCAACGAAGTGCGAAAGTGGAGTAAACCTAGCTAAACACCGTTTTCCGATACGTTACAGATTTAGCTCTGGGGGTTACACCCAATGAACTTCGAATGAAGTACATTGTGCATTAATTGCTACCCCAAATTATATCCCAAAATAAACAAAATATTGCGCATGTGCAGAACAAATTACATGCCCCAAAGGGATATAAGGCTGTTTATAAAACACAGGTAAGATATCCTCACAAAATTTTAATGATGTATCAACTTGGAAGGAAGTTTATTTTCTCAAACAATCAAACCAAGCATCTTCATGATATATAATACCGATCGTCATCGATAAAGCCAAAATTAAGCCGTTATAATACTTGTCTGGAAACTGGTATTGTCCGGAAACTGGTTCCTGCCCAGTAAATTATTTAATCTAGCACTGAAAAAAAAAAACGCGTAGATAGTACATAGTGGAAACTTTAAATACGCCGATAATACGGCGTTCCGGGCTACAACGTGTAGTCTATAGCCGGGCAAGCCAAAGCCCGGACTCCCCGTATAATTTATAAACAATCAATAAAACAACTTGTATTAAGCTGCGGATTTTATTGTTAAACAAAAAACAGCAAATTTCACATTGAATATTTAATTGTAAATTGATGGATTGAAAAATCTTAAAATTTCTAGTATAAATTTATGGACAGTCCATAAATATGAATCTAACCCACTCCCACACGTCAAAATTAAAATTCCTGCCTGTGATCGTGAATAAGACCGTGGATCTTCTTGACGTTTCCAGCGGTACAAACTAGGTTTGTGTATGTTTTCTGTCATATCTTTTATATTCCTATAATATTCTGTCTTTCATGAACGCGGAAAATATTAAGTCTTTGAATATATTTTTCATGAAGGCAGCCATTTGTAAACAATATTCTCGCCAAATATGTTTATCATGTGACCGGGATCGGGAGTAAGCGAGACTGAAAAACATGGAGGTTAGTCAGCTAAATGTTAAGTGATAATGTAAGGATTAAATGCGAATTTTACACAGTTCTTATATTTTTTTTGTTGTGATTAATGTTCATATTGTACAATTTTAATTGTTAGATGGTGAAAGATCTTATTGCTAATTAATACGCAAGTTGAAATTTCCCATGAACCCCTTCGACGTGGACTCTCCCGGCCGGGGTTGTTGGCAAAGTGGTACACTCCCAAGCACTAGCATTTTTAATGTGGGGGTATCTGGTCAGTCTGGGATATTCCATTTAGCAGTAAAACATGATAGAAAAATGAATAAACTGATAAATAAGGGACATACAGTAGATCTAATGTTCTGAAACACTAATTGAATATATCATATGTTTAGATAAAACCATAATAGAAAATATATTTCAAAATGGTGGAAAGTCAAAGATATCCATGGGTGCCCACTGCTTGTTGTTGTATTTTTTTTAATTTAAAAATTCAATATTTTCTACAGTAATTATAATAATTTAATGTTGAAGAATTTTGACAGATACATAAAATTTACTGAACAAACATTTGACGACTTGTGACATAAAGAGGTAGATCTAATGGTGTTGACTCTAGAACAGGGACCATTTTAGGGCATTTTCTTTAAAATTCTGTCTTTTTCTGTCAAACCCCTTGACTGGTTTGCGGGGACTAAGTTAAAGTGTGAAAGAAAATAAGACATATATAAGATAATTTACATTTATATATATAAAATATTATTAAAATAATAGTGGGAAGTGTAAAGGGTTTATTAAAGGGTTTATTGTCCCCCCACCTTTTCAAAGAAAAAAGGGGGATATAGAAATAGGCTCCGTCTGTCTGTCCATCACACTTTCGTGTCCGGTCCATAACTTTGTCATTTATCAAAGGAATTTGAAATAACTTGGCACAAATGTTTGTTATAGTAAGACGATGTGACATGCGCAACATTTACCAGACCCCTACCTCCAGGGTCAAGGTCACACTTGCTCATTCAAGGTCAACATTGTCTATTTGAGGGTATACAGGGGCGTAGCTTGAAAGAAAGCACTCTAGTGTTAGGGGGTCCGGGGGAGTGGGGGGGTGCATGCTCCCCCGAAATTTTTTGAAAATCTACATTGCCATAGCTGACTTTTTGGGTATAGAAGAGAAGAGAATACATGATTTTGCTACATTTTGGTATCATTGAAAACTTTACCATCAATATAAATATTTCCGTACTTATAACTAACTCAGCGCAAAACAATTGTAAGTGACACTTCAGCAAAAAGAACTGCTTTCGGTTTAAAGGAATAGGAACGTATATAGATTGAACATCTAAAATCCGGAAACTTCTGAAAACCGAACATTTTTCAGGGTCACAAAATTTCTCCCGTTTTCTAAACTTTGAACTTCTAAATTCTGAATTCTGAACGAATTTCTGGTAAAATTTGGGTTATATCAATTCAAATTAACTTCCAAAATCCGGAAATTGAAAAAGGTGTAAATGAATATTATAATTGAGATAATACATTTAAAACCTTCAAAATGTCAGTATCTTCCAATTAGCAGAAACCATTTATCTTGACACCTATTAGAATCTCAACCTGTCAAGCATGTCAAACACTTGATTAAAGTGTGAAAATTAAAAAAAATGAGAAGTATAATGTGATGAAAAACAAAAAAATACTGGTTAATAGCTAGTACATGTACAACATGAAATATACTAAATATTTATACATTAAGATTTTGTATCAACAAATACTGTTATACTAGGTGATAATAAAATTTAACATACAATGTAGATAAAAGTCCAATAAGTTTTTAATTTTATGAATTTAATCAGCTTCATATATTTTTGATCATGTCTCATAGTTCAAGGGATGTTGGTTACTCTGTTTGAAAGCAGTCTGGCAATCTGTTATAGTGAGATTGGTAAAGTGTATGCAATGTAACAATTTTTAAGTAGGGGTAGACTGTTTCAGTGGATGGAAGAATGAGAATTTAAAGTAGTCTTTCAGGGAATGTACCTAAGCATGTGGGCATGTCGGGATGCTCTCCCTAAGATAACAGTAATTTTACCTCCTAGACGTAGTCTTTTCGGCACTTTTGTCACCTCTACAGAGTAGCAGCAACATAAAGGGAGCACTTCTCTGTCGTCTGTCTGTCCTTCTGTCACAATACATGCCCAGACTACTCCCAAGAAACTACTTTTGCAATTTCATCCAAATTTTTACAGGAATGATCAATACTAAGTCTAGTTGTTCTTACCTGTTCAATGATTTTTATACGCCTCTTTCAAAAATGGGTTATATTATATTATGTGATTTTTATTCTTAAACTTTGTCCTGACCAGTCCTTTTAAACCACTACAGTGTTCGAAATTAGCAGTAGTCCTATAGCCCCTGACTACTAAATTTCTCCCCGGGCTATAAACTTTTCACAGTAACAAGCCCGTCCAGGCTACTGTATTTTCAGAGGCAATATAAACAACTGTTTTGAACAAATGAATTGTGCTAGTGAAAAGTCTTTTGGGCTTGTGAATATTTCAATCTGGTAGTCCGACCAGCCTAGTGGATTTAAATCCTAATTTCTTACACTGCCACTAATGCAATTTCAATAAAACTTTAGAGAATTGATCAGTAGTTCAAGTCCTTGCGCATATTACACAGGTTTTCCGCGTGAATGATTTATGGCCCTTTTATGAAAAAGGTTTTTTTTTGTGTTGCCAGCTACCAAGAAGCTTGTCCTGACTACTTCTCAGAAACTACTGGTGCAATTTCATCCTAGCTTTACAGAAATTATCAGTATACCAAGTCTAGTTGTGCATGATATCTGTATTTTTCAATGATATTTGTGAGAGTTATTGCCCTTTAAAACTACATAGAAATGTTCACCACTATGAGAAGCGGTGTTGTGGGCATGAACAAGGTCTCTAGGTTAAAGGTCAAGGTCACACTTAGAGCTCATTGAGAAATGCATGTCTGAAGCAAAACTTTTACATGCATTGAGGGATTTCAACAGGGCTTCCATTAAGGGAAGTTTGGGAGTCATTTAATCCTTGATTTTGGCTTGTGACTTCCAGGATCTAATACTTTTCCTTCTTTGCTTCCAATATCAGAGATTTTACAGTGTCTGACTTCCAAATTTTGAAACTTAGTGGAAGCCCTGTTTCAATATAACTTGGCACAAATATTAACCATTGTGAGGTAGAGTGTTGCGCATAAAATTCAGGTCCCTTCAGCCAAAGTCAAGGTTGCACAAAGGGGTCAAAGTTCAGGTAAAAATACAAAGATTTGTATAAGGACCTTTTAGTCATCATTAATTTAGGGATTGTAACACAAATGGTCATTATCATTACTGCTGCTGTGACACTTGTAATTTAGGTCAATATATGCAATGTCAAGGTCACAAAAGATGATGAAATATACATATTTTGAACCGAGCATATCCTACAGGCATGGAAGGATTCTAATGAAACCACTGATTTAATATAATTTATGATAAGATTTTGTTATGTGTATATGACTTAGATAAATACTTTTAAGGTAAATAAAACTTTTGTGAAAATAAACAAGCTCATTTTTGCTAACCAGTGTAATGACAGGTTTTATAAGTGACAGAAAATTCATACCACTGACAGAGAAAGTACAAAGCCCAAAGCTTAGACATTTGACATGCATACATGCCATATCCTCTGCTGGGGGACAAAACCCCCCGATTTTCGACCTTGTCTGTAGATCTCCGGCCGTGGGATCAAAATGATCCGATTTTCAAAAATACTACCAACAAAAAAATAAATTAAAGCATCATTTTTACCAATAAACATAATTTAACGAAAGACTTACAACTTTTACAACTATACATGCCTGAAGTAATATCTCCAGGGGTCTAAATGATAATTGCATTGTTTGTTACTCCGACACACTTCAGGACATGTAGCATCAATTTGTAGATTTCTAGATAAGTTATATTAATCATGACCCTCGGGTCAAAATTGGCCTTGCAACAGTAGTTACTTTCTTTATGTAGACTACGGTATAGGAAAACACATCTTATCTTTTAGTGGATAAATTCTATGCCTAAAGCTTTGCGTAGTAGACTTCACACTTAGGGTAAAAAATGCTTCCTCCTTTGAAGTCATATACATAACAACTAGCAACTAGCCTTTTCCATTTATCCCAGCCATCTTCTATTAGGAGTATGAATTTTATTCAATGATATTTTATCTTCTTCAGGTCTAAATTTTTGTGGTAATATTATAATAATTTAGATAATTGAGTTACTGTTTCTTTGGACTTCCATATTATAAGATATGGGAAGAGAATAACAGTTTACTGGGTTAAAGTAACCAAAGCTAGAAACAGATTTTTATACTTGTTGTAAGAATACCTTGGTGGTCCTGTAACATTGGGTGGAGGTTGGAGCCACATAATCAATGCGTTGGAAATAATAATAGATTTTAACACTTGCTCCTACAGATTTTACTAATGTATTTAGTGATCAATGTCTTTCATATTTGGTAGATAGATACCTTGGGCAGTCACTAGTGTTTTTCTATCATTTTATTTACAGTTAAAGCTGCAGTCTTTCAATTTTTCAAAAAGTCTAAGTCAAGAAATATAATGTTTTGAGTTAAGTAAATCACAAAAATGCTCACATGATAATTTGCATGGTTTAAAACGTTATTGTTTTTGAGACTAAAAAATAATTTGGTGACAACACTTAAAATACAGCTACATGTATGAAATGAGTAAAATTAATTGTATTTCAGATAAAATAAATAGTTAGTGTTGTTTGTTGCTCAAAAAACACTGTAAAAATGGGAGATATCGGTTCAAACACCCCATCTTCATGGCAAGGCACACATCCAGACCATCCAATATATCAGTCAGCCAGAGAGGAGGAACCAAGCTCCTCTATAACTTCTTCATCTTCAGCATCTTTTGCACCAGCTGTATATAGAGGGCAGTCTGTGTTTCAGAATTCAAGCCGTTATGTTTCAGACAGCTATGATGTTCAGGTATCTTGTTTTATTACCCTTCCAGACTTTTTCCTCCTTTTTGATTGGATATTGGTCACCCGAAAGAAATTGATATTACCGAGCCAGACGGGTAATATACACACTAAATTTCCCCGTTGGGTACCCCACGGTGTAAACAACATGGGCTGTGGCGATGCGCGTACGGTTTAATTTTTCGTGATGTAAATTCCGATTTACAAGCACTTTTTAACTGTAAATGATAAATATTTACCAAAATAGAGTATGATACATATTCTCATCAGTATTGAAAACAAATATGACCTTGTGAAAGCCTGATATTAATTCCAAAAAAGTGCGTTAAACAGACTACTCCTTTTCTCTTGTTTACATTCGTTAGGTTCGAAAGAAAATATGTGACATCATGTTGTGGTGAAGGGGTACCCTAAAGGGAATCTTATTTCGACGTTTCATTTGAAGTAGCAATGATTTATATTAAAATCGTCTTAACTCGGCAGGGGAAGGGTAATAAAATTATTATTTTGGTTTTGGAGTGATATATGTGGATATATTACCTGCCAAGATAAAATATCACCCTCGCCTAACGGCTCGGGTGATATAAAATCTTGACAGGTAATATATCCACATATATCACTCCAAAACCAAAATAACATATATTATTATACCCCAAAGTACATTATCTGATTATGTATAGGGGGTTATACTGTAATCACTTTGTTGTGTCTGTCAGTCAGTCTGTCTCCATCGTATCTGCTCTATAAATCCTATACCCCTTGAAGGATTTCCTTCAAATTGGCACAACAAGGCAATATGCACAAACTATGCCACTGCTGTGCGAGCTGAAGGTCAAGAACACCCTTAAATATATCCACTCAATTGATTCCAATACCTCTTTAAGGATTTCCTTCAAACTTGGTCCCAAATGTTCACCTGAACAAAGTAATGTGCAGAACATTGTGAAGGTCATAAGTGACCCTTAAAGGTCACATATCAAACAATTATATGTCAGCTCTTTAAATTCGTTGATGTTCAAAAATTTGTTTTTAGTCCCCTACCGGTTTACCGGAGGGGACTTTAGGTTTACCCTCCGTCCGTCTGTCCGTCCATCTGTCTGTCCGTCCGCAAAACTGGATCCCGCGATAACTTGAAAAGTACTGAAAATATTTTTATGAAACTTGGTATATGGATAGATGGCAGTATGGAGATTATGCACGTCTTTTTCTTTTCTTCCTATGTTGAAAATTCTGGTTGCTATGGCAACAAATAGGCTGAAAATATGGCAAATTTTACACATAAACTGTATCCAGTGATAACGCAAAAAGTACTGGAAATATTTTTATGAAACTTTACATATGGGTAGATGGCAGTCTTGAGATTATGCACGTCTTTTTCTTTTCTTCCTATGTTGAAAATTCTGGTTGCTATGGCAACAAATAGGCTGAAAATATGGCAAATTTTACACATAAACTGGATCCAGTGATAACGCAAAAAGTACTGGAAATATTTTTATGAAACTTGACATATGGGTAGATGGCAGTCTTGAAATTATGCATGTTTTTATGCCCCCGCCATGTAATGGCCGGGGCATATAGTGTTACCCTGTTCCGTCATTCCGTCCTTCCATCCTTCCATCCTTCCGTCCTTCCGTCATTCTGTCATTCCGTCATCATCAGTTTCCGTTCATTATCTTAAGAACGGTTGCACACATTCAACTCAAATTTTACATATGGATATGTCATGAGAAAATACAGGTCAAGTTCGAATTTGGTCATGGTTCGATGATTTTTGGCAGAGTTATGCCCCTTTTACTTTGTAGATATTATGAAATTTCAGTTTCCGTTCATTATCTCCCCAACGGTACAACACATTCAACTCAAATTTTACATATGGATATGTCATGAGAAAATACAGGTCAAGTTCGAATTTGGTTATTGTTCCATGATTTTTGGCAGATTTATGCCCCTTTTACTTTGAAAATAATATGAAATTTTCAGTTTCCGTTCATTATCTCCCCAACGGTACAACACATTCAACTCAAACTTGACATATGGATATGTCATGAGAAAATACAGGTCTATATTTATATACATATTATAAGGTTATGACTAAAATCTCATTTTAAGTCACTATCAAGCAGTATATACCATCCAAACACTGTGTGGGCCCCCTGTGGTACAACACATTCAACTCAAATTTGACATATGGATATGTTTTTGGAATGCCCAGGCCAATTTCGAATTTGGTCATGGTTCATTGATTTTTGGCAGAGTAATGCCCCTTTCACTTTGAAAATAATATGAAATTTACAGTTTCTGTTCATTATCTACCCAACAGTGTTACATATTCAACTCAAATTTGACATACGGATATGTCAAAGGAATGGGCAGGTCAAGTTGGAATTTGGTCATGGTTTGATGATTTTTTGGCAGAGTTATGTCCCTTTCACTTTGAAAATAATATAGATACATCTTAGGAATAAGCAGTTTAAGTTTGAATTTGGTCGTGGTTCAATGATTTTAGACAAACTTATCTTTCCTGAATGTTGGAAAAATTTTGAACTTTCAGTTTCAGCACACCTACTGTTAGCCATTATTTTGGCTACAAATATGCAATATGCTATTTTTAAAAGGTTAAGACTGAATAATTTCAGTGCCTTGAACATTGTATGAAAATGGTTTGTGTTAACATTAAAAAGTTTTAAGGGCTTTGAACTTAAAATGAAAAAAATAATTAATGCACCATCTGAAATTTTGGCTGCATGCGGGGGCATCCGTGGCATGATGACACATTTCTAGTTTTCTTTTCTTCCTATGTTGAAAATTCTGGTTGCTATGGCAACACATAGACTGAAAATATGGCAAATTTTACACATAAACGGAATCCAGTAATAACTCAAAAAGTACTGGAAATATTTTTATGAAACTTGTTTTATTATGTTTTGTGGTCAATATTTTCAAATACAGACTTCATCCTCAAATTCATTATAAATGGCAATACACAGGAGTGTATGACAATTAAAGAACTTTTTAAGGGACCGGTAGGGGACTACTGTATTGCCCACAATACTATCAAATGCTTGTTCATATTTGAATACATGTATTTGTTTTCATGAAGTTTGAGTGAATGTGTCCTCTTATTTTGTGTCCGAAATTGTGTCCGAATTTTTTCAATAATTTAGAAATTAGGAATATCTCAAGCACGATTGAAATTTTAGACTACAGTGTTATCTTTTATTATATGTCGGGCAATATTTCAGAGTATAATTATTGTTATGCACCTGGTCATCCATATGTCTGTCTGAAAGCAGTTTTATATCTATTGTATATCTTTTGAACCAATGGCAGAAAATTTAAACTGCTTGATAGAAATCTACCCATAATGAGACAACTTAAATATTTGGCATGTAGCTTTGCCTTGTTGGACCTCTACAAAATTTATATCAATCATGACCTTCAAGGTCAAATATTTGATTTTAGCTATAATTGGCGACTTTGTTATTCATCACCTGACCATATCTTACCTTGCCTTTAACTTACCTTACCTAACCTTACCTTACTTACCTTATCTTACCTGTCTGCCCTGAACTTACCTTACATTTCCTTACCTTACTTTCCTGTACTTTCCTTTTTTACTTACAAAGCATTAAATTTAATTGTAACAACCATGAAATTACTGTATAATGATAAGGTATAATTAATATCCACAGAGTGATTCTGTTAGAAGTCATATCTATCAGGCAGCAGAGTCATCTTACCATCCGGATCATCATAATGGAGGACAGCACTTTTTGGAGATGTCACAATCTAATAATGAGAATCAAGATCAGATAGGCAATTATAACAACTTGAATAACAATAGCAATGGTTTTGGGTCAGCGCAATCTACAGCTAGCAGTTCACAGACTTGTGATGTAAGCTATACAATTTATGAGGGTTGTATGGAAAGTTTCCTAATTAAATGCTCTGTAATCCCTTAACTTTGACAAACACAATTATTCTTAAACTGAGAACATTCTCATATGAATGTTGAGATACCTAATCAAACTTATCTCAAAACAGCTGCTAATATGGATGCCAGATCTAAAAATAGAACTAAGCTTTAAATGTCTTTTCTTAACTGCATGATAAATGTTGATGAGAGTCTATGTACATGTAGGAATGCTTCTAAGTGGAATAATTTTATTAGCTCGACTATACGCAGAATAATCGAGCTAATGCCTTCACCCATTTGTCGGCGTCTATATCTGCGTCCATGTGGTTAAGTTTTTGCGTGTAAGCTGGTATCTCCATAACTACTGAAGGGAATGGATTGAAACTTCACACACTTGTTCTCTGTGATTATCTAACATGATTGGCTCAAGTCCAATAACTCTGATTTGCTATTTTGCATAATTATGCCCCTTTTTCGACTTAGAAATTCTTGGTTAAGTTTTTGCGTGCAAGCTGGTATCTCCATAACTGCTGAAGGGAATGGATTGAAACTTCACACATATGTTCTCTGTGATTATCTAGCATAATTGGTATAAGTCCCATAACTCTGGTTTGCTTTTTTGCATAATTATGCCCCTTTTTCAACAGAAATTCTTGGTTAAGTTTTTGTGTGCAAGCTGGTATCTCCATAACTACTAAAGGGAATGGATTGAAACCACACACACTTGTTCTCTGTGATTATTATAACATGATTTGCATAAGTACCATAACTCTGATTTGCTTCTTTGCATAATTATGCCCCTTTTTTGACTTAGAAATTCTTGGTTAAGTTTTTGTGTGCAAGCTGGTATCTCCATAAATACTGAAGGGAATGGATTGAAACTTCATACACTTGTTCTCTGTGATTATCTAACATGATTGGCACAAGTCCCATAACTCTGATTTGCTTTTTTGCATAATTATGCCCCTTTTTCAACTTAAAAATTCTTGGTTAAGTTTTTGCCTGTAAGCAAGTATCTCAAAAACTACTTAAGGGAATGGATTGAAACTTCACACACTTGTTCTCTGTGATTATCTAACGTGATTGGCACAAGTCCCATAACTCTGATTTGCTTTTTTGCAGAATTATGCCCCTTTTTTGACTTAAAAATTCTTGGTTAAGTTTTTTGCGTGTAGGCAAGTATCTCCATAACTACTGAAGGGAATGGATTGAAACTTCACACATATGTTCTCTTAGATTATCTAACATGATTGGCATAAGTCCCATAACTCTGATTTGCTTTTTTGCATAATTATGCCCTTTTATTGACTTAGAAATTCTTGGTTAATTTTTTTGCGTGCAAGCTGGTATCTCCATAGCTACTGAAGGGAATGAATTGAAACTTCACACACTTGTTTTCTGTGATTATCTTACATGATTGGCACAAGCCCCCTAACTCAGATTTTTTTTTTCATAATTATGCACCTTATTCGGCTTAGAAATTCTAGGTAAAGTATTTGCTTGTAAGCTGGTATCTCCATAACTACTGAAGGGTTTGTGCCTTTTTTGGAACAATTTTATGCATTCATAATAATAAACCAGAGATTTACTCGATAAAACATCGTAAGAAGAAGCCTTTGTACCTTTTCGGACAATTTTATGTATTCATATAGGTAAGCATTATTATACTCAATGAAACACACTTGTGACAACTTTTCGAATAGTCGAGCGTTACTGTCCTCCGACAGTTCTTGTTATTTGGCTTGTAGTTTTGCATAGCTGATTTCTCCCTTTGTTTTATAAATCATTTCCCTTCCTTTAAAAACAACTCAGCATACGAGTTAAATGATGAAAGGAAAGAACTCATTTCCTGATGTCTAGTAAAGAAATTGTTCTAAAAATAGATTCCATAGCTTGAAGTAAGTCTAAAGGTTATGACCTCTAACAACAGAGATTTCAGAGATTTTGATGTAATGTTTTGACGTTATTATACTTTGCCTGAGGATCAAACCAGCAACCTCTTGATTATTTATTTGATGGCTATTGTGATTCATGAAACAAATTTATTCTTCTAGCAAACAGGATATCCACTTCACCAACTTATAGTAGATGCTCAAAACAGAATTGTTGCTGTACAAAGAGTTATATCTCCAGATGTTGACAGTACAGTTGACCAATCATCAAACACTAATACATTACAACAGCAACCAGCTGCAGAGCCGGGAAATTCTGATCAAGGATCTATAGTGATACAGCCAGTATGAATTCTTGATATGATATATGATTTAAAGCAAATTTAGGATAGCATATTAGCTTACAAATGACCTTGACCATCAAAGTCAGATTTTGAGTTAAAGTTAGATTGTAATAACTTTGTCATTTTACCCCGCCTTTTTGAAGAAAAAAAGGGGGAAAAATGGGTTCTGTCTGTCTGTCCATCTATATATCACAAAACTGGTATGGACTACTCATCAGAAACTACAGGTGCAATTTTATCTAGATTTTACACTAGACTTTACAGGAATGATCAGTACCAAGTCTAGTTGTGCATATCTTTGGTATATTCCGGTTCATTGATTTTTATTATTATGAATTATTCCCTTCCTTTAATTTATTATTTCTTTCGGGCATATTATGTTATACCCCCTGGTGTCCGTCCATCTGTTAGCAATTTGATTTCAGGAGCATAACTTAAGTTCCATTTGGCCCACAATATTGAAACTTCATAGGATGATTGTTTATATTGGGTAGAAGACCCCTATTGATTTTGGGGTCACAAGGTCAAAGGTCAAGGTCACTATTACCTTAAAACTGAAAACAGTTTCCGGAGCATAACTTAAGTTTCATATGGCCCACAGTCTTCAAACTTCATAGGATGATTGTCCATATTTGGTAGAATACCCCTATTGATTTTGGGGTCACAAGGTCAAAGGTCAAGGTCACTATTACTTTAAAACTGAAAACAGTTTCCGGAGCATAATTTAAGTTCCATTTGGCCCACAATATTCAAACTTCATAGGATGATTTTCCATATTGAGTAGAAGACCCCTATTGATTTTGGGGTCACAATATCAAAGGTCAAGGTCACTATTACCTTTAGACTTAAAACAGTTTCTGGAGCATAACTTAAATTCCATTTGGCCCACAATATTCAAACTTCATAGGATGATTGTCCATATTGGGTAAAAGACCCCTTTTGATTTTGAGGTCAAAGGTCAAGGTCACTATTACCTTAAAACTGAAAAAAGTTTCCGGAGCATAACTTAAATTCCATTTGGCCCACAATATTTAAACTTCATAGGATGATTGTCCATATTGAGTAGAAGACCCCTATTGATTTTAGGGTCACAAGGTCAAAGGTCAAGGTCACTATAACCTTTAAACTGAAAACAGTTTCCGGAACATAACTTAAGTTCCATTTGGCCTACAGTGTTCAAACTTCATAGGATGATTGTCCATATTGAGTAAAACACCCCTATTGATTTTGGGGTCACAAGGTCAAAAGGTCAAGGTCACTATAACCTTAAAACTGAAAACAGTTTCTGGAGCATAACTATAAAGAAGGATTGCTTTTTGGAGGAGGTAATACTTTATTCAATTCCCATGTCTTACAAATGCTTCATCCTTACTAAAAAAAAAATACTTTCGGGCATATAATGGGTTCTAGGGGTGCTCTTGTTATCAAAGTTATGACCCTTTAATGATTTTTATTTTTAAAGTTTGGTTTGACCAGACTAGTCTTATACCACTTAGCAATTTCTATGAAAAATTACAGGATTTATAGGTGGCTCAAGTCCTTGGGCATATTACATTGGCTTTCTGCTTGAACGATTTTTGGCTGAGTTATAGCCCTTGAATAAAAAATGTGTTGTAAATGATTTTTGTGTTGCCAGCTACACAGAAGCTTCTCTGGACTACTCCTCAGACATTGCAGGTTTGTGGAGCATACACCATCTTAAGTGATATTCTTGTATTGTAATGCTATTTGTTTACAGAGTACCAGTGGTAGGTCAGTGGTAAGCATGCATCAATCAAATGTCCACTCAGAGGTGTCAACATCTGCTCAGTCCTCCACTCAAGTCAGCAGAGGTCAGTCATTATAAGTATAAATTTATGAATTTATTAATATATTGGTAAAACTTACCAGATGTATTATTGGTGATTTATATCATTTGTTGGAAATCTCTATATGATTTACACTTGCTTGAAATAAAATGTCTTTACATTGTACTGAGAGAGTTGCTTATGGACTTTAAGGGTGACACAAAAAAGTACCAAAAAAGGAGAAAATTGCAAACTTATTTTCAGAATAGAGAGCAGGGTGTTTCATTTCAATAATTATGGGCATAGGCCCGTAAAAAACTCTTTTTATCTCACAAAAAAAGAAAACAGAAACATCCTCAATTAACACCAGAAATTCATACTTTTTCAAGTTCTGAGAAAACATTGAACTGTTATGACTTGTTTCTTAAAAGAAAAAGCATCAGATTGTTGAATATTCCACTTCTTTTAATCTTAATTTAAAAAAAAATGCTTCTTAATTGCTCCCAAGTTAAGCTGGGGGTCTTGAAGAATGGTATTGGGGTATATAGGAGTGAGCTTGCATATATAACTAGCTTATGGAAATGTTTTTTGTGCTTTCTAGGGTCATAGTAACTTCAAATAGATAAAATGTATTTTGGTCAATAACTAAAGTAAGGAATGAAATATAATAATCAAACTTCGTATATAGCAAGCTTATATGGATCCCTTCTTTGGGTTTGCTTTTAGACTGTCCAATGGTCAGGGTCATGGACACTGTTTCTAAAAACAGAAAAATGGTTTCAGTAACAAGATTAAGAATGAGATATTGTAATCAAATTACGTTTATAGTAAGATGATATGGAGGTTTTTCTTAAGATAAAGTTTGGGCCTCTTTAGGTCATGTTACTTTAAATAGAAATGTTTTTCAGTCTGTATTTAGAGTTAGGAATAAGATGAGGCAGTGGTTTATATCAATATTTTGTACACAGATCTTTTATTTTTTTTTGGGGGGGGGGGACATTTAGATTTACCCTTGTCTGTCTGTCCATTTTCATGTTGTGGTACACATACATTTTTTTTATTGTAGCTCAAAAAGTATTTGACCTAGAGTCATGAAACTTTACAGGAATGATGCTCAGCATGTGAAGTTACACACTTAGAGTTTTGCTTGTGGATTTATGCTATTTTGTCAAGAGTTATTGCTTTGACTTAGTAAAAGGTTTTTAGTTTTCAACTTGTGTCATGTGTAGCCCAAAAATATTTGACCTAATGTCATAGGTTTGCCAAAACAGTTGAGTGTGGGGGCACATGTGTGCTATGGACACATTTCTAGTTTTATATGTGAAATTGTACACAAATTTTGCTTGCTTTATAACAGTATGTATTGTCAATATCTCTTATTATGGACTCTTAAAAATATTCAGGATTATATAGGATTAGTTATGGGACATTAGTGTTGTAAGATATTTTGATGTATTAAAGGATATAGAAGAAGCTATGATGGTATGGAAGCAGCTGTTAGTTCTCTATCTACAGCAACATCTTCAAATGAAGCTGAAGTAACTCATACACTATCTCTCAAGGTTTGCACATTTTTCCACTAAAGCTTTTTTTCCCCACTTCACATCAGATCACTATTTATGTTGTGTTGACCATACAAACCTTTTTGTACCGTATTCAGAATTTTGAGACATTTTTGTAGAATCTCATAACATATGCCCTTGGGCAAAGAGAAACTTATTTAGCTTCCTTCAATCTGTCCAAAGAAAGTTAACCTAATTTGACAAGATCAGTTTATCCAAAGTTTACTTATACCAATGGTTTCTAAGTGACACACTAGCTTACCCATTACAAAGCTTTGTGATGGAAACATCTTTACTGTTAAGGTCAATTTTTTTCAAAGAAAAAAAATAAAGGCATATAGTTTTTACCCTGTTCCGTCATTCCGTCCTTCTGTCATTCCATTTTTACGTCATTCTGTCATCATCAGTTTCCGTTCATTATCTTAGTAATGGTTGCACACATTCAACTCAAATTTGACATATGGATATATCATGAGAAAATACAGGCCAAGGTCAAATTTGGTCGTGGTCGGACGATTTATGCCCCTTGATGAAATTTTCAGTTTCCGTTCATTATCTCCCCAACGGCATTACATATTCAACTTAAATTTAAAAAAAATGTGCAGGTCAAGTTCAAATTTGGTCATGGTTCGATGATTTTTGGCAGAGTTATGCTCCTTTCATTTTAAATATAATACGAATTTTTCAGTTTCCGTTCATTATCTCTCAAAAAGTATTACACATTCAACTCAAATTTGACATATGGATACGTCAAAGGAATGCACAGGTCAAGTTCGAATTGGTCATGGTTTGATTATTTTTGGCAGAGTTATGCCCCTTTTACTTTGAAAATAATATGAAATTTTTAGTTTCTGCTCATAATTGTCCCAACAGTATTACACATTCAACTCAAATTTGACATATGGATATGTCAAATAAATGTGCAGGTCAAGTTTAAATTTGGTCATGGTTTGATGCTTTTGGCAGAGTAATGCCCCTTTTTCTTAAAAAAAAAGAAGGAAATTTCAAGTTTCCATTCATTATCTTCCCAATGGTTGTACACATTCAACTCAAATTTGACATATAGATACATCTTAAGGAATAAGTGGCTCAAGTTTGAATTTGATTGTGGTTCAATGATTTTGGATTGAATGTTGGAAAAATTTTGAATTTTCAGGTTCAGCACTCATACTTTTGTGGAAATGTATGTAGTCATTATTTTGGCTACAAATATGCAATATGCAATTTACAAAAGGTTAACACTGAATAGTTTCAGTGCCTTGAACTTTGTATAAAAATGGTTTGTGTTAACATTGAATAGTTTTAAGGGCCTTGAACTTAAAATGAAAAAAAAAGGTTTGTGCAAACAAATTTGGAAATAAATATTATAACTGAAATTTTGGCTGCATGCGGGGGCATCCATGGCGTGACAACACATTTCTAGTTTCTTTTATTTTCTTTTTAAAGATTTGTTTAAATCATTTATTTGTTTGCTTTTAGAAAAAGTAAAAAAGGTTGAGCATTGCATCGGTCCGGCAGTTTATACTTGTTCAGTGAAATTATCTTACAGTACATGCAACAGTCATTATTTGTATTTAGAATGAAAGGAGATCAGTAGATGATATAGTTAGTGGGGAACCGGACACTACACAAGATGATGATGAAGAGTACCAGACCTCAGGTTGGTTCCTTTTTTATCAGAATATAACCTTTAATTTATGAATTTTTACTTATTATTTGGCATTTTTTATACACCCAAAGAAAAAATCTTGCGCGTTATTATGTTTTGCTTTTGGTCCTCTTTCTGTTTGTCTGTTAGCAGTTTTCATGTCTGGTCTGTATATTTTGAACCATAGGAAGGAAATTGAAACTACTTAGCAGAAATGTTAACAATAATGAGACGATGTGCAAAGTGCAGGTGAAACTTAATAGGATGATAGATTTTATTGATAAGAAGTGCAGTGCACAGAAACTGCTGCTCTGCATTTCTTATATTTTGATTTATTGCCCTTTGTTGATTTTCAAATTTCATTTTTGTCCTGGTCATTTCTCCTAAACTATATTGTTCACAAGGCGACACATCCGACTCGCGGAGTTCTAGTTTTATAGGAAAACATATCTAAGTCTTATTTGGATGGAACTACAATGCCTAGAGTTTGGCCTCTACAAAAGTCGTATTAATCATGCCCCTTGGGTCAATGTTGGCCCAACCCCTGGTGTTAGTTGATATAGTCTTGTATAAGAAAACACATTTCAGTATTATTTTGTACCAAGAGCTAAAATATTGAGCATGTACCATTACCTTGTGAACATCTGCAAAATTGATTTTAATAATGCCCCTAGGGTCAAAATTTGCCTGCCCCTGGGTCACTTGATTATAGAAAAATTGTGTGAAACTACAAAGCCCAGAGCTTAGATATTTGACTTGTAGACTTCTACTAAAGTTATATGACCTTCAGGTCAAAATTAACCCTGCCTTGGGAGTCACTTGCTTTAACTAGACTAAGATTGCCTAGTAGACCTCCATAAAAGTTTTATGAAACATGCACTAAGGGTAAAAAATGCCTCCACCTTGGAGGTCATATGGTATATATCATAATGATAGTAAAGATAAAACATTTTTCAGACAAGTTTCTTGATTGGGTCTTTACCCTAATTGAAAGATTATTTTTGATTAAATTTGGGTGTATATTGCCCTGCCTTTGAGGTGCTATTGTTAAGTTAGTGCTTTTTACACTGGGCGCATCTCCATGAATGTTTATAACTGTGAATCAGTGGCATGTAACAAATCTGCAAACATTTGTAACTTCAACCTATTAGATTATCATTATGATTTGCTATGCATAACTTTTACCTATTCTTGGATGATACATGTTTCAAGGTTAAGTTTCTTTTTTTTTTTTAAAAAAGGTCATGCTGTTTGAAAGTATTCATTATTCCATTATTTACAGATTATTAAATAAAGTAAATTATACATGTTATTTACAGTTTGCATAGTTTGAATAAATGTATTTTTTCTCGTTAAAAAGGAAGGTGTTGGTTTTATGCTTCCCGAAAAATTTCAGAGGAGCATATAGTCGGCGCCTTGTCCGTCTGTCCGTCCGTCCGTCTGTCTGTCCGTTGTCTTGTCCGGAGCATAACTTGAAAACCCTTGGAGATAATTTGTTGAAACTTCACACAGTGGTAGAGGGCATCGAGGGGGAGTGCAGTGTCAAAGAACCATAACTCTATTTTGCCCGGTTTTTGAATTATCTCCCCTTATAGAAAAATCTTGTCCGGGGCATAACTCTAAAACTATAAGAGATATCAACATGAAACTTTGTAGGTGAATAGATCTCAATGGGTAGATGTGCAGTGCATAAGAACAATAACTCTTTTTGTCCTAATTTTGGAGTTATTGCCCTTTGTTAATTTTAATACTTTGAACTTTGTCCGGAGCATAACTTGAAAACCCTTGGAGATAATTTGTTTAAACTTCATACAGTGGTAGAGGGCATTGAGGGGGAGTGCAGTGTCAAAGAACCATAACTCTATTTTGCCCGGTTTTTGAATTATCTCCCCTTATAGAAAAATCTTGTCCGGGGCATAACTCTAAAACTATAAGAGATATCAACATGAAACTTTGTAGGTGAATAGATCTCAATGGGTAGATGTGCAGTGCATAAGAACAATAACTCTTTTTGTCCTAATTTTGGAGTTATTGCCCTTTGTTAATTTTAACACTTTGAACTTTGTCCGGAACATAACTTGAAAACCCTTGGAGATTATTTGTTGAAACTTCATACATTGGTAGAGGGCATCGAGGGGGAGTGCAGTGTCAAAGAACCATAACTCTATTTTGCCCGGTTTTTGAATTATCTCCCCTTATAGAAAAATCTTGTCCGGGGCATAACTCTAAAACTATAAGAGATATCAACATGAAACTTTGTAGGTGAATAGATCTCAATGGGTAGATGTGCAGTGCATAAGAACAATAACTCTTTTTGTCCTAATTTTGGAGTTATTGCCCTTTGTTAATTTTAACACTTTGAACTTTGTCCGGAACATAACTCTAAAACTATAAGAGATATCAAGATGAAACATTGTAGGTAGATAGATCTCATTAAGTAGAGGTGCAGTGCAAAAGAATCATAACTCTGTTAAGCCTCATTTTTGAATTATCTCCCCTTTTAGAAAAATCTTGTCCAGGACATAGCTGTAAAACTATAAGAGATATCAACATGAAACTTTGTAGGTAGATATATCTCAATGGGTAGATGTGCAGTGCACAAGAATCATAACTCTGCCTTGCCTAATTCTGGAGTTATTGCCCTTTGTTTATTTTTACTTTTTGAAATTGTCCGGGACATAACTCGGAAATCATAAGAGATATCATCAAGAAACTTTGTAGGTTGATAGATCACATTGATTAGAAGTGCAGTGCAAAGAACAGTAACTCTGCCTTGCCTAATTTTGGAATTATTGCACTTTGAACTTTTTCCAGGGACATAACTCTGAAACTACAAGAGGTGTACTTTCTGTGTCCAAAACCTATTCGGGGAGCATCACCCGGCTCAAACCGGGCTCTTGTTTGTTAATAGCAAATAATTCCTATATTGATAAACATTAACTGTTTATCTGTAACTGTTTAAATTTATTTAATTCAAGCAATGAACTAGTTTTTAGATACTGAGGTTTATCATTAATTACACTACATTTGTATTTTTTAACTTGATGACTTCAAATGTAAATAAATAAGTCAACTGAAATTATATTGGTGACAACTTAATGGTGTTCAGTGGGTGCTGACAGATTTTGTTAATATTGCATGTCATAGTCTTGTCGAGAACTAAAAGGTTATTGTTATATTACTAATATATTTTCTTAGTCACAACAACAAAATATTGTCAAGCTTTCTCTCAGCGAAAACACCATCCTGATGAAAAACACAAAATATTGTTTGGAAAGTTTCTGGGAAAACAGTACACTGGCTGAAGTATAAATTCTAGAAGTGAGGAGAATTACCTCTTTCTACTGCTTCTTTAAGTTCTGCAAATCTTCAACAAGGTGGTAAAGCATTAGGCATATTAATCTGTTACCTGCAACAGACTATTAATGGTAGAATACATATATATATATATGAGGAGTGTTTAAATATGATGCCCTACCGGACAAACCCCTCCCGTCCAAAAATGACAAGGCAGACAAAAGCCCTCCTGTGAAAATGACTGGGCGAACAAAAGCCATCCCATGAAAATACTAGGGCGGACAAAAGCCCTCCTGCAACAAATACATATATGTACGTTGAATACTTTTTTTCTTTTCAATGCACTCAATATATTAAAATTGTAATCATGAATATTTTCGTTTTCCATTGGCATAAGCGTGTTTGTATGAGCTTCAGCACATTCCTGACAGGCATCTGAATAATAAGTACTAAAATCTGTAATTATCCCCCGCCGAAAAGGCGGCGGGGGATATAGAAATAGTCTCCGACCTTTCGACCTTCCGTCCGTCCGTCCTTCCGTCCAACATTTTTGTCCGGAGCATATCTCTAAAAGTATTTGAGTAATCAACTTGAAACTTCATAGGTGGATAGACCTCATTGAGGAGGAGTGCAGTGCACAAGAATCATAACTCTACCCTGCATAATTTTTGAGTTTTTGCCCTTTGTTATTTTTCAAAATTGATTTTTGTCCAGAGCATAACTCCAAAAGCCTATGAGATATCAACATGAAACTTCATAGGTGCATAGATCTCACTCAGGAGGTGTGCAGTGCACAAGAATGATAACTCTACCTTTCATAATTTTTGAGTTATTGCCCTTTGTTATTTTTCATACTTAATTTTTCACCTGAGTGGAGCATAACTCAAAAAGTGTTTGACATATCAACATGAAATGTCATAGGTGGATAGATCTTATTGAGGAGGAATGTTGTGCACAAGAATGATAACTCTTCCCTATACAATTTTTGAGTTATTGCCCTTTGTTCTTTTTCATGCTATTTTGTCCAGAGCTTATCTCAAAAAGTATTTGAGGTATCAACTTGAAACTTCATAGGTGGATGGATCTCATTGAGGAAGAGTGCAGTGCACAAGAATCATAACTCTACCCTGCATAATTGTTTAGTTATTGCCCTTTGTTATTTTTCAAAATTAATTTTTGTCCAGAGCATAACTCAAAAGGCCTTTGAGATATCATTATGAAACTTCATAGGTGCATAGATCTAACTCAGGAGGTGTGCAGTGCACAAGAATGATAACTCTACCTTTTATAATTTTTGAGTTATTGCCCTTTGTTACTTAATTTTTCAATTCAATTTTTTTCTCAAAAAGTATTTGAGGTATCAACTTGAAACTTCATAGGTGGATAGATTTTACTGAGGAGGGATGCAGCACACAAGAATGATAACCTACCCTGCATTATTTTTCAGTTATTGCCCTTTGTTATTTTCAGCCATCAGTATTCACATAGGTTTCAAAATTAATCTGTAATCACTATAGCCATCAGTTTTCATTACCAAAAGACCTCTTAAAATGGAATTATTCTGCTGTACTACATATACATTCTTCCAATGAGCAAACACATTCGGCGGGGGATGGCCATGTTGACATGGCTCTTGTTGCATATTTATTTACCTAAATATGAAAGGATTATTCCCATGTGAAGTTAATATTGATAGAAAGTTAATATTGATAGAGTAATAAATGATGAAAAGAAATTTAAATTAACTAAAATTAAAAGTCCAAGACATTTAAATTGTGCCTTGTAACGATTTAAATGTGACTTTGTTTTTAACATTCTTGTAAAAGGTATATTCTGAAGGAAAGGTGGTTCTAGCTCATACACAAACTTAGGCCAATTGGAAACAACAACAAAAATATACATTACAATTATAATATGTTGAGTGCATTGGAAAAAAAACAACAGGTATTTTACATACATTTATAATTTTATGTGAGGGCTTCTGTTCGCCTTGTTAATTTCACAGGAGCACAGGCACGAGTATCGGACCTGGCATGAAAAAATATGACCAGATTGATAAAAAAAACCAGTGTATGTCTGAAATGTGTCAAATAACCAAAAAATAACCAAGAAAGCCTGAAACTCCAGATTCAAGCTTACAAGCAAGGGATTCATTTCCCGGGCTGCTGTGAAAACTTATACAATCTGGTCATATTTTTTCTTCCTGGTCCGATACTCGTGCCTGTGGATATACATGTTAGCTTTACATTGATCGGTTCACTTAAGCTTTGTTTATAGCTTGCTTAGAACAAATCTGGTTTGTAGAAGGTCAGAGTCGCATATAATATTAAGAATTGTTGTTTCCTTGGGATATGGTGTAAAGATATTTTTGATGATCTGTTCTGTATATTGTCTTTTTCTTCAGTTATTCATTGGTTTAATAAATTCAAATATTGGTTAATTTCGACTGAAGACGCACCCCATTCCTGTCTGTCTAAAACAGCAACATGTGTCAAGGTGGTTGCTAAAGTGAAGAAATAGTTAATACCAATGCACTAATCAAACAGCCAGTTTTGTTTGCATCTCATTACGAGCAGCTCAAATGATGTGAAAATGAGAAAGATCTATGCTAGATGGCTTTCATTTGCTGACAGGTGCATCGAATGTGCTGAGTTGTTGCTTAAACAGTATCCAAATTACAATGCACAGGTTTTTGCAAATGTCATCACTAGTGACGAAACATGGGTTCATTTTTATGAGTCAAAATGAAAACATTACAACTAGATTTTGGCTACAAAGTCTGGCAAAAGACCATGCATTGCAAAAATTTGTCTGTTTGCATTAGAATGTTCAGATGTTCAGTCCACTCGAAATAAATCTCAGAGACTGTTAAACCATTTGTATTTAGTAGAATCAGTATCCCTAATACAGTGTAACTTCTGAAAACCGAACACCTGTTGGACTAGCCCAAAAGTTCAGATTTTGGAAGTTTCCCGAATTCAGAAGTTCGAAATTATCTGAACAAGTACAAGTATTATACATCAACTGTTTTATAGTAAGACATTATGAAAAATATATGAAGCAGTTACATTAATAAAATAGCAAAATTATAGGACTTTTACTATTTTAAATTTCATTATCACCCATCACTGAATTTGCTGATACAATAGAATGTTAATTATCACAGTTTATCCTTTAGTATATTTCATATACATGTAGTACCTGCTATTTCATCACATAATTTTTCTCAATTTCTTAATTTTCATAGTTTAAACAAGTGTTTAATATGCTTGACAGGTTTAATTCTAATTGGTGTCAAGATAAATAGGTACTGTTAATTGGAAGATAATGTTCTATATCATTTGCTGAATCTTACTATGTGTTTATATGTATTTAATATTTCACCAGTTTTTGGATATTCCCATAATTATTATTATACAAAATTGAAAAAGAAACCAATGTTTGGCTAAAATTTCATTCCTAATTCGCCTGTAAAAACCTGGAAAGAATGCTCGTGCATGTGGATCATGCATACAATATGTGTCAGGTATCAGTCAGAGTTGCATAATCTTATCGGTAAGTCAAGCTCATCATTTATTTTTCTCCGTGATGCATATAATGGTCTCATTGGCCCCCTGTGCATCAAAATTGTATCATCACAAAAATCAACTTGCATACATATTTAGTATCATTCAGTGAATTACTGAATTCAAAATTTATAGGTCACCTTTTGGTTGATAATAACATTTAAGGACATGAATGGTGACATGTCCGGGGTCCGTACTCTCACTGTCTCAATGCTTGAAAGGGCGGATGGACCCTCATTAAGCCTAGAATACATACATGGAAGATACTGACATTTTGAAGGTTTTTCAATTACAAGTATAATATTCTTTCTTAAATTCTTTTATAATTTCCGGATTTTTGAAGTAAATTTTAATTGATATACCGGTAACCAAAATTTTACCAGGAAATTGTTCGGAATTCAGAATTTAGAAGTTCCATAATTCAGAAGTTTTTATTACATAGAAAACAGAAGGAGAAATTTCGGGACCCTGAAAAATGTTAGGATTTCAGAAGTTTTCGGATTTTAGAAGTTCCGGAATTCAGAAGTTACACTGTACATAGTTTAACTGGAAGACGGACAAAACCCCACCAATTAAAACCCCACCACTCAAAATTTTATAGAGTGGACAAAACCCCACCACTAAATTTTATAGAGTGGACAAAACCCCACCACTAAATTTTACAGAGTGGACAAAACCCCACCACTAAATTTTACAGAGTGGACAAAACCCCACCACTTAAGTTTTATAGAGTGGAAAAAACCGAACTCTTACCAAATATTGGGCAAGATTTGATGAATTAAAATATACATAATATACACATTTTTTCACATTTTATTTTTTTTAATTTCAATATGCCATTTGTGTAATATAAGAATGAACAATTTTATTAACAATGCATGTACATCTTGCATGTGCAATATGCAAAAAAGGTGTTACAAACTGTACACTCCTTGAATTATCCATTATTATTAGTTTTTTCAAATTCATTTCTTCAATTTATTTATATAAAAAATAAACTACTTACTATTAATCAAGAATATAGCACATTTTCATCAATTAATGATTAAAAATAACACATTTTGTATAGCACATTTCTAGTTTATTCAGTTGAGTCTATTTCCTTCATTGTACTTAGTTTAAGCGGATACAGTGGCCGATAGCCTGAAGAAACTCAGGTACAGTCTTCTCCTTATTGATGAGTTGTTCACACATTATTTTGAATTTCTGATGATGCACAATTGTTTGTTATTCAACATGTTTACAAGAAAGTTTTGTCCACTCTATAAAACTGAAGTGGTGGGGTTTTGTCCACTCTGTAAAATTTTGTGGTGGGGTTTTGTCCACTCTATAAAATTTAGTGGTGGGGTTTTGTCCACTCTATAAAATTTTGAGTGGTGGGGTTTTAACTGGTGGGGTTTTGTCCTACATTCAGTTTAACTAATTAAAATGGGTCAAACCATTCACATGGAACCTGATACAAAAATATTAATGTTTATTCACCTACTAAAAAAGTTTGTCGAAAATGTCCTTGTATCCCAGAACTTGAAAGTGGAGCATGAGTCTGTATACAGAACTATCTCTGTGTGAGGAAAATATTTTATTTTGAAAACAAAGTATAAAGATATACTGAATGTTGCAATTATAACAAACACTTTAATATTGCTACAATTATTTAATTAATACAATGATAGAAAGTTAAGTAATTATATAAGACATACACTTTCAGACCCTGGCGTTACACGGATAACCCTTACCAATTGTAAATGACACTTGTTGAATAAACACACCAGTATAGGTATTGTCACTTAATTTGCCCCCTAATTATTATTTTCCATGTGTCAAAGGTATGTATAACTTTCCCATTGGTGAATGGCTTTATTGATTTACAAAATTGAACAATCTATAGGACTTGCAATAAAAGAGAAACCATATTTTGTTATTATTATTTCATATTTAATTATCATTTAATGTATATAGCTATGACCATTTTAATATGCATACACACTCCAACTTGTTTATCTGCATTATTTTATTCCATATTACATTTGAGCTGTATTTTAAACAAGAACACATGCACAGGTGGACAGGTTATCTACATGAACTTTGTTTATGAAAACATGAGTAGCTACAAAAAGTCAATCATTTTCATGGTCGCAGTGTCAAATTATACCCATATATTGTTTGATTGCAATATTAGAAATAGATCTTAGATAATTAATTTTCAAATATTAAGACAGTTTTCACACTAAAACTATGAATTTAAATGAACATTTGAATACTGTAAATGGGTTTGATTTTGCAGAATCTTATCCAAACATTCGAATGTTCATTTACATCACTAGTTACAACATTATCAATATATTTTTTAAATTTAAGATAGATCATCTTTATTGAATTGGTAGGATATGTATTTTGAGATTGTATATTATTGCAGAGAAGATATATATAGAAAACGATGGATCAAATAATGACAGTAGGGAGGATTTAAATAGCAGCGTGCAAGGAGATAATGCAGCTCATCCATCTAGTAGTAATAATGTTGTTGACTCCACACAAATGACGGTGAGACTTCAATATCTGTTTTACAGTGAACAAGAGTTTGAATTTAAATTTTTGATCATCAAGATTCTAATTCTTATAGCAATTGAATATTGAAGCAGGATGATATCTTCATAAACTATGTTATAAATTACAAAACAATTAGGCCAAAAGTTTTACCTATAAAAGGTTTACCGGTACATAGCGGCACATGTTATTTCTAGCAAATAAATGTGCCCAAAGGACACAAATACCCATACAAAATGACATTTTTTGCCTCTGTCAGCTGGATCGTTGTTATCCACAATTATCTTTAAACAACATCTTTAAATCACTAAGTAGGTTTGACTAAATTTTACAGGAATGATCATTAGATGACCCTCTACAGAAGTTGTATGTGCATAAGTAGGTCACAGGACCTTAAAATAGACTTCAAAAATGATTTTTTTGTAAAACTTCTACTTAGAAACTTCAGTGCCCAGAGTTTGCATCACTTTGTTGTCCCCTCCAAAAGGTATATATATTAGGTCCCTGAGGACAAAATTTGCCCCATCCTGGCTGGCACTTAGTTTATATAGACTTACATAGAAAAAAACAACATTTTAGTCTTCTTTTGTGAGACTACAGTGCTTTGGTATTTGTCATGTAGCATTGCCAGGTGAACCTCAACAAAAGTTCTATATTACTGTATGTGTATTTGAATTCGCAGAAGCAAATTTCCGCAAAGGTCCATTTTGGTGGTTTATACAAATATTCGTGCTATTTTGAATTCGCGGAGGCGACTGCCAAAAATCATAAATTCATGTAGACCTCTCAGGTTAAAAGATAAGGAAAATTACTCTTACAGGATTTTGGACTGGTGTAAAATACAGACGAATGCAGACGATTTTAACAATCAAAGTACAAACAATACGCTATTGTACAGATCAAAAACATTGTCTAGCGGACAGATTATGGCAAGCAAAAGAATGCCTGCATGATTTTTTCACAGTTTTATAAAGGTTAACATTCTGTATATAAATCAGTTTCCTAATGTATTATTGTTTGACTGATATGATTATCAGATTTCTTGAATGTGTACATACAATTGTTTGTACAATACCATTGCATCCAGCAGTTCACTGGTTTAAAAATGGCCCGGCCCTTAGGGTCACTAAGATAATATAGACTTTTATAGTAAAAATGTTTAAAAAAATCTGCTTGTCAGAAAATACAATGTCCAGAATTGATATTTATTGCATGTAGCATCACAATTTAGTTCTCTAGATAATTTAAATTAGTTCCCTACTGCTTTGCCCTCCATTGGTCTGTCTGCCCAAACTACTGAAAATAAATGGGGGATGGGGATGCACCATCTAACTGTAAACGGAACAGTAGCGAACAATAGAGTTTCATTGGGTAACAATAAAATTAGGGGTCAATGGCCCTTATTTAACAAGAGAAAATAACAAAAGAAATGGCCTCTAATACCAATTGGGTTGCATGTCTGTTTGTCCACACAAACTCAAGTGACATTATGGATGAATATCCTTGTCCTTTCTATACAGACTGCACTTGTGGTGAAACAGGTTGCTTATGGGATGAAAATAGGTTGCTTATGGGGTTTTAGTGATCCAAGGAATAACCCCATTATTTAAACTCAGGAAGAACATTCATCCATCTGTTCATCCTTCAGTTAGTCCACACCTCTGAAAGTAAATGGGGCCATCTACCTGTAAATAGAACAATAGTCAATAGAGAACAATAGAGGTAATTCTGTAACAATAGAATAATGACCTTTTCTTAAACAAAAGAAAATAACATAAGAAATGGTTCTATTTTCCATTTTGGCAGCAAAATTTATAATAGAACCAACAAAAGTATAAAAAAGCCTACATAACACTTTTGGTTTTTACTAATATCTATTACAATTAATGAATTGTGCATTTAGAACTTTATTAGCTTTGCCAATCAATTGTTCTTGATTTAAACTGAACTACAAGTATAGTGTTTTATTTGGTGTTGAAATATCATTAAATAGAATGTTCAAATCAAGAGCAATATTATTTTTATCACTTTTAAAATTTAGTTAGCTTCTTTCAAAATGTTCCTCACAGTATTAATATCTTGGTGATTGTGTATATCTACCTGAATTTTGCTTATCTTTCACTGATTTGTGCCTATGTTTTCTCTTTTTATTTCCACCCATGTAATCCAAATTCAAAAAATCAATATTTTTTTTTCTTTTTTTTTTAAGAGACAAGAAAAACACCTTGACTTATATAGTAAAATTTTTAGAAGATATTCTCCTCCAATACAAAATGAATGAGAACATGAAATATTGTCTTCTAAACCACTATCAAGTTTTAAGATCGTTGAATGTCCGTCGTCCGTCCACACTTGTTCGTTAACACTAGCGGTCACATTTTTGCCTCAATCATCATCAAACTTTTTCAGGATGCTTGTCTAGGTAACATCTCGGATGATTACGAACATAGGTCATCTCAGATGAAAAACTAGGTCACAAGAGCTAAAAATAGAAAAACCTCGTTAACACTCTAGTGGTCACATTTTGACTCAATCATCAACAAACTTTATCCTGATGCTTGTCTAGGTAATTGCTTGGATGAGTTCCAACATGGTTCATCTCGGATGAAAAAATAGGTCACAGGAGCTAAAAATAGAAAAACCTTGTTAATACTCTTGAGGTCACATTTTTGACTTAATTGTCATCAAACTTGGTCAGGATGCTTGTCTAGGTAATTGCTTGGATGAGTTTGAACATGGGTCATCTAGGATGAAAAATTAGGTCACAGGAGCTAAAAATAAATCTTTTTTAACACTAGTGGCTACTGTTTTGATCCAAATATCCTGGAAATTGGTCTGAAAGTTCTTTTTGATGATTTTAAGGTCAAGTTTGCATATTGGTCACCTTTGGGTGAAAAACTAGGTCACACTGCCTAAATATGGAAAAATCTTGTTAACACTCTAGTGGTTACATTTTTGACTCACCTGTCATGAAACTTGGTCAGGATGCTTGTCTAGGTAATTGCTTGGATCAGTTCGATGGGTCAGGTGAGCAATCTAGGGTCATCTTGGCCCTCTTGTTTGACAAAAAGTTATGAAAGGTTGCAATGACCTTGAATGACCTTGACCATCAAGGTCAAATTATTGAATTTTGCTTAAATTATCATAATTTTGTTATGTCTCTATGGATTTCATTTATAATTTGACAAGACAAGACTTGCGCCCAAACAAACATATTGAATAATTTAGATGTGGCCTTAACCTTTAAATAACCTTAGCCGATAAAGTCAAATTTTTTTGAATTTTGCTGAAATTTTCTAATCTTTTGTCATTTATTATGCCCCCATTTCGAAGAAAAGGGGGTATATTGCTTTGCACTTGTCGGTCCGTCGGTCCGTCGGTCCATCGGTCCGTAGACCAAATGGTTTCCGAGTGATAACTAAAGAACCCTTAGGCCTAGGAACTTCAAACTTGGTATGGTGATTGGACATGACAAGTAGATGACCCCTATTGATTTTGGGGTCAAGGGGTCAAAGGTCAAGGTCACATTGACCTTGTAAGCAAAAACGGTTTCCGATCAATAACTAAAGAACCTTAAGGCCTAGGAACTTCAACTTGGTATGGTGATTTGTCATGATCAGTAGATGACCCCTATTGATTTTGGGGTCAAGGGGTCAAAGGTCAAGGTCACATTGACCTTGTAAGCAAAAACGGTTTCCGATCAATAAGTAAAGAACTTAAGGCCTAGGAACTTCAAACTTGGTATGGTGATTGGTTATGACCAGCAGATGACCCCTATTGATTTTGGGGTCAAGGGGTCAAAGGTCAAGGTCACATTGACCTCTTGGGTAAAAACGGTTTCCGATCAATAACAAAATAACCCTTAGGCCTAGGAACTTCAAACTTGGTATGGTGATTGGTTATGACCAGCAGATGACCCCTATTGATTTTGGGGTTAAGTGGTCAAAGGTCAAGGTCACATTGACCTTGTAGGTAAAAACGGTTTCTGATCAATAACGAAAGAACCCTTAGGCCTAGGGACTTCAAACTTGATATGGTGATTGGTCATGATCAGGAGATGACCCCTATTGATTTTGGGGTTAAGGGGTCAAAGGTCAAGGTCACATTGACCTTGTAGGTAAAAGCAGTTTCCGATCAATAACTAAAGAACCCTTAGGCCTAGGAACTTCAAACTTGGTATGGTGATTGGTCATGACCAGCAGATGACCCCTACTGATTTTGGGGTTAAAGGGTCAAAGGGCAAGGTCACATTGACCTTGTAGGTAAAAATGCTTTCTGATCAATAACTTAAGAACCCTTAGGCCTAGGAACTTCAAACTTGGTATGGTGATTGGTCATGACCAGCAGATGACCTATTGTTTTTAGGGTCAAGGGGTCAAAGGTCATGTAACATTGACCTTGTAGGTAAAAACGGTTTCCGATCAATTAACTAAAAACGCTTAGGCCTAGGAACTTCAAACTTTGTATGATGATTGGTGGTGACCAGCAGATGACCCCTATTGAGTTTTGGGATCAAGGGATCAAAGGTCAAGGTCACATTGACCTTGTAAGTAAAAACGGTTTCTGATCAATAACTAAAGAACGCTTTGGCCTAGGCACTTCACACTTGGCATGGTGATTAGTCATGAGTGATTGGTCATGATCAGCAGATGACCCCTTTTGATTTTGGGGTCAAAGGTCAAGGTCACATTGACCTTGTATGTTAAAACAGTTTCCGATCAATAATAAAAGAACCCTTAGGCCTAGGAACTTCAAACTTGGCATGGTGATTAGTCATGACCAGCAAATGACCCCTATTGATTTTGGGGTCAAGGGGTCAAAGGTCAAGGTCACATTGACCTTGTAAGTAAAAACGGTTTCTGATCAATTAACTAAAAACCCTTAGGCCTAGGAACTTCAAACTTTGTATGATGATTGGTCTTGACCAGCAGATGACCCCTATTGAGTTTTGGGTCAAGGGGTCAAAGGTCAAGGTCATGACCAGTAGATACTTGATAACCCTTATTAATTGTTTGATCACTGGGTCAGAAGTCATGCATAATTACCTTATCACATGAATAATTGGCTGCTGATAGGGGGCATACATGTTTTACAAACATATCTTGTTTATGGATATGATTCACACTTATTTTTTTAATAATATTTATTTGAAGGTTTGTGTAAGCCTTTTATTTATTTGCTTTTAAAAAAAGTAAAATAATTTTTTTAGATAAATTATTCTTGCATATCAGACTGGCATTTGTTTTAGTTTTACCCATGCCTGAAATGTCATCTGTCATGTGGGGTGCCAGATGAGTCACATGCTGTACAATGACATGATAACGATGATGTAATTTTACCATTATGAATGAAGTTGTAATTTCATATGCTGTTGTAAGAAAATAGCTACAGGTGTAATGACAAATTTCATGAAAAATTGTTTTATTAAGGTAAAGAGATTAAAATATAATGGTATATGGTAGAATATGCAAGGAAAAAATATCTAACATATGTTTGCAGTTCGGATTGGATTATCTCAACTGGAACATATGACATACATTATAAATAAAAGTTACCTTACTTACCTAACTTAGAAAATATAGCCATATTTTCAGATATTTCTTGTTTTTCTTTTAAGTCTATGAGGATTCCAGTTTCAAGTTCATTTCAACCATCTGTCAGTATACCATCAAGTTTTATGCCGGTCAATGTTTCAAGTCATTACCAAGAACATTTACAAGCTGGTTCCCATGCTCCACTGGTAAATGAAACTCCATTATCTCAATTTACAACCAATCAACTTGCAGCATCAGCATCACAACTGGTTTCGAGCATGGAATCTCAGCTTAACCCAGCAACATTTATGCTAGATGCATCTAATGTAGCTACAAATTCAAGAATTGAACACCCAGGTAAAATATCTTTTTTGTATATCTGAAAATAAAACGGAAAAGAAAGGAAAAATGAATTTAAGATGCTGTTGACATAGGAAAATATAATAAAATAATTCACCTGTCACAAAGTGACAAGAGTGAGCTTTGTGATTGCTTTTTGTCAGGTGTCCGTCCGTCAGTCGTCCGTCCATAAACATCTCCTCATAAACTGCTAAGCCAATTTCATTCAAACTTCACAGGAATGTTCCTTTGGTGGTCACCTTCAAAAATTGTTCCCATGCAGAACTCTGGTTGCCATGGCAACCAAAAGAAAAAACTTAATATATCTTCTTTTAAAAAAACCCCCAAAGAGCTAGAGCTTAGATATTTGGCATCAAACATCTTCTAGTGAGTGTCTACCAAGTTTGTTGAAATAAAAGGCCTGGGGTCAAAATTGGCCCTGTCACAAGGGGTCATTGATTTTCCCTATATATCTATAGTATAAACTTAAAAAATCTTCTTTTAAAAAACACAAAGAGCTAGAGCTTCAATATTAAGCATGAAACATTTTCTAATGGATGTCAACTAAGTTAGTTCTAATAAAAGCCCTGGGGTCAAAATTGAAACCTCCCGGGGTATCATTGATTTTCCCTATATGTATAGATAAAAAACCCAAAGAACTAGAGCTTATTGTCCCCCACCTTTTCGAAGAAAAAAGGGGGATATAGAAATAGGCTCCAACTGTCTGTCCATCTGCACTCACAGGACAGTAATTATGTGGCTAGAGGGACAATAGGTAACTGTTCTTTCTCTTTGATGTCATTCATTCCGTAATGCTTTTATGTGGCTATTTTCTTTTATGTGGCTAAAAAGAACAATAGAGAGAACAATGGAGTAGCCACATAATTACTCTCCTGTTAGAACGTCCGTCTGTCCGTCCGCTCACATGGGACAGTAATAATGTGGCTAGAGGGTAACTGTTCTTTCTCTTTGATATCATTCATTCCGTAATGCTTTTATGTGGCTCTTTTCTTTTGTGTGGTTAAAAGAACAATAGGGAGAACAATAGAGTAGCCACATTATTACTGTCCAGTTAGTCCCTCTGTCCGTCTGTCTGTCAGCAATTTGGTTTCCAGAGCATAACTAAAGTTCCATTTGGCCCACAATATTCAAACTTCATAGGATATTTGTCCATATTGGGTAGAAGACCCCTATTGATTTTGGGGTCACAAGGTTAATGGTCAAGGTCATTATTACTTTAAAACTGAAAACAGTTTCCGGAGCATAACTTAAGTTCCAATTGGCCCACAATATTCAAAGTTCATAGGATGATTGTCCATATCGGGTAGAAGACTCATATTGATTTTGGGGTCACAAGGTCCAAGGTCAAGGTCACTATTACCTTTAAACTGAAAACAGTTTCCGGAGCATAACTTAAGTTCCATTTGGCCCACAATATTCAAAGTTAATAGGATGATTGTCCATATTGGGTAGAAGACCCCTATTGATTTTGGGGTCACAAGGTCAAAGATCAAGGTCACTATTAAAATGAAAACAGTTTCCGGAGCATAACGTAATTTCCATTTGGCCCACAGTGTTCAAAGTTCATAAGATGATTGTCCATATTGGGTAGAAAACCCCTTTTGATTTTGGGGTCACAAGGTCAAAGGACAAGGTCACTATTACCTTAAAACTGAAAACAGTTTCTGGAGCATAACTTAAGTTCTGTTTGGCCCACAGTGTTCAAACTTCATAGGATGATTGTCTCATTGGGTAGAAGACCCCTATTGATTTTGGGTCACTAGGTCAAAGGTCAAGGTCACTATTACCTAAAAACAGTTTCCTCTCAATAACTTGAGTATTAATCAACCTCAAAATTTTATAGGATGAACAGCCAAGTCTAATACATGATCCCTATTGATTTTAGGGTCATAAGGTCAAAGGTCAGGGTCACAATGATCAAACCTCATAGGATGATTGCCTATATTGAATAAAAGATCCATATCTATATTGGGTCACAAGGTCAAAGGTCAATATCAAATAACCTTAATATTGTTAACAGTTTTACAACTGTCAAACGTCATAGGATGATCACTTATATTGAGTCCATTAATTATATGCCCTAAAAAATTTGCTTATATTATGTTATACCCCTTGCATCTTTCCGTCCATCTGTCGTAGCCTTTACAAGATAACAACTTGATGGTGGTGCTTTGAAAACAGCAACTATATATATGAGGGGTCATCCAAAAATTTGTGGACTTTCTTTGTTGTGTAAAATATTTTTGAGATATTGATTTGAAATTCTTACACTGCTAAGAAGAATAAATAACAAATAAACACAGAAAAATTAGTTAGTAGCTTCAATAATATTACAACAATATTTAGTTTTACATAAACACATGTCAGCGACAGCGGCGCACTCCAAAAAGTAATTGACGTCAACGTCATAATATTTAACATACAACTTAGGCTTCAACGTTACGCAGTAAATAACCATTACTGCTTCACAAAGTAATATCCATCACTAAATTTTTTATGCCACTTAAACACTAATGATAGTGAAATTTTATTTTCTCTGTTCACCTGCTGTTTTTATTTTCAAATGTTTTGTTAGTGTCATTCCCAAATTACAACAAAATTTTATGATCACACTATTTTCTAATTTCTGCGTGTCCGTCATTTTCCCGTTCTAAACAATATCGTCGTCTGGCGTTTCTGGCGATTTCAACCCCCCCAAAAAAAAATGGAAATGATGTTCATAATTTTAAAGAATTAAAATGTACTTAAATGACATCACAGAAGAAATATGCGATGTTTAGCAGGTTTTCTACGTTAATAAGTAGTTTTTTAGCAAAAATGTCAAAAATGTATGTACTTATTTAAAGCAATATAAAATCATTATTTATTGACGAAGTTAACTGTTCATTTCAAAACATGTTGATAATATTCTACAATGTATGCTGATAAAATTTCATTACAATACATGTTGACATTCAAAAGATATTTAAAAAGTCCACGAATTTTTAGAAAACCCCTCGTATATGAAGGTTCTTCAGCTATAAAGAAGTATTGCTTTTTGAAGGAGGTAATACTTTATTTAATTCCCATGTGTTACAAATGCTTCATCCTTACAAAAAAAACCCAACACTTTAGGGCATATAATGCTCCACTAGCGGTGCTCTTGTTATGTTTTATTGTGTGAAACCAAAATGCCCAGAGCTTAGATATTTCCCATGTAATATTGCTTAGTTGACCTCTACAAAAGTGACATAAATCATGACCCTCGGGTAAGAATTGGTTCCAACCTGGGGTTACTTTATGTAGATTTATTAACATATCTTGAAACTATTTACTCCTATACGATAAAAGCCCAGAACCTTGATATTGGCATGTAACATCAATTTATATACTTCTACAAAAGTTATATTAACCATGACTTTGAGGCCAAAATTATCTCTACCCTTTGGATCATCATTATTTATTTAGATTGATGTATTAGAAAACACATCAAATCTTTTTGTGGAAGACTACAGTGCTGAAAGCTTATGTATTTGGCATATAGCATTGCCTAGTAGACCTTTATAAAAGTTTTATAAATCATGAACCTAGGATATAACTTGCTTTCATCGGGAGCTTGTTTAGTATCAAAAGAATAAAAATGCAATTTCATCCAAACTTTACAGGAATGACCAGTACCAAGTGTAGTTGTGCATATCGTCAACATTTTTAAGTTCTTTGAATTTTGTCAGAGTTATGGCCTTTTAACTTTTCTGATCATTTTTATTTGTTTGGGTCATCAGACCAAACAAATAATGGTAGCAAAATTTCAGACCCTGATGCTGTTAATTGCAAATGCCGAAAATAGTCCGCTTTTTTGAAGCAGTTACTTCCCTTTATATGTACACTAACGCCGAAAAATTCAGGTGAGATCACTGCGTAAAGATTGTCAAATGACAGGCGCATTAATTTTCAAGCAAAATAGTTCCCGAATGGTCAAAGATTTCTAATATTGTTTTATTCTTTATAGATATACATGTTTATAGTAAGCTGCATGATTATTTACATCTGTGTTAGCGTCGAAATAATAAGAGTTACAAACCCTAATTTAGAATAATATGGTTTTCTTCAGGCCGTTAACATATAACTTCACTGTGGCCATGGGGTTTGCAAGCTCGCTTAGGAGTCTAGAGGTCTGGAGTTCAAATCCCAGTTAAGGCAACTCATTTTTTTAATTGTTTAAGTCAAATAAACATTGACTTGAATATCAGTGTTGCAATTAGTCTTATAGCCAATTTACTACAGTTAAAAACTGGAAAGCATTGGTGGCACTATACAAAAACAAATTGGTTTATAATCTCACAACCTTCACCTTTCTGACATTCTGAGACCCAAACAAATTCAGCGCCTTCTGTGCTTTGATTTAAAATTTTGTCAAGACTACTTCTCATAAACTACTAACGAAATTTGATGGAATTTTGCAGGATAGATCAATACCTCAAGTACTTGCACACAATTAATTGGTTTTCATAATAAAGGTGTTTTGCCCTGTTAATGATTTTTGTATTTCTTGCTACACAGTAACTGCAACATGCTACAAAATAGCCAGGACATGTAGGGAACAAACTTTCCAAATACCGTATAAGTACTTATTTCTGCGGGCTTAATATTCTGCAATTTTTGTTAAAATAAGGGGTTTTAAATGTCTGCGTATCTTATTTCTGCGGTGTCATCATTCACGCATTGATGCTTTTTATTTCTGCGTTTTAATTAAGATATTTTTTAAAAAATTAACCGACACAATCAGATTTGTTGATGTTACATGTACATTACTTCCGATTAACATGCAGACGACTGTTAATGTGTTTCGTTGTAATCATCATGTATCAGTATATACATGTAAATAAACGTGCAATGACAACAATTTTAATACTGTATGTGTATAAATATGAAGTGTGAATAATAAACAATAGCGAAATCGCATTTAGACACAAGATATTGTACAAATACAAATGGGTATGTTTATTGTACCCGTCAAACTATAACAGTTTGATTTTACAAAAACAAATCAAGCTAAGGGTGAGCGAAAATCATACAAACATAAAATTTATTTAAACAAAGGGAACAAGCAAAGTAACATTTTTTTCTAATATTTTATTCACGACAGATACATTAAGAAAAATTACCATCTACAAAAGCTGATAACGGTACATGGTTATGTAATTATACAATGCCGGTAGTTGACTTATTCCGACATATACATACGGGAAGGCTTAATTTTCTGCGGTTTTTAAATCTGCGGTGTCGTTATGAACCGCAGAAATAGCAGAAATAAAGTTCCCGCAGAAAATAGTACACCTCAATACAACTGATTTATTGGCTATCATGAGGCAGCACATTTAATCACTGATAGCTCTTGTTGATTTCTGAGTCTATGTATTCTGGGATTTAAATTGTCAAGTACTTGAGAGCACTTATGGAAAAAATTGTATACTGAAAATCCAGAGTTCTACATTATATTCATCATTTTCTAATTCATCAAAATAATATCTATTACAGCAGATTTGAATACACAAATATCCAACTATTTAAATGCACGAGGAATTGGATATGGTAGTACTTCAAGAGGGATTGGTCTCGACAGTGCTGACCTTGAAGACCCACAGCCAGGCAGCTCTTCCAGTAGTTCTCAAAATGTAAGATATATTGTAAGCTAAGTCAAAAATGTTTACATAATAACTTTTATTGATAAAAGTTTATTCTACAGTTTCTTTATTCAACTCTGAAGAGCACTAAATTTGCTAGATTTAACTATAGAAGATTCCATGAAAATATCTCAAAATTTTTTGACTCTAGTTTTTGCGACTGTCAGGATTTTATAGCCGCAATGCAAACTGAAAACAGCCAGTCATGGCTACTTATACAGACTCTGAAATAGCCAGGACTGTCACAATTGACAAATCATAACATAACACAAGTGCAAGTATGGCAGGAAAGACAGGAAATTCTTAAAATGGCAGCCATATTGACAGGAATAATTTAGAAAATGTAAATTAACAAAGCTAACAAATAACAAAATATGCAATGAACACTTTAATTACATACTTAACTTAGTGTACTAAAAATCTGGACAAAAAATAATCATAGTTCTAGCTTTGGAAAAATAACTATTGATGTAATGCCAGGAATTTGAATTTTCCCTCCTGACAAACTTAGAGGTCATACTGGTCATCAACATTATTTTGAAATACAGCAATGCCAGCTTAATGTTTGGAAAGTAACTTAATTCTTAGATAAATAAGGATTACATTCTTTGTTCTTATGAAAAGGCATTTAAAGTTTTGAATCAAGGTAGACAACTCTTGTCGGCCATTTTGATGTCAAGATAAACAAAGTAAAGAAATTAATCATTTCTTGAAGTATTTATAAACCTCCTTATAGTGTCCTATATAGTCCTAGAGCCTCAAAATGTCCTATAATATAGTACAAATACCTTCATTTACCAGAAAATTATATAAACAATTATCTAAAATCAGCAAATATGAATGGTTTAGGCAAGTTTAAGAATCCTGACAGGGTAAGTTTAGGAATCCTGATAGGTAACTGTTAAGCATTGACTGAGCATTATTATAAGTTATCTTAGTTTGATGTTCATATTGTCATAAAACAGAATTATACCACCACAAACTAAGTTGAGGGGAGTATATAGGAGCAAGCTTGTCAGTCGGTCCACATCATGGTTTCTGGATGAGAATGAAGTATTGTAATCAAACTTGGTATATTGCAACCTTATGTGAAAACCCTGTTGGTATTGCATTTGGACCCCCTGGGGTCAAGATCACCATTGCTAAAATAGAAAAGTGGTTTCTGGACAAAACTAGAGTTAGGAATGAGATATTGTAATCAAATTTGGTTTATATCAAGCTTATAATATGAAGACCCCTATTAGTATTGCATTTGGACTAACTGGGGTCAAGAGCAACATCGCCATTACTAAAAATAGAAAAATGGTTTCCAGATAATAACTAGAGTAAGGAATGAGATATTGTAATCAAACTTGGTATATAGCAAGCTTATATGAAGATCCCTGTTGGGATTGTTTTTGGACCCCCTGGGGTCAAGGTCACCATTACTAAAAATAGAAAAATTGTTTCCAGAAGATAACACTAGTTAAAAATGAGATATTGTAATCAAACTTGGCATTTAACAACCTTATGTAGAAATCCTGGTTGGGATGGCATTTGGACCCCCTGGGGTCCAGGGTCCCTATTACTAAAAATAACCCCAATTTTTCCCCGTTTAAAATGTTTCTGTTATCATATTCTAACAACATGCCAAGTTTAAAGAAATTCTATTGAACAGTTTTAATTTTGCCTATAATTATGTCAATATGAAAACGTCCTTAAATAGAAATATCTTGTCCAGCTTTCACAGGAGTGAACTGTACCATACCTAGTTTGGGAGACATGCATTTTTGTGACAAAAGACCCTTCTAAATTTTTTAGAGAATTTATTTCAAACTTCATTTAAATATAATTATATTTAAGTACTAAAAAATTTAAGAAAATAAATAAAAACATTATCTTGATTTATAAATATTGAAATCATGTCAACAAAGATGTTCTAAATATAGTACACGACTCTACTTAAATCGTTTCCCGCGATTGACGTCATACGAGCCTCGTGTAGCTCCTAAATGTCATGGCCAACTGTAGTTGGCGTAATTGATGTTTTACATTTAAATAGGCAATTTTATTGACGGTATTAATATTTTGATACTTTAAATGGTATAGAATGATATTAAAATAATTGTTTTATCGCAAAATGCACAAGATTTGATTGGGACAAGGGTATTTGCAATTGAAAAATAAGGACCCACAAGGTCTACAGCTTAGATATTTTGCAAAAGGCATTTCTATTAAACTTCTACCAAGATTGTGCAAGTTATAGACCTGGGGTCAAAATTGGCCCCGCCCAAGAAATCATTGATTTTCATTATGTACATCATTCATTTGAATCTTTATACATGTATCATAATTATGCTTTCACTTAGCATGAATTTTCTCATTTGTGCAATAATAACGCAAGTCTTTTATAGGATTACTAGGTCTGTTTTTGCTATGTATTAATAAGTTACTGTCATTTGATACATGTTGTGTTGACACTTTAATAAGAAATTTCATCACAATATATTTATACTATAACACTATTATTATGTCTTTGTCATTACTAAATGTTTATTTTAGCGGAGAAAGTCAAGTCGTATAGCTGATTTAGATAGTGAAATTCCTTTACTTAGAAAACCTCGGTATGAATCTAGGACTTATAATCCAAGAGAACTTTGTAAGTTTATTCTTTTATACTAAATCTTCATCTTATTTACATTTATGTACACCTGCAGATAAGATAAAAGGTGAAATTTATCTAAATTTCTGAAATGTGCAAATACAATAAAACTTAGTCATAGTGAACTAGTCAGGAAGACTTCTTGCACACTATATCTAATATATATATATATATATATATATATATATATATATATATATATATATATATATATATATATATATATCAATATATAACCAATATAAGGAATAATATCTTAAAAAAAAATGTAAAGCAAACATTCACGAAGAGTTGAAATGTAAAATTATGATATAATGTTATTATAAATTGTTTGATACAATACAGAATTCTATTGGACATAGCTTCAAAAATGTATCAAACCTATGTTGAACAAGATCCTAGTCAAGTTCAATACAAGTTTTGCAAGTGTGTACAAGTCCAATAGAACTAGTATTGTAACAACAATGTAAAATGACCTCTTTTTTTCACACCACCAGTTTTTGATATTTTGACAATAAGGATTTTAGATGGAATTTTTGAACCCTGAAAATATAAACAAGGCTTAGCTGAACATTTTATAAAAAGCATTTTTCAATAAGGTAATGTAGACAGGCTGTTTCTTTCCTCACTTTAATACAACTTGTGCATGAAAATGCAAGTGCTTAAAGGAAAAAGATGTACAAAGTTCCTGGACTGGATCAGTATCTCAAAAAGTCTTTCACCATTAAACTTCACATGGTGACAATTTATGTCTGCCTGCAGTTTTTGATTTATTGATTTTTTTGAAGAATTGTTAGAAAATATTCACCTTTAGAATATTGAAATTTTGAGACACAGGCCACTTTAAAAATCGTCAATTCAGTTGAACAAGCTTCAATTATTTCAGAATTGGGAGTCAAAATATTATAAATAATGAAAATTGATTTATTATTAACATAGCTATGCCCCTTCATATGCAAATAATCTATTACAAATATGCTATTACCTAAAAAGTAATAGACTATATTTTTGTACCTCCATCCGTCTGTTTGTTCTCATTTTGTGTCGCACGTAACTCAAAAAGTATTTGACCTAGAGTCATGAAACGGTACAGGAATGTTGCTCAGCATGTGTAGCTGTGCACCTGGGTATTTTTTTTTTTGATGTATTAGGTGTTTGTTGAGTTATTGTACCATTCTTTTGCATTCTTTTCTAACATGAATCTAAAAGCTATTGATCCTATATTTTATAACTAAATATCATATACATTAAAATGATATGTTATATTTTTTAAATTAAACAGGGTGTGATGAGTGTATGCGAAGTTATGATGTGGAATGTGAGCAGCATAGGTTGATACCTATCCTAGATAAAGTTGTTCTATCACGAGCATGGGCAAGTCTACCACAATCACTTAACATCTTCAGGATAGAAGATGATAATAATGGTAATATGCTACTGTTGCTAATACTGCCAATTTTTATATCCTTACTTACGAGGGTTGTTCGCAAAGTGCGTGTAAAAAGTTGATTATAGAAACGCACGCTTTTCTGATGCCAGTGGATCCGTTTCTGTAGGGTTTCTGAATACCACTCCTGGTCAAAAGTTGCAATAATATTGTGAGTCACCAGTTTAAACTCTTCAGAAGTCTGTAAACAAATTCCTCGCAGCTGTGCCTTTAGTTCAGGAAAAAGTCCATGGGAGTGCATGTGGTAACAATTCAATGCAAAGAAATACGATTTCCATCATAGTCTCTCTAACTATAGAGCGTTATCTTGATGCAGAATTACTCTCTCGAATGGAAAATTGGGACGTTTCTTTCTTAACCTTTTACCCCATGAGCATATTGCGAAAAATGGCCATTTTCAAGTTCAAACTGCTATGAAAGTATGAAAAATGCTTCAATACTAATGAAACTTGGCACAAATGTTGACTACACCAGAGCCTCTGTAACAGCATGCTCAATGGTAAATTTCCTGTTACCATGGCAACGGGGGGACGTCTCAAAATTGCCAAAAATCACTATTTTGCATTGTTTTTTTCCATCAAAACTGATTTCAAAGTGCTGCAACTTCTCAATGAATTGAGATAGAGTAAAAGGCTTTTCAGCGTCGGTTACTAGCTACCCTAAGATCGACCAGAGGCCATTTTTAGCCTGTCACATGTTCAGAATTTTCTTGGAGATGAGGGGGACTCCGCCCCCTTTCAAACCCCCCAAACAGAAGGGGGCACATCCCCCTTCTGGCAACCCCCTGATGTAATATTTGGATGGGGGACAGCGCCGAAAAAGTGGTCACTTTTTTTAACAACATTTCTCAAACGAAAAACAGTGTTTGGGGCCTAAATAGGGCATTTTTTCACTGTTTGAGGCCTCAAAAAGGGGGGGGGGGGCAAAAAGCCGTCGAAACACGCTTATATAAGGGAAAAGGTTAATGCACGTGCGAGATCCCTTCTAAGAACCTTAAATACACAAATACAAGCATACTAAGTTTTTGCAATAATTATGATTCATCCATAGATCTTTGTGTTATATTATATATAACTTTTTTCAATGATATTTTATCTAAAGATTTATGTTTTCAACAAACAATGATAATGTTAAAATTTACCTTTAAATTTTACCTGTGCGTTCTTAGTTTGCCCGTCCGGAATCTGGTGTTGCAGAATCATGCTCTTTCTATCCTTGAAGAATAGGAACATGTGTTTGTCACTGCTTCAGGTTACTTTAGCTTTTCTAGTGGGTGGTGTCTGCAGGGTCTTCCACATGGATGACTGGATTTTGGATTAAGGGTCGAAGTGTGACAACCAAGTTTCATCAAAGGTAACAATGCGGTCTAAAAATGTATCACCTTCTAACTCCAATCACCTCAGAAAGGCTTTAGAACACTCAGCACGACGTGCCTTGTCATGATCCGATAGTAATCTCTGGACCCATCTTGTGCTTACTTTAGACATATTTAAATCGTTTGTTGATTGTTATACAAGACATACAGCGGAACACCCAGCAATTGCCCTCACAGTTAGGCGAAGTTCTTCTATAACAAGAGGTTGAACTCTTTTCACATTTTTTGGTCCTTCAACTGCTGGTCAGCCAGTCATAGGCTCTGTTGAAATTGAAGTGAAACCATTTCGGAACCGATCATACCACTTATAAACAAGTGAGATACTAATTTTACGTTTTGAAGCAAGTTTCTACCATTTCCCGTGCTTGTTTTGGTGTGTGACCCAATCCCAAAATCTTCAAAATAATGGTTGCCCCAGCCAGTGTTACCAGCCTGTGCTAACATTCAAACATGAAATCAAATAAAAGCTGTGGTGATCGGTTTAAGTTAGTCGGCACTTCATCTGAAAGAAAAGATATTAGAAAAAATGCTTTCAATACAATATTATTCCAGTTTTACACGGACTTCGTGAACAACCCTCGTAAAAAGTAGAAAGTATTTATTTAATGGGGTGGTCTATCTGTATGTTCATCAAATTTTCCTTTTTTGATCCATCACTTAAGAAATAAGAAAAAATAAGCCACTGTTTGTTTAATTTGATTGGGGACATTTCCCATGGCCATTAGATGACCCCTTTTGAACAAGGTCAAATTATTGAATTTTGGCAATTTTCAACTAAGTTGGCATAGTTCAAAAAGTATTTGACCTAGAATGTTGGTCAGCATGTGTAGTTATGCCTAGGGCTTTACTATATATTTATGTAGTATTTGTTGAGAAATTTTGCCCTTGACTTGGTAATAACCATTTGAAAATTTTCCAAAAGGAACACTTACTACAAAACTGGCAATGACAATTAATTCAAATGTTAACATCATTAAGGTCAAGTATTAAATTTGAATTATAAATTGTTCAAGACAGTTATATTTTCTTCAAGTATTCTTTACTGCAATATTCTTTCTTCAATATCTGACATTAGAAGTAAGAACAAGAGCTGTGACAGAATGTGACAAATGCCCCCGAAGGATTCTAGTTATAAAACCACCTATTACATGTTAAGTGTGGTGGTAAAACTTGACAAAGTTGGAACCCCAGCAGTGACCTTTAAGTGAGACAAAGAAACCTGGGTCTTGTTCATAACACATTGTTCATCTATGGTGACTTTATATTTTTTAATAAAAATTGAAACTTTCATGTATATGGAAGTTACAGAGCAGACACAACAACCACCATTTATATGTATATAACATAAGTATTGAAAAAGTTTAAACCGCAGCAGTGACCTTGAACTGAGACATAGGAACACGGGTCTTAAGGGCAACACATAATACATTTACGATAATTTCATATGTGAAATAGAAAATATAATCCTTTCATGCATATTAGTTTCAGAGCTGACACAACCATCCCTGCCTATATGTATATTAACATCAAAATTGACAAAGTTTGAACCCACACAGTGACCTTGTCCTAAGTTGAAGAAACCAGAGTCTTGTTCCTGACACACCATACATCTATGGTTATTTCATATATAAAAGAAAAAATTAAAAGCCTTTCATGCATACTGAAGTTTCAGAGCGGACACGACCACCACTATCTATATCCATATAACATAAAAAACTAGAACTATCACTAAATATGATTAACACCCCCGCTAGACTGCTTCGGAAATGAGGAAGTTACTAGTAACAGAATACCTTGCAAAAGAACTGAAAGAGAGTTATGGTTGTGGGCAATTAAAGATAGTTGTGGTTCCTGTATGTTGCATTTCCTTTCAATGTGGTTGACCATTGATGAAGTTTTATTGAATTACTTTGTAAAAAGTCCAAAAAGAGTTACCCTTCTTGAGCACCGCATTTCCTCTCATTGCGCTTGACCATTGAATGAAGTTTCATTGAATTCTAAACATAAGTTTTTAAGTTATGCACCTGACAAGGAAAAGTATCAAAGGGCAATAACTCTGTTGTTTATCAAATTGTGTTATTGTTTTATGTGCACTGCACTTCCTCTTAATGTGCTTGACAATTGTATGAAGTTGTATTGAATTCCAACTATTAGTCTTCAAGTTATGGTCCGGACAAAAGAAAGCAATGGAAAAGTAACAAAGGGCAATAACTCTGTAATTACTTTAGATAGAGTTATGGTTCTTGTGCACTGCACTTCCCCTTATTGTGCTTGACAATTGTATGAAGTTGTATTGAATTCCAACAAGTTGTTTTCAAGTTTTACTCCGGACAAGTAAAAGTAACAAAGGGCAATAACTTTGTAATAAGTCAAGATGGAGTTATGGTTCTTGTGCACTGCACTTCCTCTTATTGTGCTTGACCATTGTATGAAGTTGTTTTGAAATCCAACTAGTAGTTTTCAAGTTATGCACCTGACAAGGAATAGTAACAAAGGGCAATAATTCTGTAATTAGTGAAGATGGAGTTATGGTTTTTGTGCACTGCACTTCCTCTCAATGTGATTGACAATTGTATGAAGTTATATTGAATTCCAACTATTAGTCTTCAAGTTATGGTCCGGACGAAAAAAGGCAATGGAAAAGTAACAAAGGGCAATAACTCTATAATTACTTTAGATAGAGTTATGGTTCTTGTGCACTGCACTTCCCCTTATTGTGCTTGACCATTGTATTAGTTGTTTTGAATTCCAACCAGTAGTTTTCAAGTTATGCTCTGGACAAGGAAAAGTAACAAAGGGCAATAACTCTGTATGAGTGAAGATGGAGTTATGGTTCTTGTGCACTGCACTTCCTCTCAATGTGCTCAACCATTGTATGAAGTTATATTGAATTCCAACTATTAGTCTTCAAGTCATGGTCCGGACGAAAGAAAGCAATGGAAAAGTAACAAAGGGCAATAACTCTGTAATTACTTTAGATAGAGTTATGGTTCTTGTGCACTGAACTTCCCCTTATTGTGCTTGACCATTGTATGAAGTTGTTTTGAATTCCAACCAGTAGTTTTCAAGTTATGCTCTGGACAAGGAAAAGTAACAAAGGGCAATAACTCTGTAGTTAGTGAAGATGGAGTTATGGTTCTTGTGCACTGCACTTCCTCTCAATGTGCTTGACCATGGTATGAAGTAATATTGAATTCCAACCATTAGTCTTCAAGTTATGCTCCGGACAAGGAAAATGTAACGGACAGCTGGACCGACCGACCCACCAACCAACCGACCGACTACCGAGTGACTCCTATATACCCCCTAAACTTCATTTCGGGGGTATAATGACAAAGTTTGAACCTCCACACTGACCTTGACCTTAGTTGTAGAAACTCGAGTCTTGTTTGCGACACACCATATATCTATGGTTATTTCATATGTGAAAGAAAACTTACAATCCTTCCATGCATACTAAAGTTTCAAAGCGGACACGACCACCACCATCTATATTTATATAACATAAAAAATGACCAAGTTTGAACCCCCACAGTGACCTTGACCTTAGTGGTAGAAACCAGAGTCTTGTTCGCGACACACCATACATCTATGGTTATTTCATATGTGAAAGAAAAATTACAATCCTTCCATGCATACTGAAGTTTCAGAGCGGACACGACCACCACCTTCTATATTTATATAGCATAAAAAATGACAAAGTTTGAACCCCCACAGTGACCTTGACCTTAGTGATAGAAACCTGAGTCTTGTTCGCGACACACGATACATCTATGGTTATTTTATATGTGAAAGAAAAATTACAATCCTTCCATGCTTAGTGCTATACTTAAGTTTCAGAGCGGACACGACCATCACCTTCTATATTTATAAATAATAGCAAAGTTTTTAACCTCCACAGTGACCTTGACCTTAGTTGTAGGAACCCCAGTCTTGTTCATGACACACCATACATCTATGGTTATTTCATATATGAAAGAAAAATTAAAATCCTTTCATGCATACTGAAGTTTCAGAGCAGACACGACCACCACTGTCTATATGTATAGAGCGGGACGGACGGACAGACGGAGGGTTCGATCCTAATATGCAACCCTTCAAGGGCATAAAAAATTGAGTGTGGTCCCTACCTCATGGTTGCTCTTGTTATATTTAATATGGCATATATATTTTGTATAATTATTCTATTTTCAGAACTTGGTATATTCAACAAAAGACCTATTGTGAAGTTCACACAATTTGGTCCATTTGTAGCTGAATTATTAGACTCTGAGGATAAAGTTACTAACAGGAAATTCCCTTTAATGGTATACATTTTATTATAACTCTTTATGAATTTTGATTTTAGTTTTTAGCTAGACTATTCAAAATAGTGGGGCTATCCTACTGATGTGGGTGCAGAGATCAGCTTTGGCATTACACTTTTATTTGGTTATTTAAGATTTATGTAACTTATTAGACATCAACTACTGAAAATAGTTGTTTGTACGTCAGACTTATATTTTAGATCATTATCTAAAGCCTTGATTTTCACAGAACATGTATTATGGACCTTTGTGAACTTAGAATTTATCATTTCGATGACTGTGTGAGAGGGTTGTGACTCAATATTCTGAAATTATTCAGGAGAGACAAAAAACTTTTTTTTAGCTCGGCTTTTTTTTTTTTAAAGTAAAGGTATTGTTAGTCATGTTGGTGTTGCCGTCCTCAAACTTTAACCTTGATTATAATTTTTTTTCAAGTTCTTGGTATATTTTCTTCATAATTGGCCACAACAAGACCTTTAAGTAGACCAGGCTTTTTTTTTGCTGATTTATGCTACAAGTCGCAATAACTTGGTTATTTTTGAATGGATTGTTTTCAAACTTGAACATAATAATCTTTTATGATAGACCTTCAAAATAGTCAGACAGACCTTGACCTTCAATCATAAATGAGCTTGACCTTGAAGGTCAAATTATTGAAATTTTCAGTTCTTGCTGTAACTGGCTATAACTTTGTTATTATTGAATGAATTGACTTATACTATAACACAACATTTTATAGGAAAACACCTTCATGTATGTCAAACTCAAATTGACCTTGACTCTTTTATGACCTTGACCTTGAAGGTTAAATTATTGAATTTTCACTGATTTTTGCTATAACTGACTGGTAATCGATAAATGGATTATCTTTATACTTTGACACACAACATTTTGGACAAGACCTTCTAAAAGGTTGAACTGCCCTTGACCTTTAAATGACCTTGACTGTCAAGGTCAAATAATTGAATTTTGGTTAAATTGTCATAATTTTATTTATTTACAGATTTGATTCAAACTTAGACAAAACAAGACTTGCTACCAAACAAACATATTGAATAATTTAGATGTGACCTCGGGCTTAAATTAACCTTGACTGTTAATGTCAAATTAATGAAATTCTCTTGTTTTTGTTTTTTTTTGCTATAACTTTGTTATTTATAAATAAATTATCTTCAAATTTAGGCACAACACCATTTAGGTTAATACCTTTATGTATGTCAGACTCAAAGTGACATTGACTAATGTATGACCTTGAAGTTCAAATTATTTAATTTTCACTGATTATCCCTATAAATGGCAGTAACTTGGTAATTAATCAATTGATTATTTTAATACTTGGACAAAACAACCTTTTTGAAAAGATCTTCTTAAATGTTGAACTGACCTTTACCTTAAGCTTTGAATAACATAGTGCTTTTGCCTTTGCCGCCTGCCTGTCCAATTCAGCTTGTCTGGCTTTCACAGGTCAAACTGCTTGCGGATTTCAGTGAAACTTCACAGGACAGATCAGTACAGTACCATTCTTATTTGAGGGTATCGCTGGCACGGTCTGCACCGCTGCACAAAATGGCCACCAGAGCTATAAATGGAAAAATCTTATCTGGTTTTCACAAGTCAAACTGCTAGCTGGATTTCAATGAAACTTCACAGAAGTGATCAGGGCCATCCCTAGTTGTGTATATTGCTGGCATGTTTCTTCCGCTACACAAAATGGCCGCCTGAACAAAAAATAGAAAAATCTTGTCCGGCTTTCAAAGGTCAAACTGCTGGCAGGATTATGCCAAAAATTCACAGGAGTGATCAGTACCATACCTTGTTTTGGGACACATATGTTTTTGTGACATTAGCCCCTTCTAGTTTAGATATGACATTGACCTTTAAATGACCTTGACCGTAAAATGATTAAAGTTTGATTATATTTTCTTAACTTTGCCATTTATTTATGGAAAGGATTTTTACTTGGACAAAACAGCAAGTGCGACTAGATAAACCTATTAAAAATTTAAAAAAGGAAAAATATATATTTTTTGCATTTTGATATTTGACTTTAATTCAATAATAATTGATTTCAATATTGATTGGTAATGTTACTCTATTTTGTCTACAAAAAATATTATTAATAAAGTTTCTGTTACAAACCTTTTGCACACAATTTTTTTTAAAGAAAATTTCAGAAAATAATTTGGTGCGAAAGATTTGTAACTAAATTTTTGCTTCAAATTCTGATAAATTTATGGGTCAAATGAACAAACCCTTGTTTAGTTGTGTTCAGTAAAAACTAATCTGACATATTGTTGGAATGTTTCATTCTCAATTTATACTTTATACACAAATCTCTCTTATATTGCATATGGAAGGTGATCAATATACACAAATTTTTCTGATATTGCAGGTGGAAGGTGATATTTCTGATCTTGCTGTTTGAAAGATGATAAATATTTCGCATCTGATTATCACGCGACACTGGGTCACGGAAGTTCTCAAATGAAAGTAGTTCTCTCTGTACCACTACAGCAGTTTACACAAATTTCTCTTATATTGCAGATGGAAGGTGATCAATATACACAAGTTTATCTGATCTTGCAGATGGAAGGTGATAAATATACACTTATTTAATTTCAGTGGTCAATATACACAAATTTATCTGATCTTGCAGATGGAAGGTGGTCAATAGACACAAATTTCTACTTTATTGTGGGGAGAATATTATTGAAATTATTCAAGTTGTTGTGTATTGCAGGTGGAACGTGATGGACATACATTATACTTTGAGGCATGTGATGAGAATGTATGTAACTGGATGATGTTTATACGTCCCGCACAGAATTTTGCAGAACAAAATATGGTAGCCTATCAGCATGGGAATGAAATATTCTATACTGTCACTAAGGATATAAATGAACCCAAAACTGAATTAAAGGTATTAAATTTTTTTTTTAAATATTCTTCTACAATTTGAGTTCAAGAAGGATTGAACAATTTTCATTGGAAGAATCATCAAAGTACCAGTTTCAATGACACATTTTAAGAAAGTCAGAAGTGAAAAGTTAGTGTCAACTTTTTAGATTGGCTTAAATAAGATCAGTAAAGAAAGTAAGCTTGTACTGTTTGACTAGTTGAATTTGGGTATTAATTGGAAAAAAAAAAGAGATCAACAGTCATAGAAGAAACAAATTAATTTATATTCTGTTTTTGACTTTAGTACAGGAACAGACTATATGTGTATAAAATATAAAGGTTTTTGACTTCAAACCACTTGCCTCTCACTGCTATAGGTTTGAGTTGCAACATTGTCTTCAACTTCTTTCATGTGAGAAATCCATCTTTTTGTCTGAAATAATGCACAAAGGGGCATTATGGGAAATGACCTATACTGTGTTGATGTGATGTAAAACCCAACAAAAAAATGCAATGAGAAATGTTTCCAAAGAATGGAAATGGCACAAATGTTCACCATAATAACATTTCATGAGCTAACACCCAGACCTCTACCTGCAACGTCCAGGTTACACTGGTCAACATTGTCTGTTGGAAGGTAAAATTCATGTCTGGTCCATAACTTTTTCATCCATCAAGGGATTTTATTTAACCTGGCACAGATTTTGAAAATAAGACGATGTGTGATGCACAAACCCCAGACCCATACCTTCAAGGTCACACCTAGAGGTCAAACTGTTTGATGTCTGGTTCACAACTTTTCTTCTCATAAAAAAGGATTTTGAAATAAGTTTCCAGAAGTATTCACCATAATAAGACAATGTCTTACACACAGACCCTTATGACCAAGGTCAAAGTCACACCTTAAAGTCAAAGCTTAACATGGTCTATATTTTCCTTGTTCAGAAAATAACTCACTAGTACATCATAGAAGATAAGTCTCTTATTAAAATCAAAATTGAAACATGCACCTGTCTCTAAAAGAAATATATTTCAAGACTTTGTTATTGTCTGGCACCCTGTCATCTGTTGTCCATTTTTAACATTTTTACTTTAACAACATCTTCTCCTAAACCCCTACACCAATAGTGATGAAACTATACAGGAATGATCCAGGCATGGTCCTCTCCAATAATTAAATTGCTTTTGCTGAACAAGATGGCTGCAAGAGCTAAGAATTAAAAAAAATCTTTAAACAACATCTCTTCCTTAACTGTATGGTAAATTTGAATGAAATTATACTAGAATGAACCGTCCATTGATAGTTGTGTATAATAATTGCACAAATGGTTCTGGTCTGCTAAACTAAATGGTAGCAAGAGCTTAAAATAGAAAAGTCTTTAAAGAACATCTCTTCCTTAACTATTGGCTTGATTTTGAAGAAATTATACATACATGGGCATTGAAACTATACATACATGGGCATTGAATGGTCCTCTAAAAAAATTGTGCAAATGGATTCTGGTCTGCTGATCAAGATTGTCGCTTAAAACTTTAAAATGACATCTTCTCAACTATTGGGTAGTTTTTGATGAAACTGTACAGGAATGGTCATTTTTATATGGGGTCAAAAATTAGGTCACATGACCCAAATATGGAAGTCTTTGTTTACACTCAAATTTGCACAGGCCCTCCAAGTCCGAGCGAACGAAGTCCAACTATACATGTAAAGCATATTATGCAGTATGGTGTGAATATTGTACAGGTATGGTATGCTGCCAGTTATGCTGAAAGATGGAACAAAACAATCTATGAGGCCACAGAACAAGACATACAAGGTAATATACGTGACTTGTTTCAGAACATGTCTGCATTTAAGGTAAATAGTAAGTTGATGTTTTACCAACTGTATTAAACAAATTAAGAATCTTCTTTATTGAAAGCTTGTGTCAGTACTCTCAAACGTAACATACTGTATCTTTGCATAGTCATTTTTATAGGCCCGAAATTTTTTTAGCCGTACCATGTCATGCACCTGGTTGTTCGTCCGTCTGTTAATAGCAATTTTGCAGTGTATCATTGTAAATTGACCCATTTGAAGGAATTGGAAGTACTTTGCAGAAATGTAAACAGAAAAATAAGATAATGAGACAATATGCGGGGCATGTTATTGACTTTGTCAAGTAAAGATCACTGTACACAATATAATATTATACTGCTCGAGGTCAGTTAAGTAATATAGACATACATCAGAAAACACATTTAAGTCTTATTATGTGATATATCAAAGCTTAGATATTTTGCATGTAGCATTGCTTAGTAGACCTCTACATGAGATATATAAATCATGACACTCGGGTAAAATGGCCCCACCCATGGGGTCCCTTCATTCACATTTAAGTCTTGTGTGAAACTACAATGTCCAGAGCTTATATATTTATCATGTAGCTTTGCATTGCATTGTGAACATTTAGTAAATAGAAATCAATCATGCCCCTTTGGTCTAGTAATGCTTGAAATACCCATAATGGCTGCGGGGGGTTGGGTTACACACATGACTGATATTAATCATACCACTTGGGTCAATATTTGCCCCGTCTGTTTTTTTTAAAATTAGTTTAGACAGGCTTACAAAAAAAACCGAATAAAATCAAACATACTGTGGAAAAAAAACACTGCCCAGAGCTTCGGTATTTGGCATGTAGCATTGCTTAATGAATATTAGAAGTTATATATTATAAAAATATATGTTAAAAAATGTCCCCATCTGGGAATCATTTAGTTTGGATTGCCTTCATACTTGGATACAACAGTCCTTTGGACAAGACCTTCAAGTTGATAACACTGAACTTGACCATCATGACCTGGAAGGTCAAGTTACTGAATTTTGCTGGATTTTATCTATAATTGGTTATAACTTTGTTATTTATGGCTATTTTACCAAACTTATTTTATAATTTACTTGAGTGTAAAGTTTTAATGATTGTGTAAATGCTATATGTATTGTTATATTGCAGCCATGGAAGAACAGTTATGCAAGTTTCAGTGTTATGAGTGCCCTAAAAGATTCAAATCTGCATCAGGTAAGTGACAGACAACATATGTTTGAGATGTCATTTTGATGCGGAAAAAAAATTACCAACAAGGCCTACTGTGTGGTCAATTCATAATTATGCACCAAAACTCCAAATTGGTTTCAAATAGCCAATAAACAATAAATTTTGATTCTAACATGACAAAATAAGGGAGATCACCTAAGCTATTTTAGCTCACCAGACACAAAGTGAGGTGAACTTTTGTGATCACTTTTTGTCTTGCGTTTGTCTGGTGTCTGTAAACTTTTACTTTAAACGACAACTCCTCTTAAACCCCAAAGCCAATTTCATCCAAAATTCACAGAAATGTTCCTTTTGTGTTCACCTTTGAAATTATTAAAAAAATGTTCAAAGAATTTAATTCCATGCAGAACTCTGGTTGCCATGACAGCTGAAAGAAAAAAATTAAAAACATATTATTTTAAAAACCCCAAATAGCTAGAGCTTAGATATTTTGCATGAAACATCTTCTAGTGGGTGTCTACCAAGTTTGTTCAAATAAAATCCCTGGATCAAAATTGGCCCTACCCTAGGGGGTCATTGATTTTCCTATAAACACTGGATGGTTGCAAACACTTTGCTATCATCCATGTTCTTTTGGGGATTAGGCTCGTAAGCCAATACCAAGAAAGAAGGAGGCATACTGGCTCGGACTACACCAGACTTAATGGTTTTAACATGTTTTATGTCTTATTTCCAGTTTTAGTTATATTTATCATATAATCATTCATTTGGTCTGATGTTTCTTAGCCAGTTATGCCAAAAATAAAGATTTATAAGTCTATCACTTGTTTCGTGGTTTTAATTTGATTGAGTATAAATATATATTAATAACTTAAAAAATCTCTTTTCAAAAACCAAAAGAGCTAGAGCTTAGATAATAAGCATGAAATATCTTCTAGTCTACCAAGTTTGTTCAGAAAAAAGCCCTGGGGTCAAAAATGGCCCCGCCCCAGGGGGTCATTGATTTTCCTAATATGTTCACATCTTTTGGAACAGACGTTTCCCTTAGCAATAGCAACCAGTAATGTTTTTACACATGCTGATGATGCACTATTTCAGATACAAATATGGACGTTGTGATATCAGTTTAAGATTTAGATTTTATATCTCCTTCTGTTTATAGTTTACAATATTACTTGTACCATGTCATGGCGAGTTTTTATATTCAGGTGAGCGATTTCAGGGTCATCATGGCCCTCTTCTATCCAAGTTATTGCCCTTTTCAGCACCTTGAAAGTGGATATGGTTAACCTAAACCGGCAAGTTGATATACATTAAGTTCTATCTGTACTAATGGCTTCATAATTTCACACTTATCAATACAACGTACATGATCTGGCCAAGCTATATGATTGTGCCACCAATTTTTCCCAGTTATTTCCCTAAATAGGGCCTTTAATTGTTAACCTATTGCGGCAAGGTAGATTTATCATAAATTTCTCTTAATTGCTTCATTTATTAATCATATCTTCCATGTTTGGTAGGTGTATACCTTCAATGATCCTCTAACTTTTGGTGGAGTAAGGTGTAACTGGGGTCAAGGTCACTGGTGTAAAAATAAATTTATACATTTTTGCTCATACAGCCTATATTTCAAAACTGATGTTTTACATGTTGAATATGTACATGTACATACCTAGGAAGGTCCTTTCTTTTGGTTAGGTAATGGGTCAAGGTCAATATCATCTATGCCAAAAAGTTTTCACTTTCACAGGTGTGACCTTTTTCTATTGACTGATGTCTTTTATGTCTGATAGGAACTTGAATTAATTCTTCTACCTTTAGTCAAAGTTAGGGGTCAGTTAGGTCACCAGTGGTAAAAATAGATTTTTACACCTTTGCCCATACAGCCTTTATTTATTGACAGATGTATCTCAAATTTGGTAGGAAGATAACTTGCATGATCTTCTTCATGTCAGTGGGTCAATATCAAGGGTACCAACAATAGAGTTGTTCACATCTGCTGAAACAGCTTTTATTTATTGACTGATTTTTTTTTCATATTTGGTAGGATGATTACTTGCATGGTCTTCTTCCTTTTGAATGAGTAAGGAGTCATTTGGGTCAAGGTCACCATTGCTAAAAATAGATTTTTACAATTTTGCCCATACTGTCTTTATCTATTGACAAATGTGATTTGTTACTACAGTGGAACCTGTCTAATCCGAACTCGTCCAGACCAGAAGAAAAGTTGGGATTAGAAAGGTTTCTGGATTAGAAGGTTTTTTGCATATGTACATGTGAAGGGCAGAAAAGTTTAAGGAAAGAAAGCAGAAATGCAAACTTATAAACTCTTATCATTCATTTTAATACAAATGAATACAAAAAAGAAATAAGTGTTATGTCCTCAAGGGTAAGTTCTTCATTACGATGTAAAGAAGGAGGCTTGGACATTATTATTTATTCGTTTTCTCACACGATTCGGTGGTTATCCTAATTCACTGACAGTTTTGCCGTTATTCAATCCCATGTCATTAAATTTATTACAAAAGATTTCAAGTTATGCTTATGCATAATATCAACATATTTATTGAACATGCCGAAAATCAATCAAAAAGGCAATTAAAGCGGTTATCAAAACAAGCTAAGTGTAATTTTCACACCTTTGCAAATAATATTTGTCATTTATTAAGCAAGCGGCATTACTCTCATCAGTTTGATGTGCAAGATGTGCGATATTTTCATTTTGAATGAAAGTACAGGCTGTAGGTGTGACAATCAACAAACAGTGTTCAGATCCAGGAGGTTAATTTTAGAGTAAAACAAGATCAAAATTTGAAAAAATGGTCCGGAATTCGAAGTAGACAGGTTCCCGATCCGAAAGGTTTTTGACTAGATCTATTAAAAATAGACAAATAAAGTCGGGACCTGGCATTTTGTTCGGATAAGAAAGGATTCCGGATTAGAAGGGTTCAAATTAGCAAGGCATCACTGTATAACTTCTTCATTTCGAAAGACATCTTCTTCAGACTTCAAATATTTGTTCAGACTTCAAATATTTGTTCAGACTTCAAATATTTGTTACTTATTATCACCCACATCATGTGTGACAAGATTCATTTCTCTAGCATGAATATTTCATGAACTTGGATTTTTTTTATAAAAATATTATTTTTGCTCTAACTTCTTTATTTTTTCAAAGGATTTACTTCAAACTTTAAATAAATTAATGAATTGACTTCATATTGAAAAAAGAATATTACCTTCATGTATTTCAAACTCAAATTGACTTTGACTCATGTAAGACCTTAACCTTGAATGTAAAATTATTAAATTTTCACTGATATAATTGATTGTATCTTGGTAATTAATAAATGGATTATCTTCATACTTGCACAAAACAATAGTTTGGACAAGACCTTCTGAAAGGTTGAAGTGACCTTGACCTTTAAATGACATTGACAGTCAAGGACAAATAATTGAATTTTGGTTAAATTGTCATAATACGGCTTTGACTTAAACAAGAACAAAGCCAGACTTGCTACCAAACAAACATTTTGAATAATTAAGATATGACCTTGACCTTAAATTGACTTGACTCTCAAGGTCAAAATAATGAAATTCTTTTTGCTTTTCCCTGTAACTGGCTATAACTTTGTCTTTATAAATAAATAAACTTCATATCAAAACACAACATTTTAGATTGACCTGGACCCATGTTTGATATTGACCTTAAAGGTCAAATTATTTTAATCTCACTGATTATCGCTATAATTAGCTGATACTTTGTAATTAATCAATGGATTATTTTCATACTTGGACAAAATAACCTTTAGGACAAGACATTCTAAGAGGTTGAACTGACCTTGACCTTGAGCTTTAAATGGCATTGACTGTCAAGGTCAAAGTATTGAATTTTGGTTAAGTTGTCATAATTTTGTTATTTATGTACAGATTTAATTCATATGTGGACAAAATAACACTTGTGACCAAACAGACATGTGGAATAATTTAGATTTTAAATGTTGAATATTTTCTTAGCTTTTTCATTTATTTATGGAAAGGATTTATACTTGGACAAAACAACAAGTGTGACATGACAGACATATTAAAGATTAAAAAAGGGAAACAACTTATGCTATAATAAATATTTCAGGTTTACAGAAACACTTGATAACTCATGACTCAGATCCATTGCAAAATGATGGTAATGAGGAACCAAGCTCAAGCCAGACTTTATCCCCATCTCGCCAAAGGAAACGTAAACCATTCCCACTGCAGGCAGGATTTAGAAAGAAACTGCTTTCTAATAAGAAAAACAAGGTACGAGAAGTTGATTTTGCTGCTTGGTAATTTTTTCAATTTTCTCAAAATAGGTTATTATGAGAAATTAAAACAAAACTGTTATGTACCGGTAAACATAATTTCATAATATTTTTAAGTAAATAGGTAACTGATTTTTATGCCACCGCAGCATCTGTAATGCGGTGGCATATAGCGATTCACCTGTGTGTTTGTGGGTGTATTCTATAGATTATATAGTGAACTTAAAAAATCTTCTTGTGAAAAACCACTTGTCCAATTCTAACCAAACTTTTTAATTGATCCTTGGGTGAAGGGCTTCCAAAGTTGTTCAAAGAATTTCATTCCATGCAGAAATCTGGTTGCCATGGCAACCAAAAGAAATTATAAGAATGAATTTAAAAAATCTTCTTGTACAGACCCAAAAGGCCTAGAGCTTAGATATTTTGCATAAGGCATTGTCTGGTACACCTCTACAAAAATTGTTCAAAGTATAGCCCTGGGGTCATTGATTTTCACTATATGTACATATAGTAAAAACTTAAAATACCCTCTTGTCTGAAGGTACAAGGCTTAGAGGTTTGATATTTGGTATGTGTTATTATCTATAGGTACTCTACCAAAGTTGTTCAAATTTTGCCTCTAGTGTCAAAATCAGCCCCGCCCTGGGAGTCATAGGTTTTCCTTATATGTATATAGTAAAAACTTTTAAAAAAAACTCTTCTAGCAATTGACAAATGCTAGAGGTTAGATATTTTGCAGGAAACATTGTGTAGTGAACCTTTAGCAAGATTGTTCAAAATATTGCCCTGGGGTCAAAATTGGCCCCGCCCAGGGGGGGTCATTGATTTCCAATATGTACATATAGTAAAAAATCAAAAAATCTTATTGTCTGAAGGTACAAGGCTTAGAGCTTTAATATTTGTTATATGTTATCATCTATAGATACTCTACCAAAGTTGTTCAAATTTTTCCTTTATGTATGTAGTTAAAACTTAAAAAATCATTTACTCTAAATTGACAAAGGCTAGAGGTTAGATATTTTGCATGAAACATTGTGTAGTGAACCCTAACCAAGATTGTACAAATTATAGCCCTGGGGTCAAAATTGGCTCCGCCTCGGGGGTCATTGATTTTCATTATGTACATATAGTAAAAAAATGAAAAATCTTTTTGTCTGAAGGTACAAGGCATATAGCTTTGTTGTTTGCTATATAATATCATCTATAGGTCCTCTACCAAAGTTGTTCAAATGTTTCCCCTGGTGTCAAAATTGGCCTTGCCCGGGGGCATTGATTCGCATTATGTACACATAGTAAAAACAGAAACTAAAACAAATGTTTTCTGAATTGGAGAAAGCTACAGCTTAGATATTTGACATGAAATGTTGTTTTGTGAACCTGAATCAAGATTGTTTTGAATTAAACCCTTGGGTCAAAATTTTGCCTTGCCCAAGGGGACAGTGACCTACTTTCTTGTCCTTTGATGTACAGCAATAAAATTTTGACAGTGTGCACAGTTTTAGTTGTAAAATTGAACTTTGATATCAAGTGACCTAGATTTTGATGATGTGACCTACTTTCTTGTCCTGTGATGTACAGCTATGAAATTTGAACCATGTGCACAGATTAAGATGTAAAGTGAACTTTGATATCAGCTGACCTAGATTTTGACAAAGTGTCTTACTGTGTTGTCCTTTGATGTAGTCATGGAATTTAGGCTGTGTGAAATATGACCTTTACCACCAAATTCACTAGACTCAACTGCATTGATGTATTCCTACTCTGATCTTTTATTTGAATAACAATAGATTTAACCACTAATCTGATAATAAGAATTTGAAAGGTCAGGGATCTATGCATTATGACAATCTTCAATTGTATAGAAACAGAAAATATCTGTTCCTACACTACTATTTAGTGTTGTATTAATGCGGTGGCATAGCATTTTTCACAAATGCAATCTTGTTTTTTACAGAATTGCCTGTTTATGTTATATTGGTCTGCAATGATTCTTGCTGTTAGCACCAAGCTTCAGTTAAAACTTGTACTGTTGGTTCAGTCAGTGAATATTTTGAAATGTCCACGAAAAGTTATGGATCAGCATTGTTTGTGCCTTGTGGAGGCTGTAAAATGTTGCCCCATAAATTTAATAAGAGATGTTGTATTTACAATCACTGGAGATTGTTTACAACAACATTATTGTTATTTTAGTTGCTCTATTTGGCTTTTCTTCTTTTTTTATGGTTTCCATTTTAAAAGTTATATTGATTGGAATATATTTGCTCCTGAATACTGTATAATCACCCTTAGGATATGTTGCCTGCTTTTTATGCCCCCAGTTTAGGGAGGTCATTTAAAGTTATTGCCCCTGACTAAGTTAAACTTTGCAGCTTTCAACTTGTGTCATGTGAAGCCTGAAAAGCATTTAACCATAGTAAGTCATGAAACTTTACATAATCAATCTTATATATTGCTTGCTTTTAATTACACCACTCTAGGGAGAGGGGGTATTTAGATTTGCCCTTGTCCTTTACCATGGGTGTGTGCGTCAATTCAAAGATCTTGTCACATGTACCTCTAAAAGTGCTTGAGCTAGAGTCAACAGATTTTACAGGAATGTTGATCAGCAAGTGCAGTTGTTACCTTGAATTTTGCGTGTGAATTAATTCAGTTTTGTTAGAGTTATTTCCCTTAATTTTGTTGAAATTTGCAATGGCTTGTTGCCCCAAAAAAGTATTTGACCTAGAGTTAGAAACATTAAAGAAATATTGGTCAGTTTGTGTATTGTGCACTCGAGGTTCGGCTGCTTGTTGATTATTCAGTAATTGCAGAGTTATTGCCATGTCTTAGTAAAAAATTTCTACTTTCAACTTGTGTTGTACGTTGCCCAAAAAAGTATTTGACCTTTAATCATGAAACTGTATAGAAATGTTGGTTAGCATGTGTAGTTGAGTACCTTGGAGTTATCTTGTGCATTTATTCAGTATTTGTAGAGTTATTAACTTTGTCTTAGTAAAATTTGCAATTTTCAACTTTTGTCACACATAGCCCAAAAATTATTTGAACTAGTCATGAAACTTTACAGAATTGTTGGTCAGCATGTGTAGTTGCGCACCTGGGGATAGTTTATGCATTTATTCAGTATTTGTAATTGCCCTTAACCTAAGTAAAAATTTACAATTTGTGTCACCCATACCCCAAACAATATTTGACCTTAAGTCATGAAACAGAAATGTTGATCAGAATGTGCAGTTGTGCACCTGGGGGTTTGCTTGTATATTTATTCAGAATTTGTAGAGCAATTGCCCTTGACTTAGTAAAAACTGTTCCAAAATGTTGTGTCATGTGTACCTCTAAAAATGCTTGAGCCAGAATTAAAAACTTTACAGGAATTTTGATGAGCATGTGAAGCTGTACACTGTGGATTAATTCTGTTTTGTTAAAGGTATTGCCCTTGACTTAGTATAAATTTGCAATTTTCAAATCATGTCACGCTTGGCCCAAAAAGTATTTTACCTGGAGTCATGAGACATTACAGGAATTTTGGTCAGCATGTGTAGTTATTCACTTTGGGTTTGCTTGTGGATTTATTCAATATTTTTACTGTTATTGCCCTTGACTTAGTAAAAATTTTACAATTTTTGACTTGTGTCTTATGAAAATCAAAAAGTATTTGACCTAAAGTCATGAAACTTTGAAGGAATATTGGTCAGCATGTGTAGTGCATTTTAAAGTTTATTATTGTGAATAAATGGTCATGTTTTGTGCATTATTTTTGGATTGATTGTGAAAAAAATATCCATAAATATGTAGCTTCTTAAGACAAGAGTCTGTTTAGAAGTACAAAATGTACAAAAGTCATGGTTTCACTGGAATGCCAAAATTTGTGACAAACACAGCATTGAACGTCATTTATTGTCACAAGTTCTGTCATTAAAAGATGGAATTTGAAATAACTACCGGTAGGCATAGTTTTCAAGTACATTAGGAAGAATTGTCATCTGCAAACACTCAGTTGACAGCTAGAAAGGTGAAGCTTATACCTGGATGCCAAAATATTACATTGATGATTGTGTCTGGTCATATCTTTGTCATTTTATTGACACTATTTGAAATAATAAGGCATACTGAGAATATAAAAAATATATAAATCACAGGTCATGGTTCCTTTACTTGGCCCAGCCACGAGGCATTACAAGTCTTGTTAGCATACTTAATAGATATCATGAAGTGAAGTAGTATCTTGATATTTTTTGTTAGATCACTCACAATTATATATTTTAGTCCGTCAGTTTGCAGAAAAATTTGAAAGGAATTTAAAAACGACATCGAATTTCTTGCTATTTCGAAAATAAAATAGTAACTGCATGTATAATTTAATTTCAGGAGCTTGGATCAGCTGAGAATAGTATGACTTCTTCGGGCATGTTTCATTGGAAAAAACGATCTACTAACATATATCTTAACAAGTATGTACTATTTGTTTTAACTTTTAACATATTCATTTCGGGGTGTATGTTAATAGGAAAAATTTAGCACAACTTCTTTTTAATAAATAAAACAATTGGAAGAGGGATTTTGAAATGGTGTTGATCATTTGTCAGTCCGTCAGTTTGGATCCATATCTAAGAATTATTATTATTTGTCCAATTTTCTTGAATTTTGCTGGAATGTTATTTTAATATGGGGATGAGGATCACAATCTATCTAAGATTTGTTTTAAGTGAGACCCTTTGTTCAAAAAAGGCTTTCTTAAGCTTGACTTTTTCAAAGAAAAATTTTGAGCTAGTGCAACAGTCAGGTTGTAATTCCAGTTAAACTGTTGCCGTCCAGAAGATTTAACATATGTCATGATGATATTTATACCCCCGCACAACAAAGTTGTAAGGGGGGTATACTGGAATCAGCTTGTCCAGCCGTCCGGCTGTCCGTCGGTTTTTTCTTGTCCGCCCAATAATCTTCATATTTGGCATGGAGGTTAGTCATGATTAGTAGATGACCCCTATTGATTTTGAGGTGACTAGGTCAAAGGTCAAGGTCACAGGGGCCTTGACTTCAAAAAGCTTGTCCGCCCAATAACTTTAGATTCCTTTGACCCATAGTCTTCATATTTGGCATGGAGGTTAGTCATGATTAGTAGATGACCCCTATTTATTTTGAGGTCACCAGGTCAAAGGTCAAGGTCACAGGGGCCTTGACTTCAAAAACTTCAAAAAAAAGATCCTTTGCTTGTCCGCCCAAGTAGATGACCCCTATGATTTTTAAGGATTCCTTTGAGTTTCCCCCAAATAACAGTCTTCATATTTGGAATGGAGGTTAGTTATGATTAGTAGATGACCCTTATTGATTTTGAGGTCACCAGGTCAAAGGTCAAGGTCACAGGACTTTGACTTCAAAAAGTTTGTCTGCCCAATAACTTTAGATTCCTTTGACCCACAGTCTTCATATTTGGCATGGATGTTGATCATGATTAGTAGATGACCCCTTTTGATTTTGAGGTCACTGGATCAAAGGTCAAGGTCATAGGGACTTTGACGTCAAAAAGTTTGTCCAACCATTAACTTAAGATTCCTTTGACCCACAGTCTTCATATTTGGCATGGATGTTGATCATGACTATAAGGTGACCCCTATTGATTTTGAGGTCACTGGGTCAAAGGTCAAGGTCACAGGGACCTTGACAAAAAACGCTTTTCTTCTCAATTGCTAAAGAATGTCCTGTCCGCAATGTATTGATTTTGACATTTTCACATTTGAAGCATGTAGAATACATAACTTAGCAATGCACTGTCTTAGTAACCTCAGATTTGGCAGGGAGGTTGTCCTTGAGCTCTAAATGGCCACTGTTGATTCTGACAAAGTGGTATGCGGGGGTATTCACGCCATGATAGTGGCGGTTCTAGTTTTAGCTTGACTTTTTGGCTCACCAGAACTGGAGGTTCAGGGTGAGATATTAGTATCAAAGGGGGTTGCTCCAGTGTCAGTTTTTTGTCGTCATGCATCAACATTCATCATCTTCTCTGAACCTGCTGGGCTATTTTACTTCAAATTTGGTCTGTAGCATCCTTGTGAGAGTCACACATTAATTTGCTCATATCATTTCAATTGGCTCCTTTTAGGGGTCAACAGAGCTAAAAATAGAAAAACCTTAAAACATCTTTTTCTACTGAACTAATTGATGGATGATCACCAAACTTTGCCTGTAGCATTCTTAGATGGTATGTTATCAAGTTTGTTCATATTAAATTGATTGGCCTCTAGTGCTAAAAATAGAAAAACATTTAAACATTTAAACATCTTTCTCTACTGAACTAATTGAGGGATGATGGCAGCACACTTTGTCTGTTGTAGCATTCTTAGGTAGTCTTTTATAAATTGGCTCATATTAATTTCATTGGCCTCTTTTACGGTCACTTAAAAACCTTCAAACATTTTTTTCTAGTGAAAACTGTTGTTTCTGGTGAGCAATTCAGGGCCATAAGGCCCTCTTGTTTGAGTTATTGCTAGCCAAAGCGTTGTTGATGTTGCTCTTGTTTGACACAACAGGCCTTTGGACAAGACGGTCAAGTTGACAAGATTGAAAATTACCTTCACTCATAATTGACCTTGACCTGGACTTTTGCTTGATTTTTTGCCAGGTTGCACTGGTGCAAACCCGGGTTATAGAATGGTGAATGTCGGGCGGTGGGTGGGGAAAAACTTTTCGTAACAGATTTCTCACCAACTACTTATCACAGCCTCTTGATATTTGGCATTCAGCATTGACACATGGTCTCATACTGTAGGATTCGATTTCAGGTTGTCGCTTATCCACTTCCTGTTTACTGACTTAGTTAAATTTGCGACATTAATGGTCAATGGTAGGAAATTTTTGTAACAGTTTTCTCAGCAACTATTTATCATAGCCTTTTGACATTTGGCATACAGCATTGAAACATGGTCCAATAAATGGGTTGCTACCCCCAATGTCAAGGTCGCACTTAAAGGTCAAAAGTTAAAAAGTTTACATTTCATATCCGCTCCATAACTTTAATCCGCTGAATTTAAAAAATAAATAACTTAGCACAAGTGATCACCATTATGAGAGGATGTGCAGAGTGCAATAATTGGGTTGCTGCCCTTAAGGTCAAGGTCACCAAAAGGTCAAGTGTCTACATTTTGTGTCTGCTCCATTATATTTAAACCGCTGCAATGTTTTTAAGATTACTTGGCAAAAGTGATCACCATTATGACATGATGTGCAGAACCCAACATCCAGATTGCTACTCCCCAAGGTCAAGGTTAAATGTTCTCCGTAAATGTTTTACTTTATCAAATGTAAGATTTTAAATAACTTTGCACAAATAATTACTATCATGAGACTATGTGTTTATAATATGCATGGCCCAACATCAAGGTCATTGTTGACTAAACATCAAGCAGTACACATTCATGTCTGCTGCGGATGGGGATTTAGCTGTACCCAGACTGCCTTGTTATCATTATTATTATAACTAACAAAAAATATCATTTAGTTTTTGACCCTTTTTTTATTGACATTTTCCAATGTTATGGGGATTGTATCATTATAAGTGAAGATAACAAATTCATTTTCACTTCTATACATTTGATTGCTAAAAAGCTTCATTTAAGTGATTTGTATTATATACTAGTAGCAGGGGATTTCAATTAAAAAAAATTGCTTGTCAAAAGTAAGAATATTTACAGAAGTGTTTAGATAATAATGTCATTTCTTTCCTATTACATGTATTTTTATGTATGTGTTTTCAATACTTTTGAATTTAAAAAAATAGTTAAACACATTTAAATTATTGAACATGTCATAATTGTAATGAAATAATTAATAACTGTTTTGCTATTTCAGAACACTTAAGAAGTATCAAAAATGGCATGGTGGAGATTCATTGAGAAAACCATCACATAATCATTCACACAAATTAACAACACTGGAGGAAGCAGCTTCTGAGTTAGAATGTCGGTCATGTGACCTGGCATTTAGCAATATCACACTTTTAAATTTACATTTTCTGTCACATAGTGAGGAGGATTTAGATGATGCTAGGTTTGCTGCTCAGTTAAGTGAAGCTGGACTTAAGACAGATGCACCTTCTCAGGTTCAACAAATTGGCTGTCCTGGCTGCTTGCGTCAATTCTTTGGTAAAAAGGACTTAATTAATCATGTAGCAGAACATGGAGCTCCCAAATCCTCTGCCAACTTTGGTCTGGATTATTTTTCAGAGATCCAGAATTTTGCTAGAGGTCGGAAGCACAGATGCGGAGTTTGCTTTAAATCTTTTGCAACAATTGATCGCCTTGCGAAACACCATCAGTGTCATGGAGAAGATGTGGACAAACCCTTTCAATGTTCTGTTTGCTTCAAAAGATTTATGAATAATTCGGCTATGTCATGTCATATGAAGATTCACAGTACAGCCAAGTACTACCAGTGTCCTATATGTCATATAGGTTTTGACCAGACATCAGCAATGAGAGAACATAGTTTGGTTCATGCAAATACCAATGGCTCTTTTAATTGCCCTCACTGTGATAAGGTTTTCATTGAATTCCTTGTTTTGAAGAAGCATATTCGAGGTTTCCATACTAACAGGTCATATCCATGTACAGTTTGCGATAAGGTGTTTCCAAGGGCAGACAAATTACGATTACACATGCTTCGACATTCATCCGTTCGAGAATTCATGTGTGATACCTGTGGACGTCAATTTAAACGAAAAGACAAACTGAAAGAACATATAAAACGAATGCACTCTGCAGACAGGGTTGAGAAAGACAGAATGAAAGCATTGAAGCCAAAAACAAATAAATTTATTCCAAAGGTTTCACCAACAGAATACCACAGATTTATTTATAAATGTCATCTTTGCTTGCTTGGATTTAAACGTAGAGGAATGTTGGTAAATCATATTGCAAAAAGACACCCAGATTTGAAACCAGAATCAGTTCCTGAGCTTAATCTACCAATTTTGAAGACACAACGTGATTACTACTGCCAATATTGTGATAAAGTTTACAAATCTAGCTCAAAACGTAAGGCCCATATACTGAAAAATCACCCGGGCTCAGATTTACCACAAAGTGCCCGCAAGAAAACAAACATTGATGAAATACCAGGTGTACCTAACCCAACATACTCTCAGACAGTGGGGAGCATCACAACAATGCCACATCAATGTGAACACTGTCACAAACAATATGCTAGTAAAGCGAAGTTGCTCCAGCATCAGCGAAAACATCATCCAGAGATTGCGCCATTGCTTCAAGATAGACTGAAGAGAGAGGGCTTACATATTCAACACATGAATGCAGCCAACGAACCTACTTTTGTTGTTGAAAAATGCGAAGATATTCAAGATTCACAAGCAGCTGATCTACTTACACAAGCCATGAGCGAACTTACACAATCAGTTGAATTCCGACAAATGTCTGGTGCTCAGAGTACAGACCAAGCATATGTTTCTACAAGAATTGGTCAAAGCACTCCGACAATGGTTCAGATTCAGACTTCAGGGGGTCAAGGCACACAGACTATTGAGTTAACCCACTTGAGCCAAGCTCTTCACCAATTCGCTCCACCACAGGGCCATCTTCCAATCCAGGTTCAAGTCTCATCTGGTGTCACAGGACATATTCAACTTCCTCTTGCAACAACTCAGACCAGCTCTGCTGGAAGTGGAGCTCAAATACTCACGGTGGAACCTGGTCAGGTAGCTGAGGGAACAGCTCAACTAAGCACTAGCCAGCCACAACAACTTGGTTTTCCACCAATGGCCATTGTGTCGGGAGCCTATATACCTAAAGCATGGACATACCCTTATAAATCTCATTAAACTTTATGATACTATTGTTACTCACTAATGGTGTTCATTTATATGAACTTTATGTTATTGTAGTTAACATTATTATGATATGGTATTTACATTGTGCATTCGTGTGAGGGTGGGTGTGTGGATGAGTACCTCTCAAGACGGTGTTAGGGGGCATGAGGGATGTTGCACTTATTCATTATCCCTCGTGTACAGACTCAATGAAACTGAGTTGGCAATTTTCATGTTATTTTGTTGTGAATAATGTTTCCGAGGAATCACTTTGTTTCCAGATTTGTTTTCCCATGTTGAGTCACAAGTAGTTCTAAAAGTTCTTGAGCTAGAGTCAACAATATTTACAGGAATGCTGATCAACATGTGACGTGAACATGGGTGCTCGTGTGTGGATTAATTCAGTTTTGTCAGAGTTATTGCCCTTGACTTAGTTAAAATTTACATTAAAACTTTTGTCACAGTAGTCCAAAAAGAATTTGACCTGGAGTCATGAAACTACAGATATGTTGGTCAACATGTTAAGTTGTTCACCTAAGGTTTTGCTTATATATCTTTCTAGAATTTATTTAGAAATTGCCCTTAACTTAGTAAAGAAACATTTCAAAATGTTGTGTCACGTGTACTTCTAAAAGTTCTTGACCTAGAATCAACAAACTTTACAGGAATGTTGATCAGCATGTCACCTGGGGTTTTGTGTGTGGATAAATTCATTAGAGTTATTGCCATTGACCTAATATAAATTTGCAATTTTCAACTTGTTTTGTCGTAGCGCTGCTAAATGTATTTGACCTGGAGTCAGGAAACTTTTCAGTAATGTTGGTTATTCACTTAGGGGTTTGCTTATGGATTTGTTCAATATTTGTGTGTTATTGCCCTTAGTAAATGATTTGTAGTTTTCAACTTGTGTCTTGCTTAACTGATAAGTTATCTGACCTAGAGTCATAAATCTTTTTAGGCCTGTTGGTCAGCATGTGTAGTTGTGCAACCTTGGTTTTGTTTGATTAATTTTCTTTTAAGCATACTAAAAAAAGTGACATTTGAAATTCTTAATTTTGGGAAAAATCAAGATGTCAGCATCGGGAAATGGGATGTGGTTTTTTCTCAACCACTTAGGGGTGAGGCATGTAGATTTTCCATTGTCATACTGTCCTGCTGAACGTCAGTAGACTGACGAAACAGTCGAGTGTTGGGGCATTCATGTGACTGTCCTATAGACACATTTCTAGTTAATATTTTGTTACTTACAGTAATTATAACAGTTTCCGTTGAACAGATCAGCTTTTAAGTATATGGTACAGTATTCTGTCTCTCAACAATTATATGCATTAATAAACAAATTACATGTTTGGTCTCTTGTATACCTCCTATATAATAAAGTTGTAAGATGGGAATACACGAATCAGCTTGGTCTATGGATCATCTATTTTTGTTAGTGGAGGTATCTAAAAAAGTATTGCATATTTGAATATATCAACTTGAAACTGCATAGACAGATAAATTTCATTGAGAAAAAAGTGTATTGCTTCAGAATTTCTACTTTTATCAATATTAAATTTTTGAGTTATTGTCCATACACTTGAATTTTGTCAATCATAACTGATGATATATTTGAAGAGTGAACTTGAATCTTTATAGACCAGATACTATTAGATTACATGGAGAAGTTATCTGTTTAAGAACCATACCCAATCTTATAAGTCCCCTACCGGTTTAAATGGAGGGGACTTTAGGTTTATCGTCCATTTGTCCGTCCGTCTGTCAGTCCATCCACAAAATTGGATCTCGCGATAACACTAAATGTATTGAAAATATTTTTATGAAACTTGATATATGGATAGATGGCAGTCTGTCTTTCTTTTCTTCCTACATGTAGGTTAAAAAACTATGGTTCCTATGGCAACAAATAGACTGAAAATATGGCTAATTTAACACATAAACTGGACCCAGTGATAATGAAAAAAGTACTGAAAATATTTTTATGAAACTTGAAATAGATGGCAGTCTGATGATTATGCACGTCTTTTTCTTTTCTTTATATGTTGAACAAACCGGTTGCTATGGCAACAAATAGGCTTAAAACATGGCAAATATGATAATATTTGTGATTAGTCATAAAGAACTGAAAACATTGTTATGAAACTTAAAATATGGATAGATGGCAGTATGGAGATTATACACATCATTTTAATCTTGACTATAGGGTATATATTGAGAGCTGTCCTACTCACCAAGCATCTGTGACCTCGTCAATATTTCTGATTCAAGATTTTACGCTTTTTCACTTAAAGTTCTTTGTTTCGTAAGGTATTAACTTCAAACTTTAAATATATGTTTCTGATCATCATCCATATCATATGTGACAAGGTTTACAACTCTAGCACAAAAATGATCAGAATTACCCCCCTTGAACTTAGAATGTTCATGAAAAAAATGTTCTTTTTTATAACTTCTTTATTTCTTAACCTTTTCCGTCATATAGACGTGTTTTGACGGCTTTTTGCCCCCCCCCCCTTTTTCAGGCCTCAAACAGTGTATTTCGTTTGAGAAATGTTATTAAAAAAGTGACCACTTTTTTTCAGCGCCGCCCCAATCAAAATGGTACATCAGGTGGTTGCCAGAAGGGGGATGTGCCCCCTTCTGTTTGGGGCGTTTGAAGGGTGGCAGCAGTCCCCCTCATTGCCAAGAAAATTTTGGACATGTGACAAGCTAAAAATGGCCTCAGGTCGATCTCAGGGTAACTAGTAACCGACGCTGAAAAGCCTTTTACTCTATCTCAATTCATTGAGAAGTTGCAGCACTTTGAAATCAGTTTTGATGAACAAAAAAAAACAATGCAAAATATGATTTTTCGCAATTTTGAGACGTGGCCATGGTTACAGGAAATTTATGATTGAGCATGCTGTTACAGAGGCTATGGTCCAGTCAACATTTTGTGCCAAGTTTCATCAGTATTGAAGCATTTTTCATAGTTTCATAGCAGTTTGAACTTGTAACAGGAGGCTTTTCAATGAAAACGGCCATTTTTCACAATATGCTCATGGGGTAAAAGGTTAATGTATCAACTTAAACTTCATATATATGTGTCTTATCATCTCTCAAGTCATTTGGGAGAACGTTCAATACTCTAGTTTGACTATTTTCAGAATCCCCCTTGAACTTAGATTTTTTTCTAGAAATTATTATATTTTACTTCTTCATTTCTTATAGCATTTACTTCAAACTCCCACATCATAATTATATAACAAGGGTTATAAATCTAGCATCCATATTTCCAGAATTATCTCCTCCTTAAACTTTGAATTTCTCTTGCTCATTCTTTAACTTTCTTATTTTTCTCCATGAATTTACTTCAAATTTAAAATAGACATTCATTATCTACACCTACTTTATATGTGATTAGATTTATAAGACATGTGTTTCCATGATTATTTTCATTTTTAACTTGAAATATACTTGAACTTTTTTTTAAATTTTCTTCTGTGTTACTATGGTAACAAATTAATACAAATGGTATATTTGAAAATTGTTATTTTTTCATACTTCTTTGTGACCATAAATGGTATCTTCTTTAAACTTTACATAGTTGTTCTTTGTTACACTCACATCATGTATGACAATGTTCATAAGTCTAGCATCGCATCTTTATTTCAAGAGTTATCTCCTCTTAGTTTAAGAATTTTGCTTTTAAAAATGTTATATTCTGGTCACAACCAGGGATGTTTAAAGATTTACCCTCAGAGTCTCTGTCAGTTGGTCCATCTCTGTTTCTAAAAACTGTTTCCTGAGATCACTTTTAAAATCATTGGAACTTTTCCAACAAATTTACTTAAAATAGAGAAAAGTTGAAACATCAGTTATACATATTTATCCTGAGAAAATTGGATATTTTGATTATCTTTTCTATAAACATAATTAGGGAAATTTAACACATTACTAGATACAGACAAGCTAAGAACTCAAAAGATTAAAGTTTATTAATGTCTTTCATTCATTCATTGGCATAATTCAATGACCAATTGCCCTTCAGAATGTTGCTGGGGTTCTAACCGGTAGGGGACTTATTCCTTATGTACACATCTTTTGTATATTAAAAGGGCTGGCTATTTTTACCTGTCCCTAGATTTAGATATAGATTATAAATTGTAGTACATGTTTTAGTGCTATTTTTGCTTTGACATTGATCTGGAAGGCTCTGGTTATTTCCAATGAATTTGCAAACGCATTGTTTTGTTCAATTTAGTAATGTGATAAAAAGAATCTTGTTGTCATTTGATATAAACCAGAACCAGAGGCTTGCTTAGTAACATTTTCCTTAAACCAATGACAACTTGTGTCAGATTCTGTTTGTATTTTTGTTTCAGTTTAAAATTGTTATCTTGTTTTATGGAAACAAATTATTTTTTTGAATAATAGTTATTGTGCTTTGAACCCATCAGACCCATACTCTTTCTATATATCAAATTTGTATATAACATGTTTTTGTGTAATAATTTTAATTTATGTCAGTTATGGCATTTTCAGTAAATACCCGTTTTTCATGCAACATAAGTGTTCCTTCATTTTTTCCTCATGCCAAACAAGTGCGGCCCATACTAATCTTCCCTGATCTATGTGGTTAAGTCTTAACTGCTTTAGCCTGCAATGACAATCAGTCAAAACATTATTTGTCACAGAAGTCCTCGGGGTATAGTCTTTTATAAAAGGCACCACCTTATTTTGGGCCCTTGAAGTCTATTCTTCAGTTGCTTAGTCCGTCATACCAAGAAAATGAAGAATAATCAAAATGACACGGCAAAAGTGCATTCTTTATTTCTTCTGATAAACAATTTTTGTTACGTTAAAAGAGTAGTATATCTTGTTCTTGGATGAAGTTAAGAATATTACTTTCAGTTAACCTCAAATCATTTCCAAAGCATAAAAACTTAATGGAAATGAGCTCATTTTTATCACTTTTAGCTTGCAAAGTATATGGAGAGTGTCCTACTCACACCGGTGTCTGGTTCCATATTTCTGATTAAAGTTTTTATGAAGTAAGAATTGATATTTTTACTATTTTACCTTATCAACAAGGTAACAGTAGTAACAATATGTGACAAGGTACTTAACTCTAAAACAATATTTTCAGAATTTAGATTATTTATCTAAAAATGTTATTTTTTCTCGAACTTCTTCCAAAAGTACAATTTGTCTACCAGTTGTCATAAATTCGTATTTGTTTTTTTAATTCTACACCAGTGGTCATTTTGAAATTGGTTAAAATTGTCAGACATAATTTCAATCATAATTTAACCGGAAAAGCCTTTATTTTGCTATGTATGTCAAATATATATATGAGCTGTTCTCCAGAAAAACCTGCAATTATGACCAAAATATCGAATTTGAGGTTTTGAACAATTATTGAAGTATCATCGTTTTCCTGTAGAATGCAAGAAATTTTGAAATTATCTCAAAAGGTACCTGAGATACAGCCTTAAGAATAAGGCACTGTCATGTACATAACCATGTAGAAATAAATCTTTCAATATACCTCATATAAAACTAATAAGCAATTGAAACAAGTACAACTAGGTATACATGTAGTTTGTAATATATTCATTATACTTGTTAACAGAAACCATTAGGTAATAAAATAAAAAAATCTTCCTATCCGTTGCCATGGTAACATGAGTGTCTTAGTAAAAACTTATCTAAGACTCTCCTGGACATGTTTCATCTTGAAATATAGGTCGCACATAGGGCCGAACTGTGCTGTATAGATATCTGCGATATCTGTAAGTTGGCCAAGAGCATCCATGTCTTGTCCTGCAGTAGAGTTGTTTTATGTAGGCAAAGCCAGCATCAACATGGCAGCGAGCGTGACCAGGTATCTGCATCATATAGTCTATCTTCTGACGTCCAGACAGAACACGCCACATTAGATATCCCAGCATATAGTAGTTTTTATTCTGTCCTGAAATAGAAATAAAAACAGTAAACATTAAAATAATTGCTATATACCATGTTGAGTTAAATTAGATTTGGTAATTAAATCTGGCCTATAGTTAAAATGCAAATTCACATTAAAATCATCAATATTTGTTATTATTATGATAATATACTGAATATCAGTGAATACTTGTGTTGAGGTTGCCAACTTTTATTATTATTAACCCTGCGTCAAATGCAGGAAAACGTTTAACAGCCTTTAAAATCAGCAATTTCACCAGGTTCCAAGACCACTGACAATGCTTCTTAAAACTTTGGAGCAAAGTGGATAAACTTAGCAGACGTCATGCTGAAGATTTAATTGTTTAGAATAGTTTATACTAATTGAATTTAAGAACAAACTCGGTTGTATTTCTTTGATAACTAATTGACTATGAACGACATTGATCATATAATTAATATTATGTGTACGAACCGATAGAAAGTGCTATTAAAAGTTATTTATATAAACACCAAAGTAGATTAAAGTATTGACCTAATTGGTAGCAAAACAGTGTTTTTACAATTTATGCACACGTGCATGCATGCACGT